TGGCACGTCGTAGGTTGTACAAGCTACTTTGAGGTTGCTAAAATAGCCTTGATGGAAGGTCTGAATAGCTAAATCAATTCGGCCTTCAATCTGACTAGCCTGAGTGTGCTGCGGTTGAGCCATTATGGTCATTAGTATCCGTAAAGTGCGGATTTGGTGTGTCGCGATATGACTCGCATGCAAATACGACTCGCTTGTCAAGTACGTTAATCATAATCATGCTTATGTAATATTTGACTATTTGAATAGTCATGATTATTATGATTTATTTGTGCTAACCCTGGCACTGTACTATAAGCTAGGTCCCTCTCATGAGAAGATAAATAACCTTAGTTAATACAATTTATTTCTCTCCTTCATCTGTCCCTAATTTAAAATGGCTCCCACAAACTTTCAATAAATGAGTGTAGAAGAACTGTATAAGAATACTGTTCTGTTCAATATAATATCTTGAAGTAAGCATCTTTTATTTTAGTATTGTTATTTTTGACTAGATATGCAAGTTATCCAGAGTAATATTTATGTTTCGACCTCTTATTCGTTTTCAAGAGAGCATAATATGTTCCGGCCCAGCCGTGAGCTGCCCGGCCTAACTAAAGTGGCAGTGTAGAATAGTATTGTAATAGGTGCCGCCGTTAACAGTACATGTGGTATATAAAGCGTGTTACGCGTATTCCGGGCGAGCCGGAATACTGTAGTCTTTTTGGCTCAGTGGGATGTAGCGCGAGCGTAACCGTACATCATTACAAGTATCGTGGAAAATTCAAATCCTACATCCTACAACTATAGCAATTATGGCTACTATTGCTTCGATTAATCCATTCCACATGATGTACACACCGCTTTTGAGGCCTATATAAGTAGTCTTACTTACTATAATCGTGAGCAATTCCCATGTGAACAATGGAGCTAAATACGCACTATACTCGAGGATCTTACTAGCTTCATACCATACGATAAAGAGAGTGCAAACCTGAAGCACCATACATTATCTGGTTTTATACTTATGAATAATAAGCTATATAAACAGAGCGATAAATGGAGTAGTAACCAGAACCCTCGATACACTATTCAAAAAGCAGAGGTGTTTGACATTATTGCACAAGACAAGAGCACCCTTAAGCTTCTACATGCAGGCCGGAATAATGGCCTACTATTAAGCAACAATACTATGGAATAAAGCGTGAGGATGAGCTCGGAGTTCAGGTTCCTACTCCGGCCAGAACCCGAGCTAGAACCCAAGCCTAGGCGGCACCAGAGCTCAGAATTGAGCTTGAGCTCTCACGGCTTAATCCAGACCCTATAACTGAACAGGCTACAGCAGCTACTCAAAGAGCAAGGGTTGCTATGGTACGCAAGTACACCAAGAAGCATGATATTCAACACTTTGAGGTTAGAGCTATAGTCTCTATAAAGGTTCCTCGGGAGGATAGAACCTCAACTGATAATAAGAGGCTATTTGCATGCATTCTAGAAGAGCCTTACCCTCACAGATACCGCATTCTTACACCTTTAGGTGTTATAAAACGCCTTATACCTACAAAATCACTTGGAGTTGTAGACCAAGCTCTATGGTCTGATATCCAAATTCCTACTTCTACAAAGCAAGTAACACTAGGTCTTGCAGCTAGAGAGGCTTCTACGAGTGCACAGGTTGGAATATCATGTCAATGCAAAGCACAGTGCAATACAAAGCGGTGCCATTGCTATAAGGAAGCAAAGGAGTGTAGTGTACACTGTCATAATGATGACCATGCCTGTGGCTATTTATCAGGTATAGCTATTCGTACAGAAATAGCTTTAGTTGAGAGGCCGAAGCGGAGGAAGCGGGCAAGAGCAGACACAGTAGGAAATAGTATATAGATCAATTGATTACTTTGCTCCTGTTATGGTTGGGCCGGTTAGCTCGCGAACTGGCATAGCTTACGGTTGCGTCGGAACATATATGATAAATAGTGTTTGTGATTTTTTTATTTAAAACAAAATTCACCTATACATATCCAATAAGCCTTCAATATATCTCTTTGTATCAACTCCAATCCCTTGAGCTAGTTTAGCCGGCGAATTAGCATTCTCTTCCGCAAATGCGTTAGTTGATGTCGGGTCACTCGACTTCCTGACAAGGAAAATCTCTATATCTCCAGCTACACCGGCTTTGTCGAGAGCATAGCTTGCTTGAGTCAGGGTGTTCTTTGTATCTGACCCTCCATCGCGACTACGTCCACTGCTTGGCGATGGCGAGACTGTTTGAGCCGTATCACCCTCAACAGGAGTGATAGTCCCCTCAGACTTCCTTTGATTCTGCGTGGCTTCTGGATCTGGAATTCTAGTCCAGACGACCCAATATCCGCGACTGGTCTTGCATGTCTGCTCTATCTCAGAACCTTCATTCCGCGTTGCTGCAAACGTATTGAGAATCTGCATATGGGTATTGAGCGACTCGAGCCGAGACCATACAGGAAGGTTGCTCGGTGAGGGTGAATGCGATGGAATATCTGGGATCGTGGAGCAGATTGTAAGCTTCTTCGGGTCCCACATGAGGTCATATATTGGAGTTTTCACATCTCCTCCTGATATTGAGCTTAACTTTGGACGCGGGAGCTTGCGCCGTGTTGATGTCAACAGTGGCCGCTGCAAGGGCGCCAGTTGGTAATGCAGAGATCGGTAAACGTTCGAATCGGCGAGCGAGACGGTCCCAACTTCAAAGAAAAGGGTGAAGAGGAAAGGCTTGTTGGCATAAACAACTACTTGCAAGTCTTTTCTGACTCTGTTTTGAGTATCAGGTGTTTCCTCGCTGGATGAATTTGGACGTGATGGGCTGCCATTATTTACCCCTCCATTTCCATCTGATAGGGTATCGTGTACCGGGTCTAGCTCAGCGTTTATCGTTCGCAGCGAAATCCTTGGATTGGCTCCCACACTGTCAGAACCCGAATTTTCAGGGTCATCAGCATCAACATCACCAATAAATCCAACCAAATAATGGCCCGTAGAATCGTCAGCAGGGCCGCTCTCGGTATGGTTATCTCTGCCCGTAGAGGTCACCTCAATACTAGGCGCAAAAGTTCCCGGTCCCGTACCATTTGACGTGCTGGCATCTCGTGGTGTAGGTGTACCTCCACCGAGTGACCAATGCGTCCCATATCCCAGTTTTAGATAGTCCACAAGTGTTCCACCTTTGTTGCTTTGGGCACTAGACGTACTTGGGCTTTGACTAGAACTTGAGGGACTCCGGTTCTCCCTGGGTTCCGTTTCAACGGCGGGTTGGGGGTCCAATACCTCTAGACTAGTTTTATTTTCGGTTTCATCAAATATCAGCACCGCCGCTTGCTTCGTTGGAAGATCGCCATTCTGTCCATTCTCATTTAGCAAAGCTGGACTTGTAGACATCTCTGATGAACGGGAGTCGGCCTTTCTGGCTTTTGATGGATGGCCGCGCCCAGAGTCACTGTCTGGAGCTTTGCTTGACACTCGCCCATTTCGGTGTGCGCGTCGAGTCCGTGTTGGGTTGCCTTTGACGCCATAGGCACGTGGACCCCAACTGTAAACGTCTTCCATCCAGTGCGTCACATCCCTGAGTGATTTTCTCGACAATGCCCCAACGCCAAGGAAAATTGCACCATCATTTGGCCCAGGTTCCAATCCAGTTCCTAACCAAGGCTCACTAGGCGCTAATTGTGAGTGGGCTTTGCTTTGATTTGAGGCTTTTGATATATCCGAATCGGCCGAGTCAGCACCGAAGCGCGACACGACCAAGTCGACAAGTCCATCAATTCTCCCAACAAATCCCTCCAGCACTTCGCGCTCGCCACTTCCTATATCTTCCTCTCCAACGCCCATGCCAAGTTCACCTGAACCTGCAATTTTTATACCGCTGTAAACAGCTATGGCTGGATTGCCGTGCAGCATGACATTCCATGTTGACAGAAACTGGTCCCAGTATCGTCCTAGTATGGAGGTAAACTTAGGCTTTTCAGTTGTGGCAAATAAGTTGCCTATTGACGAGGTGCGATGCAGGAGAAATAGAGCATGGGCCCGTAGCAAATCTTGAAGCAGCAGAACAGGTGGCTTGACATCTCGGGATGAGTATTCGATATTTCCATCGTCTGCCGTTTTCTCTTTCGGACCTGTGGACTTGGATGCCTTAGGAAGGCGAGTCAAGTCTATTGACTGCGAAGACAATTAGCGCATGTTATATTCCTTGTCCCATCATAACTCACAGCCAAAATCCACCACCCCACCTCCAGCTCATGCAATATGATCTTCGATTTCTCGGTTTCTATCGCATCAACAGACTCGCCTTGGGAAAATGCCTTTCCAAATTCAACCATGCCCTGGGCAAAGCCAATATGTCGCAGGCGCTCATTTCCCTCTTCTTTCGATCCCCCCGGGCTATCTTTCCCTGCCTTTCGCGTTGGTTTTCCTGTTCCGTCGTAGTAATAAACGATCTGATCAAGTCGCGTCTCATCGGTTCGGCCCAGAGAGGGGTTATATATTGCAAGAAACTTCAGTTGAGCCGGAACAGCTTTTCCACGAACGTGGCTAGAGGCATGAGACATTGCACGCTCATCTGGTAGTAACATGCAAGGGCACAAGAGGACACGGAGAAATCAACACCGGTGTACAAAGCTCGCATTTCCCCATGCTGTATCTGAGATTAACAATGTATTTGAGCCTCTACCCGAATAGGACTTAGTATTGTTCCATGGTGATAAAGTCAAGATAAGAGTATCGCCAGCTGTGCCCAAGTACAATAAATGGAATGACGTCGGCTGATCATCCACTTTGAGCCCTAGCTGTACATACTCGAGTACCTTATATTGGCGCGGGGTGGTCCGTTTTTTTTTGCCGCGCGGCTATCAAAATTACGTCAGGGGCAATGTGATTTGGGGTGGTGAAGGTTGGAGTCGGTCAAACTGAGGATCACTTTATATCTATTCACGTGATTATATGTCAACCTCAACCCAACGGTTTGAATAGTGGCGACGAAGGCGAAGCATATGCAGGAGTCGAGTAACAGGATACTGCCTATGTAAGTTGGTTGTATGCTATAGTTCGCTCAAATACTAATGCGAACATAGGACTGATACCCCGGCCTCAGTCAGCGCAAAAAGGCCACTGCTATCAGTGTGCTAGCCGTACCACACGTGCATGCCATGGTTTCTCCCAGAAGACCCCTTTTCAAGGTGCCCACTCAGACCCTGGGATGTCTTTTCAGGGGCTGCACTCATGTCCCTCGGAGTACCTCGTACTTCTACTCCTCCAATCGCCGCTTATACAGTTCCCCGGCAGTGAAGCCTCTTCGTATCCTTTTCTGCGGTTCTGATGATGTCAGCGCCGCGTCTCTCCAGGCACTTTACGATGAACAAAAACGCGATCCTTCATCAATAGCCTCCATCGACATCCTTTGCCGGCCTGGAAAGCCATATGGCCGGGGTCTCAAAAAAATTCGTGAAGTGCCGCTAAAGGCCACCGCACAGAGCTTAGGTTTAAGAACCCATATGCGAGATACTTTCACGGGCTGGGATCTCCCACAAGTTGATGGTGAATCTATTAATCTCATAATAGCCGTCTCATTTGGCCTCTTTATTCCACCGCGAGTGCTTAACAGTACTGAATATGACGGGTTGAACCTCCATCTATCTCTGCTGCCTGATCTACGTGGGCCATCCCCGGTTCATTATGCGGTTTTGAATGGCTACAAGCAAACAGGCGTAACTCTCCAAACTCTCTCGCCGATAGATTTCGACCATGGGAAAATTCTACTTCAAGCGCCAGTCTCTATACTGGACCCTGAGAAAATTACCCGCGGTGCGCTTCAGGACATTTTGATTCCTATTAGCGCAGAACTCCTTGTCCGCGGGCTGCGAGAAAAGGTATACTTACCTCAAACGATGCCGGTAGAGCCCATCCTGCCAGAGAATAAAATCTTGGCACTTGCGCCGAAGATAAAACCAGAGAATAGGCGATTGCTTTCGAAGATGATGGCAGAAGACATGGCGCGCATGGACAGGGCGTTTGGCAGGGTCTGGGTAGGCATTAAGCTTTCGGATGGCAGTCGGAAAAGAGTTATCTTGGAAGGACTAGAAACAACCCCGATGCCAGCAGAGATGAGCGATTTTTACGCCACCCATGAAGACAATATGGGCATCTTTAAGCCACTTACCATCGTAGAAGATGATGGCGAAACAAGAGAAGGGACCATAGTGCCGATGATGAAGGCCCCAGATGGCCACAGCATTATTATCCCTGCCAAAGGAGGCAGAGCATTGTTGATTCGTAATGCGACAATAGATGGTTCTAAAAAGAACAAGGCAGCGGTTGCTTTGTATGGGAAAAGTTTGGAGAGGGGTAGTGATGGGAGCTGGTTCGACGGCACGGGTGAGCTGATTTACTGGGATGCTTTCAGTGGCATCTGGGATATAGTCAATCACTAGGGACATTTTAAACTATAGGCGAATTCAAATACCCGTTGGTTTACAACTTGGATCAAGTCCAGCGATGGTTTCTCACAGGCGAGGCAAGACAGGAATGAATCTTTTCCTCAAATCAAATTTCGTTCCATTGAGTGACCAGTAAGAGGATCATCATCTCATAGCAATTCATTACCCGGTATATTACCAGAGTATCCCTCGTGTTCAACGCCCTATTCACAGCCATAAACGCCACATGAGTGAGCAATAGACCATATCCACCCTTCCACTACTTGATAATGCAACGAACGCCCCGGTATAATGCGCCCTGAATATTGAGGAAATCAGACCTATTGGCCGCTGTAAACAATAACTCAGCGAGCTTCACTGTAGTCGTTCAAAGCAACGCAGACCGCACCACGGTGGTGTCCATTGTACTGGCGTATAATCTGCTCCGTCTGAAGCTCCCAGAGGCGAGCGTAATGGTCGCTGCAGGCGGTAACCAAGTAGGCAGAGTCGGCGCTGAAGGCACAGTCCCAAACCCAGCGCTGGTGGCCGGTGAGCGTGCTCTCCAGCTTGAATGGAACTGGGCTGGGCGGCTCGCTGCCAGGGATAGGGATCATCTTGTCGAGGTCCTTAACCTCCCAGATCTTCGCCGTGTGATCAGCGGAGCAGGTAGCAAGGTGCTTGACATCTGGAGAGAGCAGGACTCTGGTGATGTACTGGCCATGAGCCTTGAAGTGAGTGATGGGGACAAGAGTTGTCTTCTCGCGGTACTGCTCAAGATGCCAGACAAAAATATTGCCCTAGAGCTGGTTAGACGTATTGAACCACATAGGGGTGCACGTCACGCATGCTTTGCTTACCGAATTGTTTCCCGCGCAAAGGGTTGAGCCATCGCTGGCAACAGTGACGCTCGAGACCGATACGTCTTCCTCTGGAATCAACTGGTGAGAGCAGCTATTCTCGGCCAAGTCCCAGATTCTGACACTCCCGCCATGATCACAGCTGATGATCTCGCCTTGGTTTGGGTGGATAACCACATCGTTGACTGGAGAATTGTGGTTGTAGCTGCGCTGGACGGTACCGGTGCGAGTTTCCCAGATCTTCACGGTTCCATCCTCGGAGCTGGTGACCATCCATTTCCCCTCGCAGTGGAATGCAACGCCGGTGATGTTGTTGGTATGGCCTTCAAATGTCAAGATCGGGTTCGGATTGGTGGACTTGATATCGTAAAGCTTGACGCTGTGGTGGCCTGCAGCGGCAAGAAAGCGCTTGTCAGGTGAGATGCAGAGGCGGTTGACTTGGGAGTCAGGGTGCTGGATAGTACGAGAGCATATTCCGGAAAGAGCCTCCCAGAACCTGCAATTGGATATTAGATGCGATCATGCCTTCGTCTGCCTTTCTGTAGGAGATATTTACTAACCGAATCGTATGGTCATAGCCAGCTGTAGCCAAGATAACGCACTCGTCAGCTTTGTCCGCCATCTTTGTTTTGTGGTGGAGTGACGGATAGAAGCAGGAAAGTGCATTGGGGGCTTACCAGTACACAAAATCACAGACATATTCAAGTCCTCTATATAGGTGTCCCAGGTAATGTCCACTATATATGGCTTGTGTGTGTCTGGCCTATAGTAATATCCTTGTCAGCTCCATAACACTTTGCATTTATGTAACCCAGAGTTTTTGGTATGAGAATTTACGGAGTGAGAGTTAATGTAGCCGCGCATCCATCAGTAGACCTCGATAGACGTCCAGGCCATTCAATAGATGTCTTGCCAAGTGGGAGCTCCTGGCTAGTGTCGGATTATCGGCTTCAAGATAATCCGACTTGTGACCTCTTGTTGACAAATGCTCGATAAGGGACGCTATCACGATAAGCAAGTCGGTGCCTTGCGGCCTCGATACCTCGATGCCTCGAGGACAAACGTCACGCGTTAAGCGTCAACAGTTCAAAACTTTGTTCCATTGTCCACTGTTCCTCGAGGTTCATCAGAAGTGCTCTTTAAAGCCGAGCTATTCTGACTCTTGAACGTGGTCAATACGAAAACTCCTTTGGCCTTTCAAGAATTCCAAAGTGAATGACAGGATAACTGGCTGCCACTGGCTGCCAGGGCACAACTGGTTTTGTATCCAGCAGAAGTAGGCCAAGTGCTGCAAGAATAGAACATGGAACGAGATATTGCAGGCCATGGCTCCAAGCCACTGATGCAGAAGGCTCAGGAAGAAGGTATTTATGCTTCTTTCATGCCCACAAGCATGACTGTCACCAGGTTGGATCAAGGGCTTACACCACCCCCAAAGATACACCCCGAGACTCTCTCAGACAACGGAGAATCTCACAAGGAGTTCATCTCAAAGGAGCACGCCACAAAGTATTCCACTTCGGAGGCCCATGATCACCATTTGATAGGTAATCTATCACAAGAGAATGCCAGCAAAAACGGCGTTGACTGTACAAACGAGACAGAGCAAGAACGTACTGGTAAAGTCTATAGTTCATGTCAGCATATCGAGCCCAATGCCCATCACCGGCATGAAAAACTCACGGATGGTCCTTCAAGTTTCCCAATTCTGGGGCAGAGGCAGAGGCAGAAGCTAGGCTTCTGTTCATCTTCTCAAGGCCCTCATCATGCTTCGAAGCTGGCGACAGGGTTGATGGAGTACCATCTGGCTACAATTCAATCAGCAGGCTGCCAAGGTAGTATTGATGAAGAACCTGCTAATCAGCTCCAGCTAGCACCGATCAATGGGAGTATTCCTAGTATTTGCCCCACGGATGGCAGAGCCATGCCAAGGTCATCTAGGCCTTCACAGGATACAGTACCTCAGATACAAAAGCCAAAGGGCAGCGATGTTAACCTCCTGTGTAACAGGGAGTGCATCGCTCTCACCGACCAACCTGTTGCCACCAAGCATTTGGCATCACGGCAGGCAGATGATCTCCCAGATGGAGGTATTGGAGATAGGGGCAAAGAACTTACTGTATCAAGGGGATCCAAGGTCGAGATGGTCGCGAAGCTCTCAGCATCGGAGTCTAGCTGTTCCACTCCAGACATTGGGAACATGGCTGATGGAAAGGCAACTATAAATGTGTCAGCCTCCGAGCGGCTGCAAGATGAGAAGTCGCAGGATGAGAAGTTGCAATATGAACAGCCGCAGGACAATATTCATACCTCGTGCCAAGTGTCTTTGTCTTTGGTTGAACAGGGGACGCAGATGGCAAGTGGTGTTTCTTGTGGAGTTGGATCACCAAAGGCTGAGGGTGTCGAAGCGAGCTTATACAGCCCTATTTACAAGTCACCAAATGCTTCTTCCCAGGTAAACACAACGATAGCAGCTACGATAAGGAATATACCAGCACCAGAACACATTTCAGCAACACATCAACACAGATCTCTATCTACTCTTTACTCTTCTCAGCCACAGTTACTTGCTTGGAGATCTTATATAGCGACCGCTCCTTTGACTTCTCCTGAGGTGAGGAAGATTCAACAGCTCATGCTCGCCGCAATGGATGGGGAGATCGAGCTGGGGGGAAACCCTAACTTGGATGCACAACTTGATGCTATATATAGCAGAATGTTGGTTGATGAGCAATTTCTAAAGGGGGTACTTTCTTTCAGTGTATCAAAGCTGGGTAAGTGCTGTTCCTCAGCAATGGTAGAGTCTTCACTAACTGTGGCAGGATACCGTCTCGTCACAACAAATGCCACCAGTTCCCGAACCCAGAGCTCTCGTCTAGGAGGCAATGCTACTGCTTCTAAGGATTCTGGTCCTAAATTCAATATAAAGACCTGCACACTTGAAGAGCTCAAGGAAGAATATATCACAGGCAAAGCCGTGGCCAAAAAGGAGCACCAACGCCTATCGGCTTCTCTTTCCAAGCGCAGCAGCCTGGAAGAGGATATAAAGGTATTGAAAGAGCAGCGAGACAACTGGAAAAAAATCTCCTCATCAGTCGCAGGTGCTACAGCGGTGGAAAACCGGAGTGGGAAATGGCTGTGCACCTCCTGTGGTCTCCTAAATGATTCCTGGGCAGATCTGACAGAGTGGGCTCCTGGGAAGGTACCAAAGGATGCGAAACCTGCTCCAGAGGAAGCTGGGGTTCCTGAGAGCAAGAAGAGCACCTGGGTACAAACTAAATACTGCAGGCATTGTGGTCTCCATAAGTCCGTCGGCCGACCTAAGGGAGGCAGCATCACAGACTTCGACGACGAATTCAGAGGTCTTTGCGAGGATATAAAGTCTGGATTGAACGCTTCCGGACATGGAGTTCCAACCAATAAAAGCTTTCAGATTCAACTTGTTGATTTTCGGCCTGCAGCTCCTGCTGCTCAATCACCACAGGTGCCATGTGCAAACCAACATGCGGCCAACATACAACAAGGCCAAAGCAATGCCAGCAATTCTTCCCCACAATATTTGCCCAGCGTCAATGGCACAGTTGCAAACCAACACCGTCTACCAAACATCAATGGCGCGGTTCCCAACCAACAACATCTGGCCGACGGCAATGGCACAGTTGCAAACCAACACTGTTTTCCAAATACCAATGACACGGTTCCCAATCAACAAAATTTTCCAAGCGGCAATGGCACAACTGTAGTGCAGCAGCATTTTCCCACTGGCAATGGCACAATTGGAGGGCAGCAGTATCTTCCCGCAAGCAATGGCATGGTTAAGGATCAACAGTATTCCCCCAGCGGCAATAGCACCATTTCAGGCCAACAAGGCCCCACCAACGGCAGTGGCACGGTTACCGACCAACAGGGTACCCCCAGACTCACTGGAACAAATGAAGGCCAAAACTATTTTCCTATCGCCAATGGCTCAGTCGCTGGTCAACAGCTTTCCCCTGGTACTACTGGAACAAATTTTGAACAAGAATTGGAGCCTACCAGCTATGGCATAATCGCTGACCCGGCAGACGTCATTGGTTCATTTATATCCCAATTTGGTGGCGAAGATCTGTTCGACGACTTCGACTTCGACTTCGACGCCGTGTCCGACTTTCCCTTTGACAGCCAAGACCCATTTTCAATGGCGGATTGGTACGGGTTGCATTCAAACACGGCCGTTGTGACGAGTGCAGCATCAGGAACACCAAACGCCTGGTCCCCAGGCCAGACAACTCTCTCGTCTGCAGCTGTCACACCATCCAGCGTTGGGAACTCAGTCCAATTCTCGATCGAGATCGACGATGGTGATGTACCCCCTATCTCTCAAGAAGATATAAAGGTCCACAACAGTATTCGCATTGACCAACCAGCCACCAAAGCACCTTCTAAACCGAAAAGCAAGGCCCAGAACAGGATTACAAAGCCGGGCGTTAAATACGACATGCGCGGCAACCAGATCGGCCCATCTACCTTGCCAACATTCAGATACCACAAGCCGACGGCTCCTCGCACTGCTAAGGTGGGAGCTCTCACGTTCCCTGCCAGCGCTGCGCCAGCGAATGCTGCGCCTCAGGCTACTCAACACCCTAACGGTGGCTGAGTGTGTTTGCGTGGGGGATTATGTATATTACTGTACGACTACTGTACGACTACTCGCCTTTTCGACAAAGTTTCACGCGCGTTTGATGCATTTTGTGGGTTGTGGTTTGCTGAAATTATACAAACGGGGTATGAAGAAGGATGGTGGCATGTGATGGATGCGAATTGCTATTGGTGGAGGGCTTGTCTCCGTCTTTTGATGGTTGAGTGCATGATATGGAGGGAGAATTACTGATGAGGAAGGGCGTTTCACTATCTTTGTGGTGGATGGGTGCTTGACGGGGAGAGTAACTAAAGATGAAGAACGGTGACGAGAAGTGTTTGTGGAAAAGAATTGCTCGCCATCTCCATGATGGCTGAGTGAATGAAAGGAGGACGATACTGATGATTTGATACGGAAAGGAAGCTCACCAGCTATAGAAGCTGAGCAGAAGTGGTGGTGGAGACACACGGAAAAGGAGCTCACTCCGCCTATGGAGCCCGAGCAGAGGTGGTGAAAGACGGCGGATCACTGTTGAGATGGATGGGACAGCACCACTAGTGTGCTAAGGGAAAAAAAGCGTGTCATCGCTTCAGATACACCTCTTATATTTCTCTTGTCCCTGTAACGAGTAGCATGTTTAGAGATAGATACCCTAGCGTTCAGTTTAACTACAACTGAAGAACAAATGAGAAACTGAAATTCAATGAAAACTGGTCTTGACTCTTTTCTTTCTCGTTGTGTTCTGGGCAATGTGTATGTGTTTTTCATACCTTATCTAAATTGGGTATTTTTCATGGCAAGATGTTGTTTTGTTTCCTCCTCCGCTATGTAATGTCACCCATGCCACAAATTGCCCCTGGCCATCCGCGATGCAAGCAAGCAAACCACCTAAACGCTACTGAACGCCACAAAATTCCCTCTCATGAAGCATTCATTCTCAGATCCCCTCAGATCTACGACAATAACACCGAAACCACCGCCATCCCCGCAACCCACCACACCCCCCCCCCAACCCTCACCCCCGCACTATCCGCCATCCCACAACACGTAGCATTATACGTGACATTATTCCACTTCGCTGCAACCTCAAAAACACTCCCATTCCCCACATTATAATAATCCACATTCAGCACCGTCGGCGGCTTCCCCCACGTCTCATTACACTGTTGCGCCGCCAACCCCAGACTCCCAAACCCGGACACCGCATTCGTCTCCCCCAGCAACGGCTGCGTGGGGACCAGCAACGAGTTCCCCAGCAGCGAGAGCTCGGTGTTCAGGTTGTGGTTCGCGATGTACATCCGGCTCTTCGCGGCGGCCGCGGACAAGTCGGGGGGACGCTGGACCGTGCAGGGGAAGGCGCGTTCGATGGGGTCGAAGGGGGTTTCCCACATGTAGGTGAATTCGTCGAGGATGTAGGGCACGCTGTTTTGGTCGGTTTCGTAGTCCATAAACACTACGACGCGTGAGGAGGTGATGATCATATTGCTCAGCGTTGGCCAGTCGGAGAGAGCCATGTCCTTTTTGGGGGGCGTGTAGACGTAGGGGAGGAGTCCGGAGTCGGCGATAGCGGAGGTGTAGGTGCTCACGGGGAGGTAGGCGGCGTTGCCGATGAGGATGGTGATGACATCGTAAGGGTGCTTCTGTACCCATTCCGCAACTATCGTAAGGTAATCCGTCATCGTCCCCGCATTTAGAATATCGCACGACGAATGGCACAAGAACACCGTCCCATTAACGACATGTGCCTGGATCTGCAGCATCCGGATCCCATCATCCAGCTGGCTGACCACGCCTAAGGCCTGGTTGGCAGCGGCATTGTTGGCCTTGACGAAGGGGGAGTTGTGCGCGCAGACCTGCGTGATATTGCTGTATTTGCGGGTGCAGAACTCGACGTGGAGGTTGCAGGGGGTTTTATTCGTGGGCTGCGGGCCGGTGGAGGTGGAGGTGCGGGTTTGGTTAAGGGAGTTGGTGGTGGAGCCGGTGAGGGTTAGGGCGTCAGGGGGGAAGGTGGAGGATGTGTGGGAGGAGGTGGTTCTGGTGGTTGAGTCGGAGGAGGTGGTGCTGCTCTTGGTGCCTGTTAAGCTTGTGGGAGTGGCTGATAATGGTCCCGTGGGAGTATCACCGCCTGTACCTGTCAAAACGAGGACGCCAGCATCTGTCGTCTCCTGGGCGGATATTGGATTGCTGTAGAAGCAGGCAAAGAATAATATCTGAGATGCAAGCACTACTGGCTTGCTCCACAACATGGTTGGGAAACGTTCATAGGAGGTGTCGGCCTCTTTGCCGTGACAATGGGCTCGTTCGAACTCGGCTTCAACGCTCTGATGTCTCTGCTCTGACAAGTAAAACGGCGAAAGCGGGAAGAAGCGGCTGGACGATGCAGACCGGAAGTGGAAAAAGAGAGGGTAACACCAGAGAGTATTCTGGTCAATTGGAGCGAATGCAATCTATAATCGCCGTCTTGGGCAACTCTACAAACAGTGAAGTGTATATAAAAAGGAAAGGCGGGGGAGGGAGACACTGAGTGAATCTAGAATGTCTCAAAAGATTTGTTTGTCACAAGCTAGGCGGGTGTAGCGGGGCACAGCATGTTTTTGTTTGGTACATTTGGGTCTCAGGTGGGTGGAACCAACCCCTGCAATTCTGACATCATGCGAGAACTCGGCACATAACTTACTCCCAAGTATGGAGAATATCTGGAGAATATCTGGAGAATATCTGGAGAATATCTGGAAATAGCTGGAAATAGCTGGAGGATATCTGCAGAATATCCGGAGAATGTCAGCAAGGGATCAGGGCTCAACAGAGTATAGAGTGCAGAAACTAGAGAGCGTAGATCCGGCAGGTATTTGAATTAGCTACGGCACTGGGGATTAGTAGGATTAGTAGGCCATCATACTCTCTACAGTACGTGAACTGACTCTGAATTTGAAAGCTCAAACTTTCAATATGCTCCGCCACCACCCCTTCACATGCACCGTGCGATATTACACGACACATCACTATACGATTACACAGTTATTCGAGCTTACATTTCAAACCGTACAGTTACAGTTCACATTGGACCCTGTTTTCCTTCCTCATGCCAAGTGCCTGAGTCTGGAGTTCTGGAGGAATCAACGCACTTTCTTTTTGCGCCAGGGATGAGCTAGATCTCGCGGATACCCTTCCAAATCGACTAGATGGCTATCAACTTCCCCGTCTTCAGGTCCGTCGGGTTACGGCACAAGGATCCAAAGCCAGAGGGCAATGGCATTGGCAATGGCATTGGCAATGGCATTGGCAATGGCATTGGCAATGGCATTGGCAATGGCGTATTAACAGACGATGCATCGCCCCCGGCCACAAAAACCCCGTCGCTGAAAGACGGCAACAACAACTCAGTTCATGCCAGCACACCCCGCAAATGGCTCACCATTATCGCATGCGTGCTTCTCTTCATAGGGTTTATCTTCCTGACACTGGTAGTTGCCCCATCTTGAGCCCCAGAGAGAGAGCGCACTCAGCTAACATCCTCCCAGATTCTCACTGCACAAACGAGCATCAAACCAGTGTTAAAGTCTACATGGTTCATCAAGGTCGACCTCTCCAACATTCTCGTCCGCGCCTCGACCCCAGGGAGCGACTTCCCGCTTCTGAACTCGATAGCCCGATCCCTCGGCCTGCACGATTTCTACCTCGTAGGCCTATGGAACTACTGCGAGGGCTACAACGATGAGTGCGTCCTCCCCGCCCTACCCAACCCAAACCCAACCACAAACACCCATTCTAACCACAACCAACAACAGAGGCATAACCAACTGTAGCAAGCCCACAAGCCTCTACTACTTCAACCCCGTCAAGATCCTCCTCGCCGAGCTCCTCGCCGGCGCCACCATCACCCTCCCCTCCGACATCCTCACCATCCTGCACCTAATCCAAATCGCCTCAAACGTAATGTTCATCCTCTTCCTCCTCGGTCTAATCTTCACCTTCCTCTCCGTCCTCCTCTCTCCCCTCTCCCTCCTGCGCTCGCCCCACTTCTCCCCCCGCAACCGCAGCTGCTGGGTCGGTTGCGGGCTGGGGCTCATCAGCTTCCTCGCCGCATTCTGCACAATCGTCGCGTCGGTCGTGGGGACGGCCATGTTTACGATCATGCGCAATGTGTTGAGGAGCCAGCCGATGCTGAATATTGGCGCGGTGCTGGGGGTGCAGATGTTGGCGTTTATGTGGGTTGCGTCGGCGTCGGTGTTATTTGCGTTTGTGATGCAGGCGAGGTGTTGCTGTTGTTGTAGGAATGGGAGGAAGGAGGGGGAAAGGGCGAGGAGGAGGGAGAAGTAGATGAGTGGTGGGGAGGCGGGGGGGGGGGGGGGGGGAAGGGGTTTATTGAGAATTTGAGGAGGGAGGGGAACTTTAGGTCTGGGTAAGATGAGATAGAATAGATTTTTTGAGAGTATTGTAGAAGGGGGGGTTAGCCCGATATTTCTAACTACAGGAGGACAATATATATCCAACAATTGCTCCCAAATTCCTCCCATACAAAATACACGTATGTCTATCTTTCGCAGTACATTCACAAAAGGCAGCAGCACCCAGTAGGATCCTGCACAGCTGGCCAAAAAAGTCATAAAGATACCAAAATTTCCATTTGCCAGCCTCACAAGACTCTACCACATCCCCCAGTGACAACCCCCCCAACCAACCAAAAAGCCTCCCATGAATGCAAAAAGATTACCCCAGACACCGTATCCGTCCCAGCCAGATCATGTACCCCTTCCCCCGTACTCCCACTACTTCCCCATCCCAATGATCATCATCTCCTGGCCGCGCGACTAAACACAGAAAAATATGAGGATAAATACATTATTCCCCCCCGCACTCCCCCAGCACCCAGCATCCGCATCCGCATCCGCACGCACGCTAATGATAATATAAACGCCCCCAGAGAAAAACAGGTCGGTGCCCAAACAGATGGCGGCTAAAATACAGATATCCCCCCGCTTCCCTCTCATCGATCGATCCAATGTGGCAGATAAAAAATATGGCGTGGCGTAGCGCACGTTAGTGGTTAGTTAAATGGCCAGTATATGGGTCTTGATTTTCGAGCAGACACCTCCCTTGCCCCCCTCTCTCTCCCATTATCCGCAGGGAGTTAATAAAAGGAGGTTAAAACACAACCTTGCCCCCTCCATACCTCACCATCCCATTCGTAGGACTGAACGTCCCACCCGCCCCTCCAGGTGTCTGCCCATCCCCGCTACCCGCCCACGACGTCATCGTCCCGGCGCGAGAGAAGGCGCTGCTACCCCCCATACTGAGTAGTGCATCGGCACGCTCAAATACGTTCCCCTGGAACATGCCCGTGCCGTATCCCGCGATCTGCGGCGCGATCGGCACGGTAGCTTGCACTGCTGGTCCCAGCGCCGCGCTCGCGGGCGTCATGGGCATAGCGACCTGTGGGGAGTGGAGAGCATAGGAGACGGAGGTGCTGGTAGAAGGGTGGTTTGTGTGATTCGCATGGTGTTGACCGCCCGGCCCAGAGCTAGGGCCAGTTAGGAAGGACCAGGGGGAGGCTTGGATGAGTTGACTCGTTTCGCGGATGACTTTTTGTAGAGGGCGGAGGAGTGCGATGACGTCAGTGGAGATGAGTGGGGTGACGGATTTCACCTCCTTGACTTTGACGACTAGGTTGTAGTATGAGCTCATGAATGTGTTGCAGAGTTCCCAGAAGGTGCCTTGGGTTCGGATCCCGGGCTCTTTCAGTTTGATCAGGGAGAGGCGCGCTTTTAGGGTTTCGGCGGTCTCGAGGGCGAAGGAGCATTTGATGCTGAGTGCTTGCCAGTAGTGCTTTAGTTGGTCGTAGGTCCCTTGCTGCATGCTGTTCTTGTTGGATTGTACGAAATGAGCGTTGACGGTGGGTAGAGTCCTGATGGCCATTTCTGATGACTGTTGCAGGCCCAGGAAAATCCTCTCAAATAGCCGGTCTTCTTCTGTGAAGTCACCGTTCATCCTTCCGGCCGAGGGGGCAGACGTGAACGATTCTCCAGATCGGGGGGTTGCAGATGTCATAGTTGCAGACCGACCAGATCCGTTCATATAGGTGCTCCTGGAATCTGTCAAGACACGCAGATTCTTTGTCTGCTGGATTGTCGAGGCACTCCTCATCCTCGAGGCCGGATTTGGCCGCTCCCGTGTCGGTGTCTTATCACGTGCCGACGGTCTGATCGTGTTGATATTAGTATCTTCTAATAAAGGTGGCAGCTGCTCTGTCGCTTTCTGCTTTGAGCCAATTAAACTCGTCCCTGCATTTCGAACCTCCACTAAACTCCCATATATATGGAGAAGAAGCATACGAATATACCGTGGGTCCCCGTTATTGAGTAATGATTCGACGTTTCGTGATAATAATGTGCAGACGTGAATATACGCCGAGACGCATGTAATACACGCCCTGCGAACATTCACATTTGAACGAGGGCTGACGTCCTCGTCTTCTTCAGAATAAGTATCATATTCTTGGATGTCGTGATCGAGCTCTTCAACATGTGTCGTTGCATTGAAGAAGACCCTTTCCAGACTTGTTCTTTTGTTAGAACCATCCCTGGTGAGTCCCATCAAGCTTTGAATTAAGGGATGCACTTGATCAAGAGCAAACAATATCCCTTTTGCACCCTCAATGACCGGATCTGGAGAGTTGGATTTGCGTTTCCGTTCAGGAAGGCTCGACAACCTCCTGACATATGTACTCCGTCCATTTGTGCTGTCAGCGGGACTTGCTGGGCATCTCGTGTTGCCATTTGTTCCGTTACTACCATTGCCGCTTTGAATCGCCGACCCATGGCTTAGGCCGCGTAAATGGCTATACCGATTTGTTTTCAATTCCTCGACAGTTGTGAGGTCGCTTGGTTTCTTAGACACAACTCCCATGCGCCGCGACCTGTCTGCTCGCTCGGCACGATCGCGCTGCAATAGACTCTCGCTGTTACTTCGAACACGTTCGTTACTATTGCCAATGGTTAATGGCATGATACCAGGTCTTCTCAACGCAGCATTCTGCTGTGACAACCCTCGATAATGAGAACGCGACGGTATTGGAGGTGGCCGCTGCAATGCTGGAGATCGTGAATCCGGTACATCGCTGCCGTTAACTTTGATAGGGAATCGACCACTTGTAACTCGCTTCAACGGCCGTGGGGTTTCGGCGCCTTCACTAGACTCTTCGCCTCCCGATTCCGTTTCCGATCGATCCATAATGAGCTTCTGCTTAAAAAACCTCTTGATCTGCGATGTCACAGTAACATCGTTTATCTCGCTTTCTTTTAAAGCGATACCATTGGGTGGACTACTGGCTTGAGCCTGCAGGACTTCTTTCGGCGGGTATCTTATAGGATTTCCATCCAGTTTCAAGCATTGGAGGGAGTTCATGTCTGCTAAACATAACGGCAGGTCTTCGATACGGTTTTTTTGTACCGATAGAACCTTGAGTGCCGTGAGTTTCGCAAGTTCGGGTGGAAGGATGCGGAGTTTGTTGCGGCTTATATCCAGAATTTCCAGGGAAGATAGTTCACAAATCTACACCATCAATCAGCCTTACGACCATAAAATGTAGGAGTCGGTGGGACTCACAGATAGAGGAAATTCTCGGATGGCATTATTTCGAACATTAAGGTATCGTAAGGACGTACACTCCGCAAATCGTGAGGGGAATGTGGAAATCTGATTATGTGAAAGCGCAAGTCTGTTACACACGGATTGTCAGTGCCATTTAATCCCGGTTCTGCTTATTGAAGAAAAATACCTTTCTAGCTCCGACTTAATTATGTCCACAACTTCTTCCGGGAATCGCTGGATATTTTTGTGGCTCATATCAATTGTGATGCCAGGCTTCAGTTCGTTCGTAATCCCGGCCTTCCCTCCGGACTTTGTCTGGTTCTCCTCCAACGCATTTTGCATCGCTTCCCTTGCCAGCGCAACGACTTGAGCGGTAGATGTCAGGTTTGAGGCGAGCATCCAGCCATCTGATGGCATTCGCTGTAGGCTGGGCATTTTCCACATCATGGTATCGCTATTCAGAGGCGGCTGACGAGTGCCGGCCGGGCCATCCGTAGCCCATCCTGAAGCCTGAGTGGCAGCTCCCAAAGGAGGTCCCGCGGGGCGCTCCATGAGAATCTATGGGCCTGCTCGCCCAGAATCACAGTTGATGTTGGCCGTTTGAGGGGCTGTCGGTCAACGTCTCAACGTTCCGAGAAGCGCGAATACAGACGCGCAATTGTGGACGAAGCGCCGTTGATCAATTATTCGCTGCGGCCCCGTCATGCGTAATCTTCGATATTCCCTTTGCAGACATGCGATAAATTCGGTGGTTCCTTCAGGTTATACCGCCTCATTCTTAAATGTCCGTCCCCCTTTGTCGCTGCATTCGACTGGTCATCGATATATAGGTCATGCTGGATGAAGTGGCTTATGTGGATGGGTGTCCTATCAAGTCGAGCGGCCAGACCTCCCGCCTCGCTTACAGTCTGTCGGGTCGTCCATGCAGGTACCTAACGCGGCCGGAGCCCAAAAGGGGTTTCGAGCTCACAAATCCTCAGCCTCGCCAAAGATGCGTCGTGATCTTAACTGCTCCGTATGCCCTCGTGAGGGAATGTTTGCCAGCCTTGCCTATTTCACAATACATTCAAATTTAATATAATAGTTACTCCCGGAGATAAATTATTGCATTTAACTCCCTTGCTATCTTTCGTCTATAACTGCATGTCCAAGCCTTAGATTTTCCCAAATGTTGGTAATAGTGAAACTCATATATTAGCCCAGGGTTAGCACAAATAATCATAATAATCATGACTAACGCTTTATAAATAATCATGATTATGATTATGATTACGACTAAATAATCATGATTATAATTGATTTTCTAACCCTGATATTAGCCATTATATTCAGCCTACTATAAAAATATTCAATTCCCGTTGGGAGTGTATGCAACACATATACCTCTACTCCAACGCCAAACATCCCGGGGCCAGTATCAAGTGAGCACATTGTTTACTTCGGAGCAACCATGGATGAATGTGAATCTGTAATCGCTACATATTGTACATGTCACTATCTATCTTTTTGTACAAACCCCTTGCTAGATTTAGTGATACACTGCTACCAGAATAAATGCTCGGATTATGACGGCGCTGGTGCCTCAACATCCTCCTCGATCGCCTCCTCCAGGATGGCTTCCTCCGCTGGAGCTAATTCAGCGCCCGTGTATTGAGCACTTCGTTGTTGCTCAATAATCTCAACTTCATTCTGTGCCCACTGCTTCCACGACTCGTATGTCTTATCCTCCAACTCCATACCAATCTCCAGCATCGATTTTCCGAAATATGCGCCAGTTGCAAGAGCTTCCTCTTTGGCGACTCTCCTCTCAACATCCTCCTGGTGGCGGATGGCGTAGAATTCTTTCCGTGCCTGGTCGTAGGCTTTCGCGGACGTCATGTCCGGTTTATTCTTGAGTAGCCACAATTGCCGTTGAATGACACTTAAATGATATGTTAGCAGTGCTACCATTTAGAAAGCATAGTCCCATCACTAACCTTTCACCATTCAACTCTCTAGCCGGCTGTTGTATTTTGCTCCAATCGCACTTTTGCCCATCCTTTCCGTCCTGTTCAAGAATAACTCTCGGCCGAGCAAGTTCCCAAGGATGGTCGCTATAAAAGTTTTCCCTGAGACCGTCTTCCTCGTAGCTGATGTTCGTCGGCTTGTACATTTTGCTTGGCTTCTTCGTTCGAATCTTCCGCGAAACCTCTGAGTGTTGTATGGGCTGTAACCTTGTAAGGATCTCTCCTGGAGGCACCGCTGAGACTGTTTTAAACCATGGCGGTATGGTTTGGAGTATGCCAGCATCGGCTTCGACTTTCCGGAGCTCTATAAGCCTCGAGGCCGCATGATGAACACGAGTTGGGGAGAGATTGTATCGCCCCATGTCTTATAGTATAATCAAAAACTCCACTATTGAGGCACAGTGGTTGCCTTTGGGCGATTGCTTCGACCTGTTGAGAAGCAACTGTCAGTTGAGGGTGTCGGGGACTTGGATTGATTTCTGACTCGGCAAGATCCGTGGTCAACCATTGTCGCGTACAAAATACTTTATTTCGCGAAGTAACGCTAGCGCCAATCCTGGCATATCAGCCTTCCTGTCGTCGACACAGTATAAAATTTCATTGTATCTCAATTCCTGCCATGGCACTGCTGCATTTCTGATTACAGAATATGCGACACCATGTTTGACGGTCCATGTCCTTCTTCGGAAAAGTTGACAAGTCGACAACCGGCTCTGTTGTCAAGAAGGTAGCAAAGCTACAGCTTCTTGCACCCTCCAAAACAGCTGGGAAGTCTGACATACCACCTACTCGCGGGCGACAAAATCCATACCGCCATTCTCTCATACGCAACGCAGCTGGGTCCATTGGGCTAGAGCAGTGGTTCATAGGAGCATTGGTGGGCGCTGGCCAGTGTAAGGACCATGGACCCTCGAGTCCACGACGCCCGCAACCTGAAGGTGTCAAGCACCTACAATCATTTCAATCAAGAAGCAGCGGGCTTCACTCGACTTTTATAATGCGCCGCCAGCAGCATACATCAGCATGTGCCGCTGTCAGCGAAGGACAGATTGGCAAAGACAGACTCTTAGCCCTTGTCGACCATTACGATCTCCAGCCCGACCCATCTTCAGACGAAGTTCAAATGTACCAGCTAGCCCCAGGGCCAAACCTCACAGTTTCAGACAAATCAGAAGATGTTGAATGGCCGCCCCAAGAATACCAGTGGCCTGCGGATGGCGAATCTCAGTCGATTCTCAAGCAGCTGGGGGAAGCATTGAAGGACCGATACTATGATTCCGAGACCATATTTCAACTTTATCGGTCACTCCCATCGCCCAGAGTTCCATACCTCAGTGCAAGAGTAAGGCATCGGTTGCTTCGGAATCTTGGGACGGTGCTGCGGAAGGATGAGCGTTCCATGATGCGATACTTATCCGTCATTGATGATATGAAGCTAAATGCTATTTCTCTTACCCGGGAAGAATGGAATACTGCGACGTCATTCGTGGCAAGCTACATGGATAAACCTACGACCATCGAAGTCGAAGCAAGTCTAAAAATGTTCAAGGAGATGGAGCATATTGCGGGTGTTGAAGCAAACTCAGCGACATTCAACATTTTATTCGATGCAGCTACCAAGGCTGGCAAATTTCATCTCGCAGAAATGATATACCAGGAAATGAAGAACAGAGGACTTCCCTATAACCGATTCCATCACGTCAGCCTAATATACTTTCATGGACTCCGTGGAGACGGCGACAGCGTTCGAAGTGCGTACAAAGCACTTATTGACGCTGGAGAGATTGTCGACACAGTTGTTATGAATTGCGTTATTGCTTCTCTCATACGAGCCAGAGAACCACAGGCAGCAATGCACGTATATGAGCGCATGAAACGTTTACACGTCGAGAGCAGCGCTGAGCCACCACCCCGCGATGCTCGAAAACGGAGAGAAATGGACCGGTCGTTGGTTAAACTCGCAGAGCGAGGAAGGTTTAATCCTGAATTACTTGGGCAGTACAAGAAAACGTCGATTATCGCCCCTGACATACGGACATATCGGCTCTTGATTAACCACCTCGCCGTTCATGGGGGTCAACTTCACATGACTACTCGGATGCTTGACGATATGTCCTTGTTCAACGTGCCCATTCATGGCTCAATATTTCTCGCTCTGTTCAATGGCTTTGCAAACCACGGGGGCGAATTGTATTCGCACTGGACAGACAAACGCCTCGAAAGCGTTTGGTTAGCCTTTATCAAAGCTCATCATGATGAGCGCAACGAAGATGTATATATAGGGAAGTGGACTGTGATTTGGGCTTTGAAGGCGTTTGCGAAATGCGCTGGCATCCAAAGGACAGAGGAGGTATGGGAGGAGGTCCACAGCAAATGGTATGGTGAGAGCGAAGAGGTTGACTTTGCCAAAAAGGTCATGTCTTCTCTCGTGGATTCGAATTATTCAGGACCGTGATGAAGGTGCTCGGAGAAGTTGAGCGGCATGTGCGTGTACATATCTATCTGTTGGAATTGAGGAGCGAAACACAACGCTATCCTCGTAGTTGTAAATATAATGGATAATATAGAGGTCAATATATTATAGTTCAAAAGACACGCAGGAAATCTTAATGTTAGTGTTGTGATTTGGATATATTGTGCAACTCCTTTGGTCTAGCTAATAGTCTAACCACCTGTTGCCTCCCTGTAGAAACTGATACTCCTGTTCGCCCCAGCCGTTGCAAACGCCTCGCTTTTAGCCGTCTTTGGCAGCCACTTCACAGACCATAGAGCATTTTCTGTTTCGCTGTGAGTAGCCACGCTGGTCCTTAGGTCCACTGACCACACCTTGGCCTTTCCATCGAAAGCCCCGCTTAGAATGTATTCGCCAGTATCACTCCAGTCGACCGAGAAAACCCACGCTGCGTGCCCGGTAAGATTGGCAACCTGCTCGCCGTGCCGGACGTCATAAAGCGCAATGATCTTTGAGTCCCCAGCAGCAGCAAGGCGTGAGCCAGCTGGAGAGAAAGCGACGGTACGGACTGGCTTTACAAGACCTAGGCTGTGTTAGTTGTAATGTCGCAGTATGGCGAAATACGAGACTAACCTGGCATCGAGTACATCATCCTGCCTGTGTCATTATCAAACACATAAACAGCACCATTCTCATGCCCACTCGCTGTGCACTTCCCATCTCGACTCAAATCCACGCACAGCCCAAAGCTCCCCTTCGTCTCGTATTCCCTAACCTTCTTCTCTCCTTTCGGCGTAGATATATCCCACACATTTATCCTCCCGTCTATTGTTGTAGAAGCGAGGAAGCGCCCATCAGCACTTAAAGCCAGGGCCCAAACTTCGCCCGCCCCGTTTCCATCTTCTATTGCTGCTTGCAGCGACCATTGTTCCGACTCGGGATCTATTGTCCAGATCTTGAGTTCGCCCCCAAATCCTGCAGAGGCTGCTACGGTGCCCGAGCGGGAGGTTGTGATGTGGTGGCAGCCAACAGGGTGTGCACCAGAGAGGCTTTGCACCAGAGGTATGTCGGGGCTGGCTGTAGAGTATATTTTGATTGTAGAGGATCCAGACGCAGAAAGAAGCTGTGTAGGTGTCACGGCGACTGCGAATATGTCGGTGGGGTGAGCTATGTCTGGTCAGCATGCGAACAGCATTCCGTAAAGGCCTTGGGACCATACCATCGTCAATCGTGTGGGTGGTCAGATATTGTTTGGACTGTGAGGTTTTAGTCTACTGGAATCAGACGTAAAGAGGCATATAGGTCTCACCATTGTCACCTATCCGCGTCTTGTGCGCGCGCGGGCAGGCTGGTGTTTAAGAGGCTGAGGCTGGTTTTGGCGGGGTTTAAATTTGGCGACTGGACGACGTTGGAAGTGGTCGCGCCGAGATATTTCCACCCCATATCCCTTCACCATGAGTTTGCAAAAAGTTATGTTAATACGTATTGTAACATTTCAATCTCTATCTAGTGAGATCAATCTTTTGTTATATTTTATACAGTATTGTCACATTGGTAATCGCATGTAGCCATTACTACCATTCTTCGCTTTCCCATCGCCCTTGAATAACGCCAGTTGCAATGCCAGATCTCTCTGCCATGAGATTTCAAATTTACAGTCTCCAAATTATACAGTGCACTTATTCAGACTTGGTCGTCCCAGTCGTCCCAGATGCCTTCTTCATCGTCGCCTTGAACATGTCTTGGATCTCTGTGTAGGAAATATCAGCATTGTTCCACCCGCCGGAATTATAAATATCATTAAGCGTACCTTTAACGCAGTAAGGACACAGCAAATGAGCTCTCTTAACATGCCCGCATGCTGAGCACTTGTTTATTTCCGTAACATCCTTCAGCCCTTTGCCGGCCATGAAGCGCGACCTCTTCTTCATATGGGATGTCTTCTTCTTGGGCACAGCGCGGAGAACTGACTCCCAAATATCGCCAAGCAGAGAAGGAACATTGAGACGTATCGACGCGGGAATGGCGAAAGCAATCGTAGGGAGAATCGGAGTTGAGGCGTATCTCGAGAAGAGAGTCGTAGACCGCGAAGCGGCTGATGCTGCTGGTGCGGACAGACGAGGAAGTAGGAAGGAGAGAATCGACGATGTTGACTGTACTGCCGCCATTTTGAAGAGATTAGGGATTGATGTCGCGACAGTAGCTCATACAATGGGTGATTTGTACATGAAGCTATATAAATTAATTCGCTGCGTCTCTCGGCGCATCACGCTTTTCGTGCAGCACGGACCACGCCAATTCTCAAGGTCGGAAAAAGCTAAGCCGGATGTAGCCTGGAAAGTTCCTGGCGAGAAAGGGGTTCTTGGAACCCGCGACTTAATGGGAAATTTGGCGATTACCTCGCGGAGAGAGATACTTTGACCTTCCACAGACGACGACATAGTCACGTTTCTCCCTCGTTTTCAAATATCTCCAGTTAATTGAACCAAGGACACCTGAATAATATCCAACTTGTCGACTCCATCATGTCTGCCACTCAGGAGAGAAATGCAGCACAGTCGGTGTTCCCACGGAGCCATGTTGGTTTCGACAGCATCACATCGCAGATCGAGCGCAAGCTCCTGAAGCGCGGTTTCCAGTTCAATGTTATCTGCGTTGGTATGTTATAGACAGATCTACAGATCAATTTAACTATACTTTACGAGGCAATTGCTAACTACATTGTTAGGTCAAACCGGTCTCGGAAAGTCCACTCTCATCAACACCATCTTCGCATCCCACCTCATCGATTCGAAGGGACGTCTCGCTCCAGATGAGCCAGTCCGCTCCACGACCGAGATCCAAACCGTGTCGCACATTATCGAGGAGAACGGCGTGCGACTCCGCCTGAACATTGTCGATACCCCCGGTTACGGCGACCAAGTAAACAACGACAGATGCTGGGACCCAATCGTCAAGTACATCAAGGACCAGCACTCGGCCTACCTCCGCAAGGAGCTCACTGCTCAAAGAGAGCGTTACATCCAAGATACCCGCATTCACTGCTGCCTCTTCTTCATCCAGCCTTCCGGACACGCCTTGAAGCCAATCGATATCGTTGTGCTTAAGAAGCTCTCTGACGTTGTCAACGTTGTGCCAGTTATCGCCAAGTCCGACTCTTTAACACTCGAGGAGCGCAGCGCATTCAAGGAGAGAATCAAGGAGGAGTTCGCCTTCCACAACCTAAAGATGTACCCATACGACAACGATGAGCTTGACGAGGAGGAGCGCGCCCTGAATGCGCAGATCAAGGTACTGTATTTGTATACGTTTCGCCAGAATTCTCATTAACTTGTTTTTAGGACATCATTCCCTTCGCTGTTGTCGGCTCTGAGAAGTCCATCATCGTCGCGGGCAAGCAGGTTCGCGGTCGCCAAAACCGCTGGGGTATCATCAATGTCGAGGATGAGAACCACTGTGAATTTGTGTACCTTCGCAACTTCCTCACTCGCACTCACTTGCAAGACCTGATCGAGACGACGTCTCAGATCCACTACGAGACTTTCCGTGCCAAGCAGCTTCTGGCCCTGAAGGAGAGCAGTGCTGCTGGACACGCCGGCAGCCGACCAATCAGCCCTGCGGCGGATCGCGAGATGAGCAGGGGCTCCCAGAGGATGACTATGAACGGTTACTGAGTCGAGATTTAATATGTTGTTTATTACCCAAGGTTTTATGAAAGCGAGATGATGTTTGTCCAATCGCGAAGGCAAGGAGTCTCATTGAAAGGGACTGGGCACTGTCTAACCCATTGAGATGGGGTCGATATTCACTGCGTTGCTTGTTTTTCTTGCATTAGCCAATTCTAATTCGAGAATGTTACAAGATGGAGTTGTTGCTACATCTTTTCCAGTACCATGATAATCATAAGCGTGACTGAAACTCCCCATTCCGTAGTGGTAGGTAGATGTCTATAACTCGTAGTATTTACTTGTTCGAAGAACTTAATACTTCCAATCAAACCTTCAAAGTAAAGGAACATTTAGGTCGTTGACAGTGGCAGCATTTGAGAAGTACAGAATATTTCCTAAAGGGAACTAATCTGTTCCATCGTATCCCTGAAATAGAACATAATCTCCTGAGACGTGCGGGTCTAACGCCAAGCAAGGTACGGAGTATTCGGGGACGGCCAGGAACCTTGACCTTCAATTCCATCTTTCAACCTCACAACAGCGATTCAATCACCACATTCATTACTTGTGTACTATTTAGAAGACTCGCTCTTCTACACTCTCCTTAAGGAACCAACACTCTTTTTCAGAGACTCCGCTCATTTTCAATCGTCCAATTACCTCGCGCTTTACTCTTTTATAGATACCAAAATGCACGCCTCCTTCTTCTTCGTTGCCATCGCGGCTTTCGCACGCGTCGCCCTTGCCACGCCACCTGCTTGCTTGATTGCTGCCCTTGGGTATGATCCCCTGGAGCCTGCTGAACCATGAGAGTCCAACTAACCCCAAAAAGCGAGCAATCCAACCCAGCCGATATCCCAACCCTCTGCAAGTCCGGCCTCGACGCCTTCTACGGCAACATCACCGAGAAGTGCAGCGGCGACAACAAGGCCGCGGCCGTCAAGATCTACTCCTCTACCTGCCTTGCTAGCGGTGTCACCATCAGTACGTTGGGCTGTTGTTTACCCTCTCGAGGACCATAATCTGACGCTTAATAGCTCTCCCAACCTCCACCTCCATGACTTCCGCCCCAACCCAGACTGGATCCAAGTCTGACTCGGGCTCTGGTTCCGATTCTTACTCTGGCTCCAGCACTGCTCCCGCTGTGATTAATGCCGCCGCCACCAAAACGTTCGTGTCCATCGCATAACCCCAACGAGATTCATAGCTAACAATTCACAGTGGAGGCGCCGCATCGCCCACTGCGACCGGTGCCGGTTTCAGCTTGAAGGCCGGCTCCAGCGTTCTCCTTGGATCAGTCGTCGTCCTTTCCGGCCTCGCCAGCCAGCTGCTATAAACGTCCAGTCCAGAGCGGATTTTCTCGTGCCTGCGTCCATTATGTGCAGTGATCTCATGTTATCTTAGCAAATGTGGTTTATTCTCGCCCCACGCGTCATGTTGGCATCAGGTGGACCCTGACCCTGAAACATCATGACGCGTCACCCGTCAGGGGCATCAAATATTATCGAGTTACGCATACGACCGCCATCTTCGCTATAGTACACGGGAAAGCTGGATCAAACTCGCCAGGTTCATGAAATCGAGTTCGGATATTTTGCAGTGGCAGATCTCAGTATACCAATAGACTTATTTTCCTTGTGGTTCTCTTGATTGTCTTTATACATTAGGTTTGCATCTGCTCCGCATACAGAATAAAGGGAAATGTTAGAATAGACGTGTTAATGTTGTATACCAAACAATAAGAAATTATGGTTTTGCATTACTTTGCTTCCAGCAAGCTGCTTATCCCTTTCTCCCTAGCTATCCTTTTATTCTCCTCCCACTGGATGAATGCCATACCTTGGAGAAGGCTGTCCGCAAGGTCGTCAAGCTTGCCCATCTTTTCAATGGTAGCTACAGAATCTTTGGCAGGCCTTTTCCCCTTAACGCCTCCGGGCTTCTTATCCCATTTGTCCAAATACGCCATCACGAGCGTCTCTACATCCGGAGAATCCACCTCAACCCTGTCGCCTATGGCCAGCCAGTTGCGAACCAGGTCTATTTTGGCCCCTTTATTAAGAGCCTTTGCGAGCTTAGCATTCCGTGTCTTCGTCTCCATCACTGCAGCGGGACTAGACCCCCCTGTTTCCACTTCCTCCAAAGAGGCAGTGGTAGCTTCTTCGCCCTCCAACCAGAACGGTCCCACTTTACCGGGAGCAATTGGAATCACAGTTCCATTCCAAGCACCTTCCTCTCGGAGGGTAAGTAAAATAGCGTAGATCATGCTCTCCAGCATGTTAACCCTTACTGTCCACTCGAGGATCTTTGGGGAGCCCATGGAACGAAAGCGTTGGCGTTCAATGAGGATATGGGTTGGATTATGGGGCAGGAGAGTCTTGTGGAGAAGCTTGAATGCGGCGGCCGAGAGGGCAGGCGGTTCGAAAGATTCCTTTTCTACTGTTGCAGCCAGCTCGCTTTTGTTATTGTTCGGTACTGGTGCTGATGATACTGCAATGCGTTTCCATGCCACCAGTTTGGGTAGAGAGGAATCCGTTGGAACATCGAGGACGCAGTAGGCCAGGTTGCGAATTCCCATATCTATACTCAATATTCTCATCGGTTGTCCCTTCGTCTCCGATTTCCCTGCCATTTTAGGCCCAGGTAAGAGAGGAATCTCATCTTGTAATCGTTGGCAGAGAGTGGCCTTCACGCCAGAAGTTGATACGCCGCATTTAAACGCGAGTTGTTTGAGTGCCGCCCCTTTAAGGGTAGAGAGGAGTTGGAGGGCCATCCATTATCCGGGGTTTGGTGGGATTTGGCGGGGTTTGAGGGTCCAGTTGGCTGCAAATTGAGTTATGGTTCGCGACAGTGTACTAACAATTTACTGGTATTGGACGCGACGAGGCTGATGATGCACGTCGGGATTTGCTTACTAAATCTACGAATCGATGCCAGCCTCGGCCCATGTCCGTTGTTATCAAATAAATTGGTAATCCCGTGGCAACAAAACATCGGCCTGTGGTATAATCATTTCCTATTTCTTAAAAGCCTGCTGCATGCATGTATAAAGGCTTCAAACAATTGGTGTTGTTTAACCAAGCTAGCCGTTATCCGCGGGTCGAGACCTGGCTTCATGTCAAATCAATTCTGCGGCCCCACGCTACCTTGAAGCAGTCCCCGCGCCATCCAACGCCATCCCAAGTTATAAATCAACCACGGCACCCCGCCTCGTGGTGCGACCACCCATGAACGCCTTCACCATTCTTTCCCGCGCAGCTCCCATTCGAGCTTCTAGCTCTGCAAAAACTAGCTCCAGGCTCGTTTCTGTTTCTCGACACTTTTCCAGCACAACCAGAATCATGGCTCCAATCGTGAAGGAATGCGACTTTTTAGTCATTGGAGGCGGCAGTGGTGGACTAGCTTGCGCCAGGAGGGCGAGCGGCATGTATGGCATCAAGACGATTGCCGTTGAGGCCAAACGACTAGGTGGAACGTGTGTGAACGTTGGGTATGTCTCTGTTCTCTGTCCGTTGCTCAAGAATCGTGCTAACCTCATCGTAGATGCGTGCCCAAGAAAGTTACCTGGAACGCTGCCGCTATTGCAGAGACCATCCACGAAGCAAAGGCATATGGGTTCTCTGTGGAGGAGACAGCTCCGTTCAACTGGCCGGCTTTCAAGACGAAGCGCGATGCATACATCAAGAGGCTCAACGGAATATATGCACGCAACTTAGACAACGATAAGGTCGAGCATATCCATGGTTATGCTACTGTAACTGGCAAGAACGAGGCGACCGTTAAGCTCAATGACGGCACCGAGGCTACCATTCGCGCAAAGAAGATCCTGCTTGCCGTCGGTGGCCACCCAATTATACCACAAGACGTTCCTGGCGCGGAGCACGGCACGGACAGTGACGGCTTCTTCGACATCGAGACCCAGCCAAAGAAGGTCGCCTTGGTAGGCGCTGGCTATATAGCTATCGAGTTTGCTGGCATGTTCAATGCATTGGGAACGGAGACCCATCTATTCATCCGCCATGACAAGTTCCTCCGCTCTTTCGACCCCATGCTCCAGGATGCGATTGTTGCCGAGTACGAGCGCCTTGGTATTAAGATTCACAAGCTTTCGAAACAAAACAAGATCGAGAAGGACGCTAAGACTGGCCAGCTCTCGATTCACTACGAGGATTCGGAGGGCGCCGGCGTGCTAGAGAACGTCGACTCGCTCATCTGGGCTATTGGTCGTGCCCCAGAAGTTAAGAGGCTCGGTCTGGAGTCGGTAGGTGTCAAGCAAGACGCCAAGGGCCAAATTGTCGCAGACGAGTATCAAAACACCAACGTCGAGAACATCTACTCGATTGGCGATGTGGTTGGCAAGTGGGAGCTTACACCTGTCGCCATTGCTGCTGGTCGCAGGTTAGCGGACCGTCTCTTCGGCGGCCCTCAATTCGTCAACTCCAAGCTGGACTACGAGAACATCCCATCTGTTGTCTTCGCACACCCAGAGGTCGGGTCCATTGGACTTACAGAGCCTGAGGCGATTACCAAGTACGGCAAGGACGATATCAAGGTCTACAACACCAGCTTCACGGCAATGTACTACGCCATGATGGAGCCGGAGGACAAGGGCCCCACGAAGTACAAGCTTATTTGCCAGGGACCTAATGAGAAGGTGGTCGGCCTGCATATTCTTGGCCTGGGATCTGGAGAGATGTTGCAGGGATTCGGAGTTGCGATCAAGATGGGAGCAACGAAGAAGGACTTTGATAGCGTCGTGGCTATCCATCCAACAAGTGCCGAGGAACTGGTCACCTTGAAATAGGTGCCCCTCTTGTTGTAATAATGTATAAATAGAATACATTATCTTCAGAACTCAAAGGTTGATTTTAACTGTGGGTAGTCATGCATGAGTTACCGAATCCTGCAGCTTCCGGTCTTGCTTTATGCCACCCAAATCCCCATCTCTTGATATTACGTGCTTATTTATTAGCGCTTGCCGCCCAGGGTCTAGCCAACCCTCAGAACGGGTATATAAAACCACCACCCCCACCAAACTTGTTATCTTTATACTTGCAGCTTATATAAAATAAAGCACCATGGCCCTCAAAAACCGCCTCACTACCATCGGCCGCCCACTCCAGCTCATCTGGTTACCCATCACATGTAAACCTCCTTTCCCATCCTCATCTATATCAAAATACTAATTCCCCAAACTAGTTCACTGCGCCGCTCTCAAAGAAGCACTTCGCAAAGATGGTCTCGCCTCACTTGCACGTCCCTAACGAATTCGTGATGCCGCTGCGGCAAATCTCTTCATCACAACTTGTAACTTTCCTATTCCAACCCAACCAACTATATACTAACTCTCGTGCACAGCCAATGGCTTTATCGCCTTTGAAGACACCACCTATGTCCCCTCTCTAGTCCGGTCCGCTCGAGGCACAATCCTCGAGCTAGGTCCCGGACCAGGCAACCAAATCCACCGCTACGATGCATCTCTCGTAGACTTCATCTACGCCGTTGACCCCAACCCCAAGTATAGAGATGTGATTGCTGCAAAAGTCAGGAAAGCTGATCTCGGGGATAAGTACAACTTTATCGCGTGTGGCGTTTAGGACAGCGAGCTTTTGAGAGGCGAGGGGGTTACAGAGAGGAGTTTGGATACTGTACTGTGCGCGGTGGGGAATGTCGAGAGTGTGATGAGGGAGGTGTGGAAGTTGTTGAAGGCGGGGGGGAGCTTTGTATTTTGGGAGCACGTGAGGAATAAGGATACTGCCACAGCTGTTACGCAAAGTACGTATTGGTTATGATATTATGGAGGTTTTGGAGGGGAGCTAATATGAGAATAGCTTGTTTGAATCCTGCTTGGAGCGCACTCGTTGGGTGTTGTATAAATCGGGATATCAAGGCGGCTATCCTCGCTGCTGGGGAGTGGGAGAACCCTGGTGACATCGAGGTGACTGATGAGCCATATTCTGTCTTGCCTAGGATTTCGGGTGTGCTTAAGAAGAAGGTTTAAGCTGTGCCTGGGATTAATATAAATATTTTTGTTAAGTTATATAATCAAGATAAATTTATTCGCGGATTTTTTAAAATTTATTTATTATGACCAAATCAAACGGCCAATTAATCAATGAACAGCCAGTAATGATAACAATGGAGAACGTAGGAAAAACGAAGGCGACCTTTAGGACCACAGCTAGAAAAATACAACAGTGATTTTACTCAATGATAGGGTTTGCTTGATACTCATAAATTTGCTATCGTCAACAATCATACTCATCATCCCACCCATCATCGAAAGCGCCCATATCCCTCTGCGTGCTCACCCACTCCTCACTCGCCAACCCATCCCTCTTAGCTTTCTTCAATGCCTTGGAATCCTTATGCCAATCGCAAGCCCATTTGCAAACCGGTATCGCCGACTCCCCAAAATACCTGCAAATTAACTGATGCCGACACATATTCGTGTCCTCACAATACTCAGCCAGATACTGCAAACTCTTCATCCTTGCCTCGTAGTTCTGTTTATTCTTGTTGTTCCTGTCTCTTGCATGGTCCCGAGCAATGTTGTTGATGGCCCTGTCCCGGTCTTCGCGACTATAATACATGATACACGCGCTTGCTTTCCCGTCACGACCAGCTCGGCCGGCTTCCTGGTAATACCCCTCGAATGACTTGGGTAACTGCCAATGCACGACGAAGCGGACGTTCTCTTTGTCGATGCCCATGCCAAAGGCGGTTGTGGCCACTATCACGTCGTACCCAGGCTCATTGTTAACCCACTTTGTGAGCGTCTCGTTCCGCTCCTGTGTGCTGAGCCCAGCGTGGTATGGCCGAGCCGCTATATCGTGAGAGCGGAGGCGACTAGCAATGCTCTCGCACTCACTCCGCATGAGAGCGTATATAATTCCCGGCACATTGTCTATCCGTTCTCCTCGTGCCTGCAGTTCAGCGCTCCTCTCTTTGTTTTCTCGCCTTCGCACATAAACTTTCTCGAGCCAACGCAGGAAATCATCGAATTGGTCATCCTCATCCGTCTTGAATCTGACCTCATAATGGAGATTCTCCCGGCTTGTTGTCATAGTGAATATCTTCATACGTTCCTCTTTCAACCCCAGAATTCGGATGACATCCTGACGCACATTGCTCGTCGCCGTAGCCGTTAGACACATGACCGGGACATCCGGAAAGCTCTCCCTAAACCATCGCAGTTCCTTGAACGCAGGACGAAAGTCGTGGCCCCATTCAGATATGCAATGGGCCTCGTCCACGGCGATACGGGCTAGCTCTTTCTGCTCGTAGACCAGGGTGAGGTGGCGCCGGATGTAATCCAAGGCACATGACTCCGGCGTGATGTACAGAAGACGAGTGAGAGGATGCCCAGTCGCTAGATCTCTCAGAATTTGCTGCTTCTCTGATTGCTTGGTGGTGCTGTTTATAGCTGCTGCATTTATTCCAGCTGCCGTCAGAGCCTCGACTTGATTGCTCTGTGGGACGTCAGAAATTGATGGTGAAAGGTTTTTCAGTTACTTACCATGAGAGACAATAATGGAGAAATGACGATAGTTACTATTAAGGTCAGAAAAGACTTGCCATATTATACTCTGCTGAACTCACTGCCATGATCGATTACTGCGGGTAACTGATAGCACAGGCTCTTGCCAAACGAAGTGGCAGCCTGGAGAAAGATGTCCTTGCCATCAAGAGCCTCAATCACTACCTCTCGCTGGATGGGTCTATTGAAATCAGCATTTATTGAAATCAGCATTTATTGAAATCAGCATTTATTGAAATCAGCATTTATTGAAATCCGAATATATGACAGGGAGTAGTAATGGCATACCTGAAAGCGGTCTTGCCAAACACGCGTTGGAGTGTGAAGTCAACATCAATACAGGAATTAGATCGTGACAGAGGCATTTTCATGGCCTTTATCGGAACCCTCGTCAAGGCATGTTGATATGTCGAGAAACCTTCAATTGGAAATTTAGAGATTCCCCAAAGATGCGCAATCCCATGAAGTTCCCTGGAGTGTGTTTAGAGAAAAGCCGAGGTGGTAAGCGCGACGGAACGCGATAGTGGTATAAAATCGCATTTCCCGAGTTAATAAATAAGTCACCTAGCACGAAACTTGATATTCAATTTGTCATAATAAGCTTTCTATTGGGATGCCGAATATTATGCGGCAAGATTCTCAATACGTCTATTTCTTGTCTACTTGGCTACCGAGCGCCGGGTTACTGGCATTTAACCCCAATTGCCCATTTGTACACCTCACTCTTTCCCACAGATATGTATCCTACTTTATTTACTCCTTTCCGAAAACAAATTCGTTCAACTCCTCAAATGCCTTCTGCTTGTCGTCATTCACAATGATCTTGTCGTGGACCCCCTCAACCTTCGAATACTCCAACTCGGCCTTCGCCTGCTGTAGTCGCTTCTGGATGCTCTCCTCCTTCTCTGTGCCTCTGCCTCTTAATCTGGACTCGAGAGCCTCAAAGTTTGGCGGTGCGATAAACACGTATCTGGCATCGAGGGTTGTGTTCTTGATCTGCTTAACGCCCTGCATACTATTGTCAGCCACAGTCAAACTCCAACACCTCCACCTACCCCAAAAGTAGAGAGTAACGTACCTCCATCTCAATATCCAAAATAACCACCTTCCCCTCCTTGGTCAACCTCTCAATCATCTCCCTGCTCGTCCCGTATCTGTTCCCCCCGAACTGCGCATGTTCCACGAACCCCTCCTTCGAAATCAGATCCTCAAAGTCCTCCATCTTCACAAAGTAGTAGTCCTTTTCGTGCGCCTCTCCTGGCCTTGCGCCCCGGGTTGTGTGTGATATGCTCGTCTCGAAGACGTTCGGGTGCGCATCCTGCAGCATCTTGTAGAGCGTGCCTTTGCCAACGCCCGAGGGGCCGGAGATGATGATTGGACGAACATCCTTGGGGAGGGTTGCTGCTGCAATAAGTCAGCTTGCGCTCTATGTCAAAGCAACTTGCGACGGTAGGGCAATGGGGGTGCGGGGGAGGGGGAGGGGGAGGGGCAGGTAGCTTACTGGGAGCCATTGTATAGGAGCGGTGGAGTGGATGAAGTCTTTTGGGAAAACGGTCTATTCGAATGGCTCGCAGAGTGCGACCGAGGAGCATAGAGAGGGAGAGAGTGGGAATTGTATAGCCCGAGAACTGGTTGTTCGTTCTGTACCTTCAATCCCAAAATTCTTGATCGACCTGGGTGGGTTGAGGGAGCCTTTAAATTTAGGCACGAAGTTGTTCTCACTTTGCACATTGCAGCCAACATGACGAAAACGGAATCTTTTATTCACCACAATACTCCTCAATTCAAAGGCTAGACATGAATATATAGTTTACTCAAAAATCTCTGCGATGGAAATAATATTATTTGGTTTATAAAGGTGTGAACTGCCCGTCTGGACGTAATGACCATGCAAATCTTCCGACGCCGGTACCAACATCACCCCGAACTCCATAGTTAAAACAAACAATACGCTATCATATCTAATAAACTCCCCCAAAAACCATGCTGCATCTAAAATGCTCCACTGTTGCGGCTGTACACAGATGCGGTGTAGGCTGGGTGGCGCGTTGGTGGCGGTACCTGAAGGTGGTTGATAGGTTCGCAACGGTCTTCCCACTCCTTGAACTGCTTGGTGTTGGTGGGAACTGGTCTCGAGATGAGCGACGAGCGGATTGGGTTATTGAACTTGAAGTTGCCAAGTCTGAATTTTGACTGACGGTTCTCATTCTCCTTGGTGTACTGGGGAAGCTCGAACGACCTGGGTCCAGTTGAGTTGCTGCGCACCGACTTTGGTAGGTCGTCAAGCAAGACTTTTGCGCCGTGGGCTCTGATTTGGCGGGATGTAATACCCTTCTTGCGAATGCGGAAGGCATAATGAGCAATGAAGTTGATGACTCCAAAGACAAGGCCGAGAATGCCTCCAGCAACGACCACGCTCCAGAATGATATGCCAATAGCTTCTTGCGAAGTTGCAGGCTTGTTGAGGTTGCCAAGCAGATTGCAACCCAGAATGGTCATAGACAAAGCCAAAGTGATAAGACCTGACTCCTCGCTGAACAAAGGCCAGTTTCTCGAGAACCAGCCTTTGAAGAGACAAAGCTCTGAAAGGATCAGAAATATGCTGATCGTGCTCGTAGCAAAGTGGGTAACGCCATCGAAGAAAAAGAAGTTTGATGTCTGGACGGTCCTGACGAGCATGATCCAGCTCCCCGCAACAATAAGACCCAATGTGATAATGTTGAGAACCCGGATGATGTTGAGAATGACATAGCCGGCGCCAGTCTTCTTGAAGTTTTGGAACAGGGAAAGGATGTTGAACATTTTGGCGGGTGTTTGGATGAGGATCGAGGGACTGAGGAGGCAATTAGTGGCTGAAATGAGAACTTCTCAAAGCACTTACTGTTATATGTAGATGGACTGGTAAGTTTTGGTAGAGAGTTGTGGCTGCCGGCAGCTATTGAATGGTATCGTTGGGATAAGGTAAATGGCCTGATTGATAGAGGGAATGGAATGAAGCAAGTAGCTGGTGATTCGAAGCAACGAGTTGGCAAGAGAGATATCGTTCGGTATATATAGTAATAATAAGAACGGCTCTGAAGTGGAAATGGGGTAATATATCAAATATACCAGTGCTGAAGCGAAGAAGGGGGCTGATTGACACAGTCGTTATTGTCCCCTGAATCGAAATGGACAATAGAGCAAGACAATGAATAAAAAAACGGACAATAGGAAAACGATGTTATTCAACTTCGCGAGGCACCCACGACTCTTTATTCAAAATTAAGCTACACCACGCGCTGTTTCTAACATCACGGCGTCAAAGGCAGTCGAAGATCATTATCCTTCCTTATGACCCACGCTATTATGCTTCATCATTGCCGACAGCAACTGCCATCCAATAGCCAATATGCTACAAAAAGAACTTGCCACTCCTACCTGACGCGACTCTGAGACTCGAAACCTTTTGTTTCAATACATGTGCTGATTGGTTGATGGAGACATGCCAAAAGACATCGTTGTCCTTCATTCTGCTCTGCCAGTCTCGGAGTGTCAAGAAGCAGGGGCGCGGAGAGGTCGCAGTGGACCACACCACATCCCCATACTTTTTCTGGAGTCATAGGAGCAGGCCCACGAGTATATTTACTCAGCGCTTACTACCGTTTCAACGCGGTATGGACGTTCACGTAGCGACTGGACGAGACTGGGATCATTTGGCGTTTCATAGTTTGTATTGGGCGAGACGCAACCAAACATTTCCTATTAGGGCGTAGCCTCGGTAGCCGAGACGAGCCAGGGGCGAAGCGCCCAAAGGCCAGGAACATAGCCGCCATCACCGTGGTTTGATCCCTCATACGAAACGCACTGATAAAATGGGAATACGGGCGCTTAAAGATGCCTTTTAATAGCACGCGAAATCGAACGATAACTAACAAAGCCCGACAATAGCTTCTTGGTCGCGTGGTTAAATCAGGCGTGGCGCCTTTATTCACCTATCTGCCCATAGTCGCTGTCACGCTAGCCCGTATTAGTCAGATCCTGGGCAGTAACTCTCTCACCGCCTAAATAATCCCTTCGACTTTCACCCCTCCCTCCTCAGCCTCACTTTCGTAGTTTCATCTCGAGCAAAGCAGAACTAGAAGCTAGCCAGGCAGGCACTCGTGTAGACCCCGTCGCAATATATCGAGTTCAATCGACATGGCTCGTGGGAACCAGCGTGATAAGGCCCGTGAGGCTAACCAGAAGAAGTTGGCTGGCCAGGTACGACCTCGCGCCGATCGCTACTGAGAAGCATAGATAGTCTATGCTTGTCAAAAATGATCTGAGAGTAGCAGCTAATGGATATTGAATGAGCAGAAATCCGAGAACAAGATGTCCGGCTCTGAAATGGCTCGCACCAAGGAGGCTGTCGCTGCCAAGATGAGAGAGAAGCAGGCCGCAGGTAAGACAGAGACTGCTGGAAGGGCCCAATACATGGAACTAATCTGAGTCTTTCTTATAGCCGATGCCAAGAAAGCTGCCGATGGTGCCGCAAAGAAGTAAAACTACCAAGACGGTATTCATATAGAGGTGATGGGGGTGGCGACAAGGTTCAAAAACAACCTCGGAATTCAGATGAGAGTGCGGAGAAAGGCATGGTTGCCGGCGTAGAGCCGGTTTTTGTTTTTAGATCGTGTTTCCTGGAATTGCTTATTACTCTTCAGCGATGTTTTTAACGGAAAGCGAATATTTTCAAAGCATTCTCATATCGTCCCAAGATATTACCGTACTGCTGCGTCGTACGAGACCTTTATTATTAGTATTATTACATTGGTGGAAGGATATGCAGAGATGGACAGTGTAATCAAGGCAAAAATCAGGTATTGAAATGATAGCCGCTACGTTTAACGCCAACATGAATGTCAGAAAACTTAATACATTTCTCAAAAGTCTACAATTAAAGCCTACATCCAAAAATACGATCCAGCCATATATCTATCACCACATGCAAGAACGGTGCATCAAGCCTACCAAGGGCGACGCCGTGGGTACCGCACGAATTCATGTTTTCAAAACCGCGCCAATGAATTTTACACAACGACGAACGAACCACCTCTTAACCCATCAATGCAGCCAGTGGTAGCGAGCCTGCCATGCGTTAGATCAGGAATTGTGAAGAAAGTTGGAGGGAACTAACCAGACATGCCACCGACAGCACCAACTCCTTGTGCAGCAAGAGGGAAGCTGGAGACACCGCATAAGCAAGAGCAATCGCAAGCTCTTCCGGCGCCAGCAGCGCCAGTGCCAGCGGCCATGCCAGTGCCGGCGACAGCATTAGTTTTTGCAGCAGCGCCAGTGCCAGCGGCCATGCCAGTGCCGGCGACAGCATTAGTTTTTGCAGCAGCAGCAGCAGCGGCAGCGGTAGTGGCGGCGGCACTGGCCCTGACGCTGGTAGTTCCTCCAACGATGTTGGCGACGGCGCCAGTGCCGTTCTGGGCGATAGCGAGCTGCATGAAGTCGGCCTGGGACTTAGCAGCGGTAGGGTTGATAGAGAAAGTCATGCCCTTTCCGCAGTGGGGGCCTTGCTTGCAGTAGAACCCTGTTGAATTTGTTAAGAGGCTGGATATTACAAGTCCTCGGAGCGAAATTTCTTACAGAGAGGAGTGCCAACAGTGACCTGCATGGCCATCATTGGTGGTGGGGCGATGGTGTTGTTGGGGTTAGGCATGAAGCCGGAGTCCATGCCGTTGGCAAGCTTCACGCAAGGTTTGGCGAAAGCAGATTGTGTGACGGTGTGGTTTTGGGAGTGGAAGACGAAGACAACCGAGTCGCCAATGGCAGCCTTGACAGTATCGGGAACGAAAACGAGACCGGCGCTACCACCAACAGCAACCTGCACTTGTTAGCAGAGGACTTTGAACGAGAGAGATAAAATGGTAGCATACGGTGTGGGTGGCAGCAGCGGCAGCTGCCGCGGCAGTAGTAACAGCAGCGTTAATAACTGAGGTTGCAGCCCCGGCACCGCTGTTGGCCCATAGGACAATGACTTCTTTAACGACGGCATGCTGGTTGCCTTGCAGTTGAATCACATTTGCAAGCTGCTGTGCGTTTTGGTGCTTCTGGTCATCTTGGTTTCCCTTCTGCTGTTGCTGGACAACTTCTACTACGTGCCCGGTTCTTGCGGCAATAGGCTCTGCGACCAACCCTCCCAAAGCAAGCGGCAGGGCAGCGAGCGCGACTGAAACAGCTGAGAACTTCATGGTGACGGAAGGATGTGGTGTAGACTGCAATAAGACAAATGCGAGTATAATAAAATCGCTCAGCGGAAAGGAATAATAACTATCCGAGTGTTGACTTTGGCTGGACGACGTGAAGATCGTATATATCTGAAGTGCAGCTGTTGGAATAGTATAAAAGTGGCGAGAGCCTGCTCGAGAATGTAAAAAATGAGAGAGAAAATAGACAATAACAATAAAGCGAAAGTATGAACGCGGAAGTGATGAAGAAAGAAGGAAATGTAGGGGACGTCGAGGACTTAAATCAAGCATGAAATTGGCCTACGACAACCCCAGGGCTTAGGCTGGCGCGAAACATGGACAGCCCATGCGCACGGCAAGCACTTCGTCCGGGCCAGGGCCTCGATGTTTGCAGTATACCAGGTATCGGCATTTCGAACTGAGGAATGTAACATAGAACATGGAGGCTAAAATCGATGAGGCCGGCCGCCTTTGGAAAATGTGGGAATGCTCGACGCTTGACGTCGGAGACGTGTCTCGGATCGCGTTTGAGCTTCCTCGGCGCCGGGAGGCTCAAGCGGCAGGGGTACGACCTTGAACGACACCACGTCGGCCAGCCTGCAACCTCACAATTATTATCGGACGAAGAGTTCTTATTGGGGATTTATTAATCCGTTCCCTTGGGTACAGGAATCTATAATTGTGTACTCTCCATGACCTGACATCGCCTTTCCAAATCGTGTACGCCACAGTATATGTTTGCCTGGGCCAACTGCCCCGCGGTGCTTTCGTAGAAGAAAGCACAAGCGGGTCTTCTTTTCAATAATCTACTCTTTGGGACCTGCTATGCATAGGCTACACGTATTAGCGTCAGGCCAGCATTTGTCATCCCGGGCTGTCTCCAAACCCGTCCTGTCCCAGAATCGCAGTCTTTACCAGTCGATGTGGCCAATTAGGCCACAATTAGCACCTTAATTTCCCTCATCCGCCGGCCTGACTTTCTGCTGCCCCTCATACAGGCCCGTGTAGTAGCCCGCGTAATACCATGACATTAAGAGGTTCTTCAGATTTTCGTCACCAACTGCTACCGTCAGTGCTGTTTCCACCATCGTCGGACGTAACCCACCTGCTCCAATAAGATGCTGCGGCAACGGTGGCTGTGCTGAGGAAGTGCCACCGTTTGGTTTCGTAGTGCTTTGTCCATCTCCTTCGCCAAGGGAAACCTTATCGCTCACCTGAAGTTGTCATATTAATCAAATTGGACTGCCAAGGGAGATTTCAACGAGATTGCCTTGCAGGGCCCTTACCTCATGCTCTTGCTGTGATGACGAGTTTTCCTCTCCTTTCCTTACCCTCGGTCCCTCGGAGTCTTCCAATATCATGCTGGCGTCTGTTTCCTCTGGGGCGCCATTCTCCTGCGTTATGCGTTCGGCAGTTTTCCTATAAAAGGAAATCAGTCCCGCAAAGCAGATGAAAGTGGAATGCAGTACTTACGAGTTGCTTTCATTCTCATAATCGGCAATTGCGTCTTCAACTTTTTCGCCGCGAGCATGTAGAGAATGATAATGCTGTGATGGGTCAATATCCAAACTTCTCACGTGACAACAATTACGGGACCTTATATTCTTCAAGGGCCTCATTCCACGAGTCCACACAGGCCGAGTCGTCCCAGATTTCGTTGTGTGACATTTTCAAACTCTTGCCTTCGTAGAGGCGAACGGATTGACGCCTATTCCCAAGCTCGTTGAAGCTCTAGGTTTCCTTTTCCATCAACTATGCACTTCAGTGTACAATGGTATCGGCGGAACAGTAAGGGTATAAATTGTAAAATATCCAACAAGAACGTCGCTTGGATTGTATAAACCAGAAAATAAAATCGTAATTAACAAGTACTGTTCCTCTTTCGATTTACTTTTTGGTCGAAGCTGAGTACCAAAAGCCCCAAAAGCACGCTAGCGGCCTCAGCACCCGCACCCCCAGATCTTAGCGCGCGATAACAATTTGTTTTTCAAAAAGTTCAAGGTGGGAACGAGGTCAATTCCACCGAACCTTCACAAACAAAACCACCTTGCCAATCCCACCCCGACTATTGTAAAAAATGGCACCAGAGCTCAAGTCCAAGAAGCGCAAGGGTATGGATACTTTTATTCCTTTGGAATAATGCATTGGACCCCGGACTGACGATTTTTTTTAGCTGCTGCCAACGACGACGAGGTCGAGGTCGCAAAGAAGGAGAAGAAGGTGACTGTTGACACGCCTGCCAAGAAGCGCAAGAGTAAGCCTACAAACCCAACCTCTGCTCAATCTGAACAGCAACTAACCACCATCCCCAGCTGCTGAGAATGGCACCCCCGAAGCCACGAAGACCAAGGCCACCAAAGCCGCCGCCCCGCCAGCCGCCGAGTCCCCCAAGGTAGAGAAGCCGACAACCAAGAAGGCCACCAAGGCTGCCGCCGTACCAGTCGTCGCGGAGGCCACCGAGGAGAAGAAGGGCAAGAAGACCAAGGCTGCCGCTGCACCAGTTGTCGCCGAGGTCACCGAGGAGAAGAAAGGCAAGAAAGGCAAGGCCGCCGATAAGCCTCTCTCCGAGAACAGGAAGAAGTTGAAGGAGATGAAGGACGCCCCCGACGCCGAAGCCTCCGCCCTCAAGGCCAAGAAGGCAAAGGCCGCCGCCCCCGCTGCCGTCGAGGCCGAAGTCGAAGCTGAAGCCCAAGAAGACTCCGACATCGAAATGGACGACCAAACCGCCGCCCTCCTCAAGGGCTTTGAGAGCGACGACGACGACGAAGCCGTCAACGGCGCCTCAGACGAGCCCGGCTACACCGGCGAGCCCATCCCCGAACTCTCCAAAAAAGCCAAATCCAAACTCGCCAAGCTCGCGGCCCAAAAATCCGTCTCCGCGGGTCCCGGCACAGTCTACTTGGGTCGCATCCCTCACGGCTTCTACGAGCACGAGATGCGCCAGTACTTCAAGCAATTCGGCGACATCACGCAGCTGCGCCTGTCGCGCAATCGCAAGACGGGGAATAGCAAGCACTACGCCTTCGTCCAGTTTGCGTCTGCGGATGTGGCGGAGATTGTTAGTAAGACTATGGATAATTACTTGCTGTTCAAGCATATCCTCAAGTGCAAGGTCTTGCCGGAGGAGCAGGTCCATGCTAGTCTGTGGGAGGGCGCGAATAAACGCTTCAAGAAAGTACCCTGGAATAAGATGGAGGGACGTAAGTTGAGCGCTGGTTTGGATGAGGCGGGGTGGGAGAAGCGCAACGCGAAGGAGACGCAGCGGAGAGAGGAGAAGAAGGAGAAATTAAAGGCGATCGGATATGAATTCGAAGCCCCCGCGCTTAAATCCGCGAAGGGCATCCCGAAGAGACCGCGTGGGAAGGTTGTTGTGGATGTTGAGCCCGAGGTTGAGGCTGCCGAGGCTGAGGTCGAGAAGGTTGTTGTTGAGGAGCCAAAGCCCGTCGCCGAGGTCGTCGTCAAAGTCGCTGAGCCAGTCAAGGAATCCAAGCGCAAAGCCGACACCGTCGAGACCGAGGAGCCGAGCAAGAAGAAGCAGAAGAAGGTTAAGCCCAAGGCCTCCTCCGACAACCTCAAAGCCACCACCACCACCGCCACCGCCGCCGAGAAGCCAGTTGTTGTCGTGGAGAAGGCTACTAGACCCAAGAGAGCTGCTGCTGCCGAGAAGAAGGTCGTCAAGGAACCTGTTGTCGTCGCTGCGAAGCCCGTCGCTGCGAAGCCTACCAAGGCCAAGAAAGCCGCCGCTGCTGCCGTCGTAGAGGAGAAGGCTGAGAAGCCTGCTAAGAGGGTGAAGAAATCCAAGGCTTAGTTGTGCCTGTCTATTGCTACTATAAGGAACTCTTGTTGCGTTGCTTCATATTAGAGATACAGCTACAGCTACAGCTACAGCTACAGCATTGGGCGAATACCACATTGTACCGCTGAAGATGAGGACGCAATTTGTATGGATGGCTGTGATGGGAGAGAGGGTTTCTGGGTGTTACTGGGTGCTTGCTCGTTTGTTTGTGCAGAGGCTAGTTAGCTATGGCGTGTGAGGGAATATGAATGATTTTGCCATCATATTATGGTGGTAAACTTTGGTGTATCTCTTGATGAATTACTTGTGAATTTCGTAATTGATTGGACGTGAGTGAAGCAACTATAGGGAAAGGCGAGATCCTGCAAGGTAGCTTGCCTTTGAGGCAGTGGTGTAAATCCGTCACATAGAAACACTACACAATATCAAATCACACTATGAACTCTTGAAAACCACTTCAAATATGTTTCCATTACTGAGCCACCCCCCACAAGGTGCACCCCTCCAATATGTCGGTCCGTCCCTTAAAACGGACAATGCCGTGTGTATATGTACAGCCGGTCATGAATATATGCAGTTCCCTCCCCTATTACAATCACCCCCCTCCCGCCAAACAAAATGCATTGCCAATGCAAGATTTATCCTATCCCCCAGTAACCCCCCCAACGCAGCCCCGCCTCCATCCACCGCGGCCCGCCTACATACTTGCACAATTTGCAAGAAAGTCCCAGCTATCTCGTCGTAATGTGATGGTGCCAAAATGCAGAATAAAAAAACAAACACGCGAAGTACAAAATGAGTGAAGCCAGCTCAAAAGTAAGTCGAAGAAGGGCGGCTAGAAAAAGGAATGGTATCGCGGGGTCATCTAGAGGACCGTGGCGACGGTGGTGGCGGCGGCGGCGATGAACGCGGCTATGCAGAGGGTGAACTGGGTGTTGAGTAAGGAAGCGGACGAGTTTTTCGTCTGTGCATGTACCGCGGCGTCTGGGGAGGCGGGGTTCGCTTCTGATGCTGGGGTGGGGGCGCTGGAGGAGCCGGAGATGGCGTTGAATCCCTGGGAGCCGGTGGTCATTGTGGCGACGGGGCCGCCGGTTGGGCTTTGGGCGGCGGAGCCTGATGCTATAGGAGCGGGAGTGTCAGATGTGAATGTTTCCAGTGGGCTAGTGCCAGTGGGAGGTGGAGATGAAGATGCGGTCTTCGTGGTGGCCGCTGAAGAGAGTCTATCAGAAGTTCCCTAGTACGAGACAAAAACTGGACAGAGGGTGGAAACTTGGGGATGGAAATTTAAGAAAAGAAGGAATGGCCCATACCTAATGACGACGCTGGTGTCGGTGGCGTAACTACAACGGGTTTGGAAGCAAGCCCTGGTCAATATTAGCATGGGGCACATATATGTGGAATCGAACAACTAACCAATGCGGTTCTGGTCCAGGTCAAAGACCGCGTAGACACTCTTGAAGAAAGTATCACCCAGCAACCAACTTCCGTCCTCAGTAGCGCTGCGGGAGTAGATATTACTCGTACACATGGTCTCGGTTTCCACGCCGCTAACCTTGCCACCAACCCAGTCCTTTGACGGAATAGAATACGTGGCGCCCGAGAACGTAAACTCGGCTGGAATCGTTGTCGTACAAGGCACAGCGTACGAGCTCCCATCCTTACTGACTATAGCACCAGGTAGGTTGGCGTAAAAGATTTTCGCATCCGCTGGGGGCATGAAGCAATAGGTCGTTCCCGTGTCGATAATAACATTTCTGCCTTTCAGTCCAGAAACCTTCCCATTGAAGCCAGCCTCGTCGACAGGAATGACCCATGAGGCCCCAGGTGCGGTAATATCAGTGTATGTGATCTCTCCAGTGTATTTCGAGGCATCCACACCACCAAATGTAATCTCTCCGTTGTTGGCCAGGTCGGAAGCTCTGAATATGTTGACGCTGAAGATATTCTTCTCCAACAGCTTCTTGTCCATCAGAGCTGATACGAAGCCTGGAACCACTGCGTTTGGAACACGGGAAAGGCCGAGGATGCCATCCATCGGGTAGTTGTTGAATTCGTCAGAGACAACATCGGCCACACCGAACTGGATGGGCAAGCTGAACCCAGCAAGCCCAATGGTGTCCTCGATATAAAGCCCCGAGACATTTCCGGTGCCGTATTGAAAGCTGAAAGTCGTCGTACTCGGCTTGTATTTATCCGAATCGGCTGGGCCATAGAGCTCGTGGATTTGGCAGGGTGAGTTAGTACAGGTGGACCCCATAACCCAGGTACTTGCGGCGCCAGAGTCCACGAGCATGCGGAGACGCTTGTTCTTTGATCCAACAAATACCGACGTCGTGTAGCTGAAGTCCGTCCCATCCTGGTCGATTGCGTTACTGTTCGGCGTCGTGGGCTTATCCGACTTGGTGGTCGCGAATTTGTTGTCTCTTTTCGCAGCATTTTTGCGGGCCACCTGAGCCGCGTAGCGGGCTACCCTCACGTCGTGAGGAATATCATCCTAATTCAATTAGCATTGGGCTCTGGGGAGTAGTATCTTTCTGGGGTTTGCATACTGTTGGAGGTGTTTGCTCGATCTTAATCCTGAAGATTCCTGGCCTCTCGGGTGCCTCGCCGAGCGTAACAGCGGGGGTTTCACGCACCGCAAGATCCAAGCAGGTCCCATCTTCAACACATCTGTATTTCGGCACAAACGGATAGAAAGCGGACACCAAGGTCGAAAAGAAGCATAATAGAACGAGGTTGAGAACCACCATCCTTACACAACTTGGGACGAATGCAACTCTCAAGCCGCTATCATCGGATGTCTCCGGTGTCGATTGGGTTCTAAAAAACGTCGAGGTTGGTAGCTGGTGTTGTACGAATGTTCGTAGAAATAATTGGTATAATGAATCGGCGATATGTCAAGGCAGACAGTAAATATGTGAAGCCGTTGTAAAGTCAAACTAGATGGCGCAGATTCCGGGTATATCGGTATGAGGTCTAAGTCGTTCTTTCCTCCCCAAATGTCACCGGTCAAGCCAGGTCAATAATAACCGTCCCCTTCCCTCTAGGAAACAGCAATTAGAACGATTATTGGGGGCCCATGTGATCCGGACCGACGGGTCGATGACAGTGCTGTCGTCGACAAAGTCTCTTTATATCTGACTAAAGGCTGGCTTTCGGTATGGGCGACGTCGGACAATATATATGAATCAATTGGCGGAAATGGAAAGCACGGAAAACGAAAGATGCAGGCTAAGACAGGTTGTTCAAAATCTAGGAATGGGGTTCGAAAGGGAACGGGTCGAGAGAAGAACAAGAAAGCCGACTACTCTAGAGCGAAGGATCGGAAGAGAGAGGTAGAGAGATGTAGAGAGAGGTAGAGAGAGGTAAAGAGAGGTAGAGAGATAGAGAGAGGTTGGTGATGTGGAGAAAGAGTGGGATTTGAATATAGGGAGGGGATGGAGGTAGGAGGTTATGGGGATATTTCGTGGTGGGCGGAGCTGCAGGAACGCTAACACTAAACCAGATACCCTGGACAAGACTTGCTCTAGTTTCTAGTTTCTAGTTTCTAGTTTCTAGTTTCTAGTTGCTAGTTTCTAGTTTCTAGTTTCTAGTTTCCCGAGATTCTTGATCGGCGCAGGATTGTTTACTGTACAGACATACTGTAGTGTTTACAAACGGGCCAACTCGGGACTCTCGCCACCGCCGATCCGCGCTGATCCCACTCCGCTTCCAACGAACTGCCAAGATGCAGATTCGACACCTCTCCTGGGCTCAGCCACTCACAGCGCGCCATGGCGACATTGTGAGGGCGCTCCTTATCTCGTGTTGCGGCCGCGGCGGGCGTGCGGGATGGAGAACCCCTGATCTGATGATGGAAAGCCGAGTCCAAGTCTACCGAGTACGAAGTGGCACATGTTTGTGAGGGAGTGATGAGTGAGGGATATTATCGGCGACACTGAAGAATGGGTCGAACGGTGGGGACGGCTGGCTTATCCGCGCCAATCTTTCTTCTTCTTGATGGTCTCAAACAGGGAGGATACACTTTTAAGAAAAAAGTAAGGGGTGGGTACTGTACGTACTGCCCATTCCACTGCCCATTCCATGCCCATTCCACTGCCCATTCCATGCCCATTCCACTGCCCATTCCATGCCCATTCCACTGCCATCCACTGCCCGTTCCACTGCCATCCACTGCCCATTCCTATTTTGAGATTCGGATGCTTTGCAACAAGACATGGGTAGGAGAACGTGATACGAGTAGTTGCATGTGTTTCATGTTTTCATGGTTTTGCTGTTCTGGAGAGCATGGTTAATATTGGTGATGGAAGGAATTAAGTCGAGTTAAATAGAGAATTTGCCGAGAGGGCTTGGTTTCTTCATATAGCTTCATGAACGGTCGTTTAAACTAACAACTAACATCCTCAATAGTAGTCTGGTGGATCTTCATATAACTTCATAGACGGCCATTAAAGCTGACAACTGACTACCTCAATCATACTCTGCAGGATTTTTCATACTCGCCAATAGCCATCAAACTCTTCTCCGCAAACACCTGCAACGCCTCCCCCCTCGGCTCCCCCCCCTTCAAATCGCCCAAACTCAACAAATACTGAAACCTCACCCCCTCCACCTCCTCACCCCTCGCAAACCCCAAAATCTCCTGCAAAAACTTCCACAACGACAAGTTCTTCAATCCCAACAACACCGCATAGTCCAACACCTCCGCCCCAGCAGTGGCCTGCATCTGCTCACTGACGCGCCGGTCCGCGTCGGGCTGCCGCAGAATCATCCACGCCAGGAACGACCACCCGGACGAGTCGCTGGTGTGATGCATGCACCACCTCTGCATCATCCGCGCCAGCGGCCTGTTCAACCCAGCCCGCGTCTTCGGATCCAGCCCGGGCCGGGATGCGATCAACCAGCGCATGTAATCCCACGCGTAGTAGTTCTTAGGGTGGTGCTCAGCCGAAATAAGAATCACTTCTTCAATCTCGAATTCCACCCATTTCGGGCCCAGTAGTCCCGACAGCGTGTGTAAGTTCTTGATCAGCCATCTCCGGTGCGACCAGAGCGTGGGAGACTTGTTGTGACGCTTTAGTTTTGAGGTGACGAGGAACTTGCTGAACCAGAGCTCCTCCTTTAACCTTTTGGTTTGCTCGGGTTGAGAGCGCGCGCGGTAGGCTAGACCTAGACAGATCCTCTTCCTTGCATTAACTGCGGTGACATGCTCAGGGTCGAAGAGCAAGATGACAGAAGTGGAATCAAGGATGAGTTCCGCCTTCTCAGCCAGGTTGTCCAGGTGCTCGAAAAAGATCCGCCGCGCCGCGATGAACGCCTTTGCGAGAACATCTTTCGGGACACCGAGCGTGTTATTTACGATCTCGGCGAGGCGGCCCGAAGATAACAGAAAACTCGCATCGGGGAGGATTTGGATGTCTAATGGACCCGTTGATAATCTCGTGTTAAGGAGCCCAACTAGCGCCTCATATTCTGGAGAGAATTCAGATGCCTCGTCGTCGGCCATTTTTGGGGGGGCCTATCGGCAACAGAACCGGCTTGGAACCTGCTTTGGTTTTAGGGTTGCAGAGAGTGGCTCTAAATTTTTGATGCCTAGATGCTTATTTTTAGACAGAACCGTTATTCATATGTCTTATCTCGGAACACACGCACAACTTAAATCAAAAGCTTCGCATGGCCGAAAAATAAAATGCTGAAACCATTAGCCTCAACGATGATTTGTTATTTCACAAGACACAAACAAATATTAGCAAGACAAATCTCTTCCTGTCTCAGTCTGAAAATCGGTTCACAAGAAAATGCGTTGAAACAAAGTGAGTTGGTCGTCCAAGTAACAGTCCAGCCAGCTCGCTATCAAACAATTATGAGACGCATGATCCATGCCTCAGGCCAACATATAAAAAGTAACGAAGCTCCCCACCTCGCCCACACGAGACATGTCATCACATCACAGCTTCATGGGAAGCTACTAGAACAGGGGCATTAACTACCCCCAGGATCCTACCCAACACACCCTCCCTCGCCAAGTGCATATCCTCGAGGGGTCTCCCGAATCAAAGATGCCGTCCCTGCTTGTCATCGTCTTCGTTCTACAGCTGGCCATCCATCTCGTGAATACCATTGGTGCGTCTGCGGTTAACACGCTGGTAAGACAATATATCGTCACCCCCGGCCGCTGAGCTCATGAGGTCTAACTTGGGGGTATAGCTATGGAACCTGTATAGCAGCCTCCCTACACCGACATCCAAGGCCTTCAAGGACCAAAAGAAGCTCCAAGCGGAATACCTAGCTATCCGAAAAGACCTCAACTCCATAAGCGCACAAGACCAATTCGCCAAATGGGCCAAGCTCAGCAGAATCCATGACAAAAAACTCGAGACTCTCGAGAAGAAGAGTACGCCTCCCCTCCCTCTCCCCTCCCAACAAGCTCTATCGCTAACCCCTTCCCCCACCAGAGGCCGCGCTTGACAGCCACAAAGCCAAATTCACCAGCACCGTCTCGACCTTGCGCTGGCTCGGCACCAACGGCCTCCGCATGCTGATCCAGTTCTGGTACGCCAAGCAGCCTATGTTCTGGCTTCCGCACGGCAGGGTCCCGTATTATGGGGAGTGGCTGCTGTCGTGTCCGCGCGCGCCGCTGGGGTCGATCAGTATACAGGTGTGGGGGATGGCGTGCGCGAGTGTGATACTGCTTTTTAGTGATGCGGTGGTGGCGGTGATGGGATTGGTTATGGTGGCCAAGATGGGGGCTGGGAAGGGGCAGGGGAAGAAGAAGGCGGTGCCGATGAAGGCTGGAGGGGAAAAGGTCAAGGTGGGAACGCCGGCGAGCACGGAAAAGGCAGAGGCGAAAAAGGAGTTATAGATTGTACAATAGGGTATTGCATGATAGCTTAAATGAACTAATGGCCTATTGACTTAAAGTTTTTTTCATGGTTCGAATTTGTCTCTCATCAATAAAGACGCAAAGGATGTCTTGGCTTGTTCAGCTCGACCTTGCAACACGAGTGAGATGACTCTTGGCAGAGTACTTGGGGCTCGTTCTGGGCATTCTTTTTGACTGTGAGAAACCACTGAAGGGGTCACCAAAGCTTCGAAAGTGCCACTGGGGGATCTGAGGGGAGCGAAAGGAAAAATAGAGCTATGCAAATGCTTGTTCAGCTAGTAAATTGCAAATAAACATAGATATACTCAGGAAACCTTATATGTAATACGTGATGTAGTACACTAGACAGTCTGTGGGTTGAAACTTGGCCAAATCGTCGAAAATGATTTTGAAAGAGGAACAAAGTGCAAGTTTGCGAGCTTGGGATAACAAAAGATCGTGCCAGCCGCTAGTCCGCGTTGGGTTGACCGCTCAGCCTCACAGGGGCTGTTCTGCCGCCAGCCCGTCTGGCATCAACGAAATAGTACGCACATACGCCCACGGCCATGTTAACTTTTGGGAACACGGTTTCGCGCATGATATAGGTATTGAACTCGCTTTAGCAAAGTAATACCGCAAAGATGGTATCATGGGGGACGTAAGTATATCGCCATGCCACTCTATGAATAGCCCAGCTAACGTCGAGAAGCATCAAGTCGGTCCTTATGTTCTTTGGGCCTATGCTCCTACCCAAGGCCATCGGATACTACCGATCGTTCCGAGAAAACGCGAAGAAACCAGGACGGCCGATTCGACCGGTGCCTCCTGCCGTGTCTAGAGCGCTAGGAATTCTCTTCGTCATAGCCGTCATCCTACTCATCGCGACACTCCCGATGTTCTCGGAGGAGAACATCTTCTCAAAGACACAATCCCGCATACAGATACCCCTGGACGTACTGTTAACACGCCTCACAGCCATACGACCGAATGGCCTGACCGAACTGGACCTCCGGTTGCGCGAGAAACTCGTTTCTCTCGAGTCGAAACTCCTCTACCTCAAATTCGGCCCCGATGCTATAGGCAACTGCCTGTTTTGCAAGGCGGACGATCATAAAAGTTTTTACTACTATACCATGTCATCCGTGCTCACACCGCATGTCTTCAACCTCGCTGTGCTGGCAGCAGCTACCTCGGGGATGTTTGTTGGCGAGGAAGGCACAATGTGGAGGCGGTTTGCTACGATTTGCTCGGTCATTATCGCTGTGGTGGATATGTCATACCTCTCCAAGTACGACCACAAGTTGAACGCGAAGGCGACACGTTTGGAAGACCTGGATATGTTCTTCTGGAGGACCCACACATACCGCTACATTGCTCTCGCCGGCCTCGACGGCCTAATAGGCTGGCTGCTATACCTCTCCTCCACGAACCGCGCATTCGTCATCCCCGTCTCCCCAGCCGAGAGCCTCGAGGCTGCGACGAAAGTTTTGGATTCCGCGAGGTCCAAGATGAGTGCTGCGGCTGTGTTGTTGAACACGGTCAACAGGGACGAGGGCCTGCGCGGGAGGGCCAACGGGTACTGGGTGAATGAGACCAGGGTGATGAGCGAGATTATGGCGGATAGGGAAGTGGTGGACAGTGTGAATAACACGCTGCAGAGCCGAGTAAATATGGCGGCGATAACGTCGGATGCTGATTCTTATACGAAGAACATGATGGGGAGCTTCCAGTCGATGGAAGCAGCGGCTTAGCGTTTTTGCCGATATAGAGGCTTGTTTTGATAACCACTCTTTGAATGAATATATATATTTCTACACTACCCACATAAAATGCATAATGAATGGTGTTGGTTGATTGCACCGTGACCGTGGGTATATACTGTGTCTAAACTGTCCAAAAACAGTTTAGCGTAATTTTCACTAGCGCGGCGCACGGCAATATATTTCCCAATGTTTTCCATTTGACCTTTTCTCTTTCCCAAACATCGTTACAACCAGCACGCCTGCTCCAACTATGCTGCCAGCGTAGAAGCTGTGTCCCTTTTCATCCCACATGGTTGCAGTCGGCCATTGAGCTTTACATCAGCACTTCCAGCTTCTGTCTGCAAGACCACACTCTACTCAGTACCGTCTCGTGGCACCTGCATTTCCAACCATGGGAAGGGATACATCTTCTAGGCGGAAAGCACAGTTGAAGCAGCCGCGTTGTAACAATGCCCTCTCTTTTGTCCCTACATACATACATACCCATTTGCAGTCCAACATACCCATGAGTTGGCCCTCCCGAGATCCGTCTCGGGACCGAGGACTCACTATCCTTGGCTTTCAATGGCCTAATTACATTCCCGGATATGCTAGAGCGAATTTCTTCGCCTTTTATAATCCTGCCTCTTGTCCGGCGAAAGCCAAGATGGACGTGCTGCAGGTTCGCTTAGTGCGTATATCTCTTTGAGCTCTTCATAGATTTTGTTTTTTTTTGTTTTTGGAGGGCGATTTTTTTGTCCGTACAAATAAATAAAACTTTGCATGACTTCCTGTATCTGTCTTGTTTTCCCCTTGCGTGCAATGTCAACCAAGCCGTTGGATAGCAAATGACCGTCGTAACAAATGCATGGAGCCTATTGCTACGCAGCCGAAAGTCATCGGCATGGCTAAAAAAGTGCAAAAAAACAGAGCTCCTTCCGGAGGAGAAGCTCGTAAGATCATTGGAGAAACGGCGAATCGAACGCCGGACCTCATCTATGCGAAAGACGCGTTATACCACTAAACCATATCCCCTTTTGATTGGCGGAGACGTGGCTATTGCTGTAGTCATTATTGGGTACGGACTGTTGCCCCAAAGTGGAATGATGGGAGGCGGGAGGCTCTTGATATCAGTAATATACGCTCCTCTTTATTCGTATAGTATGTTCTAGGGCAGCATCATCCTATCAGCAGTGTCAGTCCCATCTCTCTCTTATGTTCAGTCTGTTGTAGTCTTTCTCTTGCCCCCACATACACGCATACGAAGCATAAAACTAAGGTTGGGATATATTCACATTTTATTCCCCCACTCCACTCAAGGGTTCTCTATCTCATCTCATCTATCTATTCTTTCTACATGTCATCAAGAATCCATCATCCTGTTTCCAAAGTCTCTATATCCTAGGGCATATCCAAAACTCCTTATATATAACGTTCGCAATGGCGTAATGAGCACTATGGCGTAATGAGCACCAAAACCCCCACCTTGCAACTTCAAACTCGTAAACCACAACAATGGCGAGACGCAAGAGCCTTCGGGTTCAAGAGAATGAAGCTCGTATGGCTGAAGCTATAATAGCTTACTAGAATCGACAATTTACAAGCTTAAAGGCTATTGCGGAACACTTTCAAGTTGATCGGATGACTTTGACGCGTCGCGTGTCAGGGGGCCATTCCCGAGTGCAAGCGCGACAAAACCAGCAACTTTTATCTGCAGTTGAAGAGAGTACCTTAGTTAAGTGGATTTGCCAATTCTCTTCGATGGGACGCCCTATTAGACACTAGGGAATAAGGAATTAGTGGAAGAAATCAGGATTCAAAGAGTGCAATGCGTTAACGATGCGTCATCTCAAATTATACGATACCCACCTGTTGGCAAAGAATGGATCTAAGGCTTTATTCAACATCATATAGAGCTTACTACAATTACTACTCGACAAATTAAGTCTGAGTGCAAAGGGTTGGACTTCAAATGTTCATGGATTACAATGGTTACAACAAGTTTTTAAGCCTAAAACTCATGAAATTGCAGATGGAAGACCACGACTTTTGATTGCAGATGGACATGACAGTCACATTTCTACAAATTTTATTGCTCATTGCATGCAACATAACATCGACCTTCTTATATTACCGCCTCATTGTTCTCACATTCTTCAACCTCTTGATGTTGTAGTGTTTAGGTCGTTGGAAACTGCACTTTTAAAAGAGACTGATCAACTTACACAAGTTGGAGTAAGGCGCATTCAAAAGGTAGAATGGATTGAGATGTACTACAAAGCAAGGCTATGAGCAATATCATAACATAACATTCAAAGCGCATGGTTAGGAGCGGGTATTTACCCATTTGACCCTTAAAAAGGCATATAATCATTTACCATCATTACACACTTGTTCTTCTATTACTTTAACAAATGCAACTACACCACCTCTATAAACACCAAACTATCGCTCTTTACTTGTTAGCTCCCTACTAAGCGATACAGAGTTGCGTAGCTCAAATGCAGCTCTTAATTTGATGTTATAGTCTCAAAATGTGCTTGACTCTCTTAAGACGCAAATATATCTCACGACTTACACGCACTGCTAAAACTCTAAGAACACAACACACACTGTTACTTAAGGAGCTACAAGATACCCAAAGTGTTCTATCTGCACGTAGAACCAACAAGCGGGGCAAGAGAGTAATGAGTACGCAAGAAATCCAGTTGGCAGTTTTACAGATTGAAAATAAGACCCGTACTAATAACAAGACAGCATTTGGAGGAAATTGTATTATAGTTGAAAATTGATTTGAAGTTGCAAGGTGGGGGTTTTGGTGCTCATTACGCCATAGTGCTCATTACGCCATTGCGAACGTTAGCCATAAATACGGCCGAATCCCAAAAACTCCTGCCGAGCTCGCCGGCTCGTTTGTTCAACCTGGCAAGTGTCCAATTGGCGAAATATGCAGGTACGAGGACCTCTAGCTGCTCAATTGCTTTGCTAATGCATTGTTTCGGGTTGTGAAACACTCTTTCGTACACCTCCAGTGCGCTGAAATGTCGTCGCTTTGTATCACCACTTCACCAACAGCTTCTATAATCCATTCACGCTTTGCAGCCATCAACAAATGTATTCTGCGGCCAATTATAGTTGGTTTTCTCCCTATTGCGTGTCAGTAACCTAGATCAAACAAATAAGAATAAAAAAGCTCAAAACTTACCACAACGTCAAGTTGGGATTGGCATACGGCTCCGGATGATTCTTGATATAATCCGTCGTTGGATATCCGACCGGATCGCACGTCACACTCTTCTCTTCCGGATCCTGATAGATACGGACATAATCGAAGCGCATAGTTGCCGGCATCAGTTTCGCCAAATCAGCCAGGAAGACCTGCGCAAACGAATTACTCATGCCGAAATTCATGATCATGGCCATCGGCTCCTCGGGAAATATGCGTTGTCCGATATTCCCGTTCGGGCGGAGCGCTCGCGGATCGATCTTCCATGTGTATTCGTCGCCGACGAACCAGACCATGTCACCCTTGGCGCCGGGCTTGTACTCAAAGCCGTAGGTCTGGTAGGCATTGCCGTCGTACCAATTGTTATTCAGGTACGTCACGGCGGAAAATGCTTCCTGGTAGGGACCACCGCGGTAAGTGTTCATCTCCGTCACTTGCTGGTCGTAGAGCTCGACAAAGTTGTAGTCAGGCTGGTACCAGATATCAAACGGGGCAAGTTGGAATGACTGCGAGGCAGTGCCTGTGTAGCTGCTGGTAACAGCGGGATCGAGAAAGTCCACGGAGGCTTCTATACAGTCGATCTCGGGGGCTGACCGTGACTTGCCGGGTGAGGGGTGGTCCTCGGCTGCACAGGTGCAGGCGGGAAGCCTCATGCCAGGGAGCAATGAGAGACCATCTGAAGAACTCTGGTTCTTGGTGATACCAACATCGCACTTGTCCTCGTAGCTGTAAGGCCACAGCCCGTCAGTTGTGGACAAGTATCCAGGCCTCCCGAGGTTTCCCATTGCCCAAAATCCGGGCCAGAAGCCTTCAACGTCGCCTCGCCCCGGTAACGATATGCTTGCTTCCAAACGGCCGCCCTTGAAACATAATTTATTCCATGACTGCACCATACCAGACCTGTAGTTGAGGAAGTGATTTTGAAAGGCGTCGAATCGTAGATTGAGCGTGCCATTATCCGTCGAAACTGCGTCTGGGTCGTACCACTCCAAGTCCTGTGTCGCTCCATACCAGATATCCACCGCTTGGAAATATGGATCATCACCGTCGTAGAATGTGCGGCCGGATTTCTTGAATTCGTCCGAGAACACCAGTTCCAGCTTCGTTCCATCCTTTGCAGTCTTCGTCTTCACCGTTTCGGGTGTGTCTGGGTCGATGAGGCCCGTCCTCATATTTTTCAATAGTGGTACTGAATCTGATAGACAATCCGGGTCCGCCTCGCATCCAATGTGGCCTGCATTCTTTTTGTTTAAGGCGACGGTTCTGCGAGCTGTTAGAATCAAAGTTATTCCACGGCTCGAGGAATTCAACATACAATACCGGCCATATAATAAATAGCGACAACATTCCCAAAACAAGAACCCCCAATCCTCCAAGATTAACCGCGCCTCTTTTCGTCCAGATATTCCCATCCCTGTGTTCCTTCTCATCCGGATCGGGATTATGCATCTCATCATCTTGCTCCACGTCTTCCGGAAACACCAATAACCCCGGCGTAGGCACACAATTATACTTCTCCGTCACCGTCTGTGTATTCACATTATCATCATCCGGCCCCCCTATCCTATCACCAAACGGCGAAGCAAAAGGTCCTCCATATCCCCCCCCATCCGAGCTCGTACTCGTCCGTCGCGACGACCGCGTCGAGTAAGGGTCCGTCGCATTCGAGACATCGCGATACGGGCGATAGCTCGTTGGTGCGCTGCGGGGTAATAACAGCTCCGAGCTGTCGGGGAACTGCCTCCCTCCGTAAATTGGCGATGTTGCCCCGCTGGAGCGCGGCGACGATGCAAATGGCTGCGGTAGGAGCTGTCGGGTCGTTATGGAGTCGGTACTGCTGTTGTTGTGTGGTTCTTGGGCGAGAATGTCTTCCTCGCTCCCCGAGTTGATGGTGACATGAGGAGGTCGCCGCCTGTCCGCCATCTGGATGAACATTGTGGCGGCTGGTGCGGCTGGGATAGATTGACGGTGTTCAAGAGCGTTGTTTGAGGTGCCAGTTGCGAGCGATGAAATGGTGGCGAACAGGAGGTGTAGATTCTAGAGTCGCCACGACGATTTGAGCCGTTTGCCTGCGGAATTGATATCCAAAAGAAAGTAGCAATGTGTAGATATCCAAAAGAAAGTCGTGAATGTAAGAGAGTGTTGTGTCTGCGGCATATGCAAAACAGACGTAATGCTGAGAGCAGCAGGGTTCAATGGGCTCCGTCTTCGTATCAAATTTCGAGTTCCTCCTCCTCTCCGCCACTACACTACCCACTACTGCTCTAGAACAAGTTTAGCGCAGAGTGGATTAATAGATGGCCTTTCTATTTATAAAGTCACGGGAACGTGTTGGGAATATTATTTATCTACAGAGTATTTCTGCCATTGCGCTCTCTGGTTTGCATATTGGATAGTTCCGTGGTGATAGAGTGAATGCTAGATGATGCCATGCAACGCCCATATGAGAATTTTCTATCTAGATTATCATCTTACGGACATGGGTGGTCATCTCGATCCCATATCGTTCGATTACATCGATTGAATAGTCGAAATAAGAATCCCCCCCCTTTACTCCTATTGCTTTCTAACTTGCTTCGGCATTCATCTAGAGACATTCTAACTGTATATACAATAACAACTACCCAATTCAGAAACCTCTTATCAAAATTCTTGCACTGCCCTGACAATCACGATCGGCGCAAACAGCCAAGACTGCGCCCGATCGACCTGTATACCAGACCAGGTATTGCTGAGAATCCGCTGAGAAATCTGAGACAAGGGACGCCCCGCCCAATGACATCATTTAGCGATCGAAACAGTAAAGCTCGAATCGCCTGAAACCGTCGGTTTTGGGGTTTTTTTTGAAACGATTCGGTTTTTGTCGTTTCATGAATTACGGGATCATGTGACGTACTTGGTATATATTCACGGTTTTGTGCCTTGAGAACGATGCAGTTGAGATGTTATTAATTTTATATAACCCCCCGTTGCGAGGCTAAAAACCAATAAGGTTAGCACAACGTGAAATACGTTATAGGTGAGCAAATATCAAGTAATTTTTCTGATGCGTCCATCTTCTTTCCTTCTTTCCTTCTGCCATTACACCTTGGCCGCTTTCTCTGCATCACTTTCCTTCTGTTAAACACCGTCCATCACTGTACCACTATCCGTCCTCTCGACAACCTTCGCCGTTTCCACCGTGCTCTCCCCCACCGGATAGCACGCCGAAGCCGCAAGGTTCGCCGTAGCCGCCGAAGCCGCAATGGCATCAGCAACATTATACCTCATATCGGTATCCTCCTCTCCCTCAGCCACCGGAAGGCTCTCCTCACTCTTCGTCACCACCACCCCTCTCCGCCCCCCCATCTTCCCACCAAAGTGCGTCCAGAACCCCCAAACCTTCCTCAACCCCCTCATCGTCCTGCGATCGCCCTTCTCCGCCTCACCACCCGCGCGCGACGTCCTTCGGCCAGATCCCAGCGGAGCGTCTGACCTTGGTTCCTCAATAACCGTCGTCTCCGCCGAATTGCCGACGCGGATAGATTGAATAGAAACAGGCTTCCTATACTTCTGCACCGGCTGCCCCTTCTTGAAGCCGAACAACGCGCGCATCGGCCCCGTAAACGAAACCCGCTTCGGCGGCATCTCATCAGGCGCGATGGGGAGACCCTTCTCCCAGATCTCCTTGATGGAAGGGTCGCACACCGGCTCCATCTGGCACGGGAAGTCCGGACCGCAGTAATGGTGCTCGCGCCCATCAATATAGGTACTCCCATTCCAACTCGGCGAATGCGGTTCATTTTCCACAGCCTTCCTCGCCCTCTCCGCCGCCTTAAGCCTCCTCGCAGCCTCAGTCGCCGCAGGATCCAGCGCCGGTTCCGCCGCTGCCAGCACCGCCGCCGCTTCTCTCGCAGCCACCTCCGCCCTCCGCGCCGCCGCTTTCCTAGCAGCCACCCTCTCAGCCCTCGCCTCCTCCGCCCACCTCGCCTCCGCCCACCTCGCCTCCGCCCTCGCCCTCGCAGCAGCGATCATCTCCGGCGGCGCCGCCCCAGAAGGCGTATACTCATTCGCCTCCTCCGGCTCCTCCTCCTCATACGGCTCCCCATCCTCCAGCTCCCCACCCCCCCCGCCGCCGCCACCGCCACCGCCGCACACCCACCCCCTCGCAATCCGCCTCCGCCTCTCCATCTCCCACCTCTCCTCCTTCTCCTGGTCAGTCTCCGCCACTCTCTCCCCCTCAGTTTCCCTCAGCATCTGCTCATGCCTCAGCCTCTCCTCCTCCGCCTCCCTCACCAGCTCACTCTCCATCCTGTCTATACTCCTCCTCATAAATACCGGCGCGGGGGTATTCCTCATCGCCTCCTCAATCTCATAAGGTACCCTCATATTTCCTTCACTATCCATCCACTCCCCCACCCCGGCCGAAGGGAGCATCCAGTCCCCGATAAGTCTGTTCCCATTCACCAGGTGCCCATCTTCTTCTCTGCGCGGGCCCTTCGGTTTACGCGGTGGCTCTGATCCCGTCGCGGTTTTGACATCCTCCTTCTCCCCCTCCCCCTCCTGCTTCCCTTGCGACCCCCACGGCTTCCCCATCAACCAATCAGCCCCCGAAACAGCCAACTTCCTATCCTCATGAATAGTACAAAGCGGCGTCCCCCCCACTCCCCCCAACGTCGCAGCCGGCGGCGGCGTCACCTCGTCACGGGACGTGGTTGTCGGCGCCGGCACGGGGGATGCGGGGGAGCGCGAGCCCTCGGTGGAGAGGGCAGCGTCGTCGAAGGGGGTGGAGAGCGTAGGGACCTGCGAAGAGGAGTGTTTGCGGCTTGGTGGGCGCGGGGTAGGTTCCCCGACCGAGAGCTGTTTGGTGGGTAGTTCCGTTGGGGGCTCCGCCGGGGGGGTGGTGAGGGAGAGGTTTAGGTCGTACTTCATTGTTGCGGTTGCGGTTGCGGTTGTGGTTGGGGCTGGGTGGTTTGTTCGGTGTGCAGTGTGTGATGGAGATTTGATTTGGAAGCTTTTGCGATGGGAGGAGGAAGGGGAAGGATGGGGGATGGGAGGAAGGGGGTTTTTAAGTGTGTTTGTTACATTCATGGCGTTTCTCTCGGTGTGGGCACTAGGTTAGTTGGATGTTGTTATGGTCAAATCGAGCCATGGCTACGCCGTGCTCGGCTGCTTCTTAGCAATATGTCGGGTGTTATTGAAATCATAGGGCCGTGGATTAATAGCTTAGCTTTTAGATAATCTGCCGACTATGAAGGGTTCATGATGCGATGGCATGACAACTTACACAATAGCGTGTGTGGGAGGGTGGGAACCGCGGACTATGGCTGCGGCTAGGCCCGCGATGGCTCCAATTATGACATTTTAGGGCGTAGCAAAGTCGACCTTGGTTGGGCAGTATATAAGTTATAAGCTAAGCTACCATAGTTATATAGTGGTTGGGATAATAGCTAGTGCGAGTCGTCAATATAAGCCATTCCAGGCCGCCGTCGCACGCATCATCGACTCATGACAATCTGACATGAACACTCAAACTCATCCGACAATCCCACTCCCCACCTCTCAAGCCAACTTCCCCAAATCCGCCGTCGCCACCGGGCCACCTCTCGCACGACTGACCGCCTCAGCACCACTCGCCTTCCACCCACTAAGTATGAGGTTAACAATATGATCGACCCCCTTCCCCCCCTTCACCTGAGCAAAAATCGTCGGACCACCCTCCCTCATCTTCCTCGCATCCCTCTCCATAACATCCAGATCCGCCCCAATAATCCCCGCCAAATCCGTCTTATTCACCACCAACAGATCGCTCTGCGTGATCCCCGGCCCCCCCTTCCGCGGGATCTTATCCCCGCCACTCACATCAATGACATAGACGATGAAATCCGCCAACTCCCTGCTGTAGTTCGCTGCCAGATTATCCCCGCCGGACTCAATCAGCAGGATGTCCGCGTGGAATTCCCGCTGTAGGTCCTCCAGCGCGGCGAGGTTGGCGCTGATGTCCTCGCGTACGGCGGCGTGCGGGCAGCCGCCTGTCTCGATGGCGCGGATGCGCGAGGCGGGGAGGGCTTTTTGGGAGGTGAGGAACTCGGCGTCTTCGCGGGTGAAGATGTCGTTGGTTACGGCGGCGAGGTTGTATTTCTCGCGGAGGGCGAGGCAGAGGGCCAACATGAGGGCGGTTTTGCCGGAGCCGACGGGGCTGGGGGGGGGTTAGCGGTTACGCATTGTTGGGGTTTGGATGGGAAGAGTGGGGATGATGGGGGTATGAGCTGAGGAGTTTTGGAGACTGGAGAGGCTGATGGGGTGAGTAGCATGGCTGACAACTCTCACACTATGAGAGCTGGGTTGGAAAGCTTCCTAGCCGTGCCACACAGTCCTTATCTCTTCCATGTGTCTCCCACCCCAAGCAACCAAAGGCTGATAGAGAAACATACCCTCCAATGCCCACAGTATAGGCTCTATCCTCCCAGTTTCTGCCCTCATTAATCGGCATCTCCCTTCCCATATAGCTTCCCGGCCCATCGAGAATCTCGTGCGTGTGTCCATGATCCAGAGCTGCCTGGACGGGATCGTGGGAGTGCCCGGCACCAGCGCCTTCGTGAGAGTGAGAGTGCGACATCGCGCTTATGCGTATGTTTGAAATAGGATCTGTTATTGAGTCGAAGATTGCAGCTCTTGCGGTGTAATTTGAGAATGATAGAGGCAAGCATTAACGTAAGTCGTGGCGTACTGGTGGTAGTTGTTAGGGCTGCTGTAACGTGACGTCATGGTTACGGGCTAGCGGGGCTAGACTGTGGTACTCTTATATGGGGCTGTCGAACTATGCTTCGCAATTTGCGACTACAGTAAAATCTCGATAACACGATGGATAGCATCCCGTAATTTCATATCGTGTTAACAAGATTATCGCGGTATCAAATACACGTGACTACGTTATCCAACTGTCCAAAGTGCCTTGAATGCCCTCATTTGCCTGCTTAACCTTGACAAGCCACTCAAGCCGTTCTAAAGTTCTTAAATACTCCGTACTTAATACGCCACTATTCCCAGCTGTCATACTGACATTCGTTGCACTCAGTTTGCTATCAAACTCAAGAGCAAACTTAGAAATCTCCTCCTCAAACCTACAAGTCACTATACATATTTTGGCTTGTCACACCAACAACAAGAGCAATACTACTCAACGATTGCTACAACCCCCTATGATTCATTACACGTCATTGCTCCTTAGTTACTGGGCCGATATGACCACATAGCATATCTCTACAACCCTCTATGATTCATTACATGACATCACTCCTTAGTTACTGGGCTAATACTACACATGACATATCTCTATCAACTAGAGGCCTAGGAACATGAACAATAGCTCCAAAAGCTTCTACAACCCTCTATGATTCATTACACGTCATCGCTCCTTAGTTACTGACAAGATTGGTTAAGTTATGACATAATCTGTCTATAGGGGTACTCTGACCTTGGACCTCCTTTCACTTCCTATAGGCTAGGAACCTAGGAGATGGTTCTATGGGATTTTCTTACGTCGACTACAGTTACCAAGCCTGGTAAGTCATGGAAAGCCTTGGAAAATGAGAGAACTACACTCCTTTGGCATAGATAGGATTGCCCTTTCCTTAAGAAAGGGCAAGCAGACAATACAGTAAATCGACCATCACATACTTCCACGTCTTTTCCAAGCTTCCAAGCATTCATCTTGTTACTCCTTGTTTCTGAAAAGTCAGTGAGGTGTTAACCTCTGACTTACCCCTGAGTTCCCAGACTCAACATTTGTTGCAACTTGTCTACCACTTCACTACATCACACACCTGATTGCTGCGTTGTGGAATAGTCTAAGCTACAACCCTTTGGCTCTGTTTTCTAAGACAGTGTGTTGTCTTAGTAAATTTATCCCTTCCTTGGGTGGCTAGATTCTCACATCTGGTGCACCCACCATTACAGATAAGCCAAGATATGTATGGTGACTTGTAGGTTTGAGGAGGAGATTCCTAAGTTTGCTCTTGAGTTTGATAGCAAACTGAGTGCAACAAATGTCAGTATGACAACGCAAGCATTAGCGCACTCAGTCACGCTGATGACAGCTGAGATATGCACCTTACAGAAGGCAAATGAGGCACTTAGCAAGCGCCGAAGGGCTAAAAAAACACACGTACAGCTTGGAGGATCACTTACTGTAGGAGATGCACAAGATCAATTATCCCAGGAGGAGGTGCAAGAATAGGTGGTGCGTGAATTACATGAAAATGGTAGTCAGCGGGTGAGAACAGAGATGGCTCTACGGCGTTGTAGCACATGTGGAAAGCCTGGGCATAATGCATGCACATGTCAAGAAGATGTAGGAATGTCTGATGTATATGAGTCTACATAGTTTTAGTATATTACAGTTGTTGTCGTGGTATAATTAATGTTACTTGTTGTGTAGTCGTGGAAAAGTGCATCGCTTAGTGGTGTGCATTGCTCTGGGGTGGACCACATTATCACTTTAGCATAGAGAGGAGCAGGACTACAACCATTTAAACCACGACTTATCTATAAAGTAACACTTTAAGAAGTTATTAAAGTTAGACAACAGCCTTAAACACCACAACAACATGATATCTTTGATACTATCTTTCAAAATAGTAGTCCACCTAACTTTACAACACTACAGAAAGCAAATACAGTACTCCCTACAATTCTTAAAGCCCGTATAGTGTTAGACACACCTATAAAGAGATATATTCAAAAGTTAGCAGATGTAACAGAGCAACTAAATACACACAATTTTCTACAACAACGTAATACTAACAATCTATGATCAATTGTTCAAGCTTAGAGAGTATAGCAAAAAGGCAAGCGAGCAATTTTAAAGGGTCATTTTCATATTTCTAGAAGGGAATTACAGCTATAGGTTGTTAAAGCAGAGGAGGCTACTTAACAGAAGTTAATAGCAACAGGTAGTACAACTATAAACAATGCTATAATTAAGCAAGGAGATGAAGTATCTATCGAATAGGACTTAGGAGAAGTATCTAATTGTATTTTAATGAAGGATTATAACATATTTCACAAGCGAGTTGCCTACACAAGTGAGTTGCCTACAAAATTACTAGAATTGACTATTACTACCTACTACCATAACACCACCTACCTAATGACCCTTAATTAATTGTAATTGAATCCTCATGCCTCTTGCACATATGGGAATTATGGCCTATAATACCACATAAGCCATAGTGCTTCTGTCAGCCCTTAGAGCCCACCTACTAACTACTCTTACTAGCCACCTCTACTAACTACTCTTACTAGCCACCTCTATATGGACTTAAGCATCAACCTTAGCATTCTAAAGGATATCCTCTCCCTCTTATATAGAGAGACTAGCTCCTGCATTATACACCTGTTGCACTTCCTTTCCCTCCTCTTTTTCTGTTCATTTGCTACTTAGAGAGCCTTAACTTCTGCCTTAAGTAGAACAGCAGAATGCATCATCATTTCTGCCCCTTTAACAAGGCAGCTAACAGCATCATTAATTAAGCTAGGAGAGCTGTTCTAATGACGTATAATGCAGTTCTTAATGTGCTCTGTTTGAAAGTTAATCTCCCTTATAGTTTAAGGAGTCTTTAAAGTCTAATTGTCACTGTTAACTATAGGAGGAGTTAGAGTTCTTAAGTGTAGATTTAAGTGAGAGAGAACATTCTAAAGCTCGTATAGAACAAGTCCTATAGCTCGGAATCCACTCTTGATGTTTTGCTCTATAAATGTAGCTTTGAATGCTTCTTTGAATGTAGAGAGAAACTTAAGCTTTATGATATGATTTAGCCTGTTCTATACAAAGGTTTTAATCTGACATCTATACAAAAGCTTTACTAGAGCAAAGCAGCTAACATCAAGTAGCTGAAGAATGTACAACAAGTGTAGTAGCATATAGAGGGTGATTATCTTGCATTCTATATATTAGTGTTGAAATTAAGCTAAGAGGTGGCTCTCATGTCTGTTGAGAATAAGAAGGCGATAGGTTCTAATCGAACGACTGTTTGTATGTTAATTAAAGTGTTAAATCCACTCGTACCTAATTGAATTTAAAGTCTACCAATTCTTACTAAGCGTAATACCTAATCGTCTAGTAATCCCAAGTCCTTATACTAAGCTAAGAGGTGATTCTATGCCTTGAAAATAATGAACAGCAGGAGTGCCTATCTATACGAATTAACACCTTAGATAATTAACACCTACTCTCTATTCCCTAGCTATATAGTCTTTAGATGACTCTTTGCTTCTAAGCTTATAACTACCTTTGTAGTAGCAATAACTCCCATTACGAAACCTGCTTCATTAAAGTTGTAGATATCCTGCTCTAAGATTCCATATTTCGCAACTGTGTTTCGTAAAAGAGAAAACCATTCTTGAATTATCTTTAGATCTTCGCATTTTGCTCGTTTATAATCGTACTTCCAACTTAACTTTGCTTTGATTTCTATACAACGCTTTATGAAGTTTGTAGTCTAGTTGATCCTAATAGGGGTCTCGCCTCGTTTAGAGAGTAGAAGGTCTGCCATTTCTTATATAGCTTGTGGCTGGGGTGGAAATCCACGTGAATCTAGGTTGAGAATGTACTGAATAAGAGCTGACTCTTCGTATGAAGTCAAGTTCTTTGACTTAGGGGTAGAGTCGCGTCAGGAAGTTATTCCATTCATTCTGTAGCTTGGGGTCCTATATAGCACGTCAAACGACAATGTAGCAGCTCGAACACTCTTAAATTGATGTTCCTTTAGTGCCTAGATAGCTAGAAGTAGTCTACCCTCTTGAATAGAGGATTGCACTTGTGTTAGTTGTGGCATGTTGACTTGTGTTAGTTGTGGCATGTTGACTTGTGTTAGTTGTGGCATGTTGACTTGTTGACTTGTGTTAGTTGTGGCATGTTGACTTGTGTTAGTTGTGGCATGTTGACTTGTGTTAGTTGTGGCATGTTGACTTGTGTTAGTTGTGGCATGTTGACTTGTGTTAGTTGTGGCATGTTGACTTGTGTTAGTTGTGGCATGTTGACTTGTGTTAGTTGTGGCATGTTGACTTTTGTCAGTTGACGCGTTTTGGTGTTTTGGTAGGCAACTCACTTGTGTGGGCAACTCGCTTGTGAAATACGTTATATAATTTTAGGGCAAAAGATCTATATACCCTTCACCACCCCTGTAAAGATTCATATACCCTGAGCTTTAATAAAAGATTTATATACCCTGCTGCCACCTTCGGTTTCCTCTGTGACTCCATTGACCCTGATGTCCCATTTGACACTGCTGCTCCACTGACCTTGCTCCCACCATACTCATGAAAGCGCCCTACTCATGCGGGCACTAAGCAGCTTCTCATATTGTGGCCCTGCTCCCCACAAGTAGAGCAGCGCCCAACACCAGAAGCTCCCTCTCCCCCCCAACTCTCCTCCGTGGGTCCTCCTTCTAGAACCTTTCCCTTCTTGGCCTCCACTGTGGGACCTATAGGCGGGAAACATGGTTGGCTACAGTGAGGCATGGGGCCAGCAATGCTGACTAAATGCGGCAGAATCTACAGTATTATCTCGTTAAGTTGATACATGATTAGTCGATTTTCTGGATAACTTGATAACTTTCTTCGGATCCTTCCATTCGTCATACAAATCACGATACACACAATATTGAGTCCCTTTTCCCAATTATCGACTTACACTAATTACTGGACTACTCTTAGAATACCTTCAAAATGCCTTCGAAAAAGCTCCATTCTATGTCTCTCAAACAGCGAAAAGCCCTCCGAACCTGGCATCAATCTCACCATCCGAAACCTACACAAAAGGCCACTATACAGTGGTTCCTCAGGAAATACAATCGTCGACTTAGCCAATCTACAGTCTCAGAATCCCTTAGCTCTCAATTTTTGGACCTTGACGCTACTTCTAATACTCTGGAAACAAACAGCTCTAAAGCTCAGCGTCGCTGCGCTGTCGCCTGGCCTGAATTAGAAGCTGCTCTTTACGACTGGCAGAGGCTTATTGAAGAGCGTGGCGGCATTACAACTACAGAAATCTTACAATCAAAGGCGAAGATTATCTGGAATCAGCTACCACAATACCGTGGACTACCTACGCCAGAATTTAGCTACGGATGGATCGTAAAGTTTCGACAACGGCATAATATATTATATCGAACTCTACATGGCGAAGCTGGATCTATTGGTGTCACTGCAGAAGAACAAATGAAGGCTATACAAACTATTGAGGGGGAATTTTTAGAGGACAATATTTACAACATGGATGAGACTGGGCTTTACTGGAGGATGAGCCCTTCAAAGGGCTTTACAACATTATCAACTCCAGGACAGAAGAAGGACAAAGCACGCATATCAGTAGCCATTTGTGTTAATGCTGCTGGAACAGATCGACTTCCTCTTTGGTTTATTGGAAAGGCTAAAAAGCCTCGAGCTTTACAACACGTTGATGTAGGGGCAATGGGTGGGGTTTGGAGGTGGAATAAGAAGGCTTGGATGAATCAATTTGTTATGGCAGATTGGCTAAATGCTTTCTATACTCATATTGGTACGTCACGTTCTATACTGCTTACAATGGATAACTTCTCAGCCTATATCGCTGCAGTGGAATCGACGCCTCCTCCTCCAAATATATGAATTATCTGGCTTCCTCCAAATGCGACCAGTCGATATCAACCTCTCGATCAAGGTATTATAGCCTCTTTAAAAAGCTATTATCGTCGGCAATGGCTCGAGTTCATGCTCGAATCTTTTAGCAACAACCTGGATCCAATCAAAACAATGACAATACACTTTGCAATTTGCTGGCTTATTCGATCATGGCATCATGACGTTACAAATACGACTATCTACAATTGCTTTCGAAAAAGCACAATTCTTTTACGCCCAATACAGCTTCCTATACACCCACTCCCTGTTCTAAACGACTTATATACTCGAGTACAACAAGCTGGTCATATATCAGACGCTATGGACCTTTCGAACTTTTTGAATCCAGCGGAGGAGGGAATGCAAGAGGTGGAGGAAGGCTTAGATGAGGACACAATTCTACAGGAGGCGATGGCTCCATATATACAGGTTTCCGATGCTCAAGATGATGACGATGAGGAGCCCCAGCATCCTGTGCTCACCACACAGAATGCTGTACAAGCCCTCCAAGTTCTGATTGAGTTCTCAGAATCTGAGAATAGTGGCATCACGGATCCAGCATCATTTTTGCGCTCTTTATGAGTTGGTTCAAGGCACGTTGGATGGATATATGGTTTAGCTGAGGGGCTACTTCGGGTCTTCTTCAGGTCACTTTCTAACTCGATATTACTATAACTCGATATATTTATGCATGACCAATTACATCAACTTAACGAGATAATACTGTAGGCGATAACGAACGGCAGTTAGTGCCGTTGAACGGGATAACGAGAAAACTATTGACCACGCTGACCCAGAGCCGGTCGACGTCATCCACCTTGCTGATACTTACATGTATCTCGTCGATTATTATCACCCGAAACTCATGGAAGATCTCTACTGGACAGATGTTGAAGGCTTCTTCACTCCAGATGAGGACGGAGACTTTGAATTTGGCTTGACAGTCAACAGAACCGGCAAACTTTTCCTGTGAAACGGTGCAGCGAAGCAGTGGAAGCTTCTTTAATGTCGGTACGATAGAAGAAGTGTGCGTGAAGAACCTTAAGGCTGGGCAGACTTATAAAATCAAAGTCGAATACCCCAGTGGCGTCACCTCCAAGCTCAGCGATTCTGACGGCGTTGTATCATCTGGAGGCGGTGGGATAAGGATTGGTGGCGCCAGAGTGATTGACCCGACAGAGGAGATTGAGAAGGCAGTACTCAGTGTTCCACCCACTCGCTTCGTTCGTAGGTGGCAACAGCAAGTTGTGCGTGCGACAGCAAGATGTGCGTACACCGCTATTTTGATATATAGAGAAAATAATAGTATTATTCATAACATAGTATCTACAATGCCTCAAAATAACGATCCTACTATGATTGCTCGCCCAACAGTTCTTCTTAAAACAACCAAGTACATATACAATTGCTTGGGTTGCAAATAAATTCAATGTCAACCGTGAGACACTCCGACGTCGTATTACGAGTACTACGTCTCCTCAATTACCCCACGGAGGTAGCAATTGAGTCTTATCTCAATCGCAAGAGACTGCAGTCTGTCAATTCATATACGACCAACTTGAGCGCGGGGTCCCTGCCAACCGATCTATGATACTACGGGCAGTTGCAGACTTACGACCTAATCGTACAATACCATCACAATGGTGGCTACAACGCTTTCTAAAAGCACACCCCGAATTTCATACAATTCACCTGAAGACATTAAATACACATCAGAAGCAAGCACAAAAGAAAGAGGTGTTTGAGGAATTCTTTCTCACATATAACGCCCTTATTACGAAACATAACATTAAGCCATATAATTTATGGAATGTTGATGAGACAGGCTATATGATTGGGTGTTATAAGTCTACGGCTGTTATTATACCAATCGGTGTAAAGCAGTGGACTGTTGATAGGAGTAAATGCAAGTGGTGCTGCACTTGCAGAAGCTATCATTATCCCTGGCAAACTTCATATGGATTCATGGTACAATGATGACCTTGAGCCAAATGCTCTCATTATTGTAAATGAGAGCGGGTATTCAAACGACGACATTGCAATCTAATACCTTATGCATTTATCCAACTATCTGCAGAGCATATGGCACCAGATGATACTCGCCTCTTATTACTTGATGGCCATGACTCTCATAAACAGAGCGCTTTCTTACATTAGCAGAAGAGCATAACATTGTTATTTGCTGCCTTCCTGCTCATACAACACATCTATTACAACCTCTTGATGTAGAGGTTTTTAAGCAGTGCAAACACTTTCATTAAAAGGCACTTGATCAAGCAGTACGTAGCTACGACTATGAGTATAAGCTACGTACGTTCCTTTCAAACCTCCCGCAAATCCGATGGCAATCTCTAACTGTCCGTACAATTCAATCTGGTTGGAGAAATGCAGGACTATATCCATATAATCCCCCACTTGTAATTGACAAGATACAAGAGACTCGGAATCAAACACCTGATTATGAGCCATTTGCTTCATATAATATTATCTCAACACCGAAAACAACTATGCAAAGTGTGCAAGCGGTTGAACATTGGCAGAAGAGAGCAGAGGAAGCTTTCTCATCGCCTTCAAGAGAAGGGTTTCAATCATTTGCACGTGGAACTACAGTTGTTCTACACCGGGCAGAGCTCTATAAGACTGAGCTAGATATTATGACTTTACGTGCAGTAGAGCAGAAGGCAGCAAAGGCAAGGTCACGGAAACCACTAAAGAAAGGAGGGCAGTTATATGCATCAGATGCACGCGGGAAGAGAAGGAAGCAAAGTTGCAAGCAAAAGCAGACGCAAGAGCAGCAAGGGAATCGGACCAAGTAGTAAAGCAGCTACAAGCGCAAGCACGTAAAATCGAAATTGAAGAGCGTAAGGTTGAGAGGAAGCGGGTAACAGAGCGGAAGAAGGAAGGGTTGAAATCAAAAGTGATAATTTTACGGTATAGTAAGGATCAAAGTGACAGTAGTAGCGATAGTGGCAGTAGCGATAGTGATAGTAGTTCTATTGATTTTATGTTTTAATTATATAGTTATATAGTTGCTATATAAGGCGTCTTTTTCTTCGTTTTATGTGTCGCACATCTTGCTGTCGCCACCTACGAGCGAAGCGAGTGGGTGGAACACCGAGTAGCGTTAGCAAAGAGCGTCGACCAAGTCGTGATCTGCGCCGGCCTTAACAAGGACTGGGAGCAAGAGGGACATGATCGGGAGCACATGGATCTTCCCGGCCGTACGAACGACCTGATTTCCGCAGTTGCAGATGCCAACCCTAACACAGTCGTCGTTATCCAGTCTGGATGCCCAGTCCGAATGCCGTGGGCCGACAAAGTCTCGAGCTTAGCGCAAGCATGGTATGGTGGCAATGAGACTGGCAACGCCATCGCCGATGTGCTGTTCGGAGATGTCAACCCATCATGGAAGCTGCCTCTCTCTTTCCCCGTTCGTAACGAAGATAACCCCGCCTTCCTCAACTACAGCTCATCGCATGGTCGCGTCCTGTACGGCGAGGATATCTACGTGGGATACCGAGCAGTGGGACATTCCATGTTGCACCAAGCGCAGTACCACATGGAAGGCAGGCCGCCGGCACGCCGTTGAAGAATCGAGTGCCTCTGATGCCGTTGGTCCATTAGTAAACCGAAGCGAGGGGATTCCATGCTTTAGAATTGCCTTTGTGTGCCAAAAATCAATCCCAGCCTGAGCTTCGAGAGTACCGCCTCAACGTCGAGGGTTTCAATCGGCGACGGTGGCGTCGGTGGTTCTGTGTTTTCTTGAGCCATTCCCTAGAGTAATTATTGCCCGTAGGATTGTTTTATGTATTTCAAGAAAGAGAAAGGGCCATTGAAGTGCGATTGCATTCCCCCACGAGCGGAGCTTCTCCGGCCTTAGTTTCGGCGTGTTATATCAACCCCGCCGCAGGGCCGATCCACCCATGCCGCGAAGTCTCGGATGCTGCGTTGGAGTTCCATTTGTATGTAGCATTGTCCCCGCACCATTAATAACTAAAAATGGAAGGAATGACCACTGAGTGGTGTGGTGACAGCCCCGGGATTTGAGTGAGACAAACAAATGCGCCGCACTTCGTCCTTTCGGCGATGCCAGCTTCCATATTTTCTTAAGTTAGTGGGGAGCTACCCCACGGTTGCGATGTTTCCCCAATCGGTAATCATCATCACCAGCCCGTCCCATGAGACGTTTCATCTCATGCATATCCCGGTGAGAAACCAATACTGACTTTGGATTTGACAGCAACTGGCAGCATGGAAGGAGAGGAAAGACAGTCTAAAAGTAGAACTGCAGAATAGTTACTGTAATTGTCGAAAGTTAAGTCGGGTCTCGTGCTGATGTGTGCCAGGTGGGGGACGAACACGTATCATAACTTGAATTGTTATAAAGATAACTTTCGCCTTCTTTACTCGTTTGGTTCTTATCCTGTAAAGTGTTATAGTGTTTACTATTTCCTCGCTGTACATTTCTCCCTTTATTCTAGAAAAGATGGGAGGAAGCTTGCTGATGTGGATATGTAGGCATAAATTCCAGATAGAAACTCTGTGCGGACTTTCCTAAAGGTAGGAAGCTGAAACCCGTATTGGCAAGTTCAGTAACCATGAAATGGATGGTTGTGGAGAGACGCCCAGGAAGTTTGGGGCAAGGGGGGGGCATTAACGAAATTATGAAATCGGATAAGTTAGTATTTATAGCGCAGAAATACCACATAGGTTATCAAGAGCTATGCCTCATGTCTGAGTATCTATCCCTCGCTTCCCATGGTTTGAACCATATAGCGTAATATGACTTGCAGAAACTCCAAGTTGCTGAATGGAGATCGACAAACACCGAGCTACCCATAACATATTTGATTTCCCTATCTCTACACAGACAATTTATGAAATCTCCCTCAACAAACTTTATACCATAATCTCTGCTATCAACCAATACTCCTACAACCACCTCATTAGCATTCACAAAAAGTATAACAGTCCCACAGGCAACGCCCCCGAAACCAACTCCCAGCCACCTCAGCACCCCACCCTAGCCTAACGCACCACACTCCTCTCCAACACCTCATCCGCAGCCCTCAACGCCCTCTCCCTCTCTACCCCCTCCATAACCCGTGCATGCTTCATGAAATCCACCGTGCTCTGCCTCAATGCCATCATATCCGCCATGTGGCTCTTGTCGCGGCCACTCCACGTTTTGTACTTCTCTCTGCGCTTCGCACGGTTGGTTTTTGCCTTCACTTCTGGACTGAGAAGGTCGTCGTCTGTCCCTTTTCTTTCAAGGAGATCATCCATGCTGCCACGGCGAGGGATTTTGGCTGCATCAGGTATTCCTTGGTATATCGGCTTACTGGTCTCGGGTTGCACCGAGTTGTGGTTCTTATCGCGACAAGGGCTGCGAGATAGTATTTCGGCTTTGAGATCTCCCAACGCCTTGTTTGCACTTGCACTGGGGTGGAGGCCATATACTGTGTCACCGGATGCTTTAGTCTGTTTGCTGAGCAATCTGTCAACGGACGTCCGCACTTTCGTAGTTAGCCTTCCAGTAATATGTTTGCGAGGAGATTCTTCCTGATGTTTCTGCTGTGGTTTCTTATTGGCCGAGGTATCTTGATGCAATCCATCAAGGAGCTCCCTCATAGCGAAATCAGACTTGGCAACGTCATTGTCGGCCCCAATACTCCCACAACGGCTTTCACAATTGTGACTCGGGAAATTAGCCCAGGACTCTGGCGGTATCACAACACTCGACCGATTGCTTCGAGAAGAGCGTCTGGAACTATCTGTTTCATCGGTCAATGTCTGTTCGTTTCTCTTCGCATGTTTGTTATTAGCATTTCCGTCAAGCTTGCTCTGTTTCCCAACCGGACTTGGGTGCCTTTCTCCAGATTCGGCACCACGCGAGTTTCCATCGATTGACTGACGGAACGCCTTCGTCCACATTATTTCCGCGCTCTCCATTGAATAGCTTTTCGAGCGGTCTAGCGATACCGATTCCTTTCTCGATGTGGTTCGAGCGGGGGTTCCGCTTTTAGCAGGTCTCGCTTTATGCTGACCAGATTGCCGCTCAGTGGCGACTGAATCGGGAGAACCTTCGCCATCAAAGCTTCTGGTGAGCCTTCCAAGCACCGAGTGCCTCATTGATGATAAAACCGATGACCGAAAGCTGGATTTAGAGCCTGGTTCGTCGAAGTCTTCCGAGAATTTGCTAGTTAATGGCGTAGAGAGTTGACGCTTATTCATCACAGGTGAATCGAGAGCTCCCGAGCACTCCGGGTTTCCCATATATTCGTTCACATCGGCATTGGGTGAGGTGGAGGGTAGAGGGTATATTATACGACTTTCGCCTTCCCTTGACAAGTAGCCTTCTCCTCTGTGCTGTTGGTGTCTTCTGTTCACGGGGTCGATATCGTCCAACTCGTCGTCCGGCTTCGTTATTACAATGCGCGGAACTAGAGAATCATAGAATCAACAAATTGCCCATGTCAGTGAAAATAAAGCTTCCCTCACCCCGCAAGTAACTTGGCACGATATTCTGACCTTCCATAATGGTTAGCGATAACTCTGGCCCTTGTGATGACTCGTGGTTTTGCCCGGGACTATATTTAACGCGTGACTTATGCGATGATGAAGTTCCATCGCCTAGAACCTGACCCCAAGTTCTTGGAACCTTGCTTTCACTGAAGGCTGAGCCAGAAATGTTGCGAAAATATCGAGATCTTCGGGTGTTAATTTCTCGAAACCCATCTTCGGGACTTACAGGTTCGCCGTCCAGGGTTATGTCCTTGTACTCAGATGACTGCTGCTGTGGAATGTAAGTGCCTGTAGACGCCAAGCGCTGGGAGATTTGCATCTCATGGAGCGGGATTGCCGATGCCTTTTCCGGAATTTGAGGTCCTGAAGTTAGTTCATCTGAGGTCGCACTGGAATGTTGAGCTTCCAGGGGCCGTCGATTTCCGCTGCTCAGCCACTCCTTCTTCTTTCCAGGGGAGCGCGGAGGCTCAGAGGTAGGCACCGTTAGGTTGGCATTGTTTGTGCTCTGGTCTTCGGGATTGGATAGACTCAGCGCACGCAAGCATCTGGCCCGCTGGGGAGATGTGAACGATAGCCTCCAAGAGGTACGCTCCACTAATGTATCGCCGATTTTTGGCATATTCTTGGGATTCAGAGCGGGAGGTAAGGGGGTTTCTGGCTCTCCATGAGTTGAGTCTGCTCTGTGTGGTGTGTCGACAACCATTTTGCGAGATGGGAGCGGTTGATTGTTACCCGGATTGACACGATGGCTGGAATAAGCATTGATAATATCATTTACTGGATCGTCCTGAGAGGCTTCATCTGAGTCATTACCTGCACCTTTCGATGCCTGTCCGAGCGGGCTGGAGCAGAGAGGTGTCGCATCCTCGTCGTAAACACGTATGTCTCCAAGTTCTTCTTGTAACCACTTAGCACGAATACGCCTCACCTCTTCACGGCGTGTGACTTCCTCTTCGCTAATTGCAACAGTCGATGTTCGGGATCTCTGGTTCGTAAGAGTCGAGTCGCGTGAGAAGCGTTTTTGTAGCTTTGATCGGCCAGCACGACGTCTCTTCAAAGTCGACGCATTCTCGTCGTCGAGATTGTCACCTTTGAAAATGGCGTGCAGTTCCGCTGCGTCTTCTGATTTTGAAAATCGGGAACTCCATGACAGTGCGTTTCCCGATGCCTGCGGATGCACCGAGACGGGATCGACTAGGCGGGGCGGCCTGCCGTCTGGCGAAGGAGGCCCAGGAGAAATGCAACATGTATTGCCTCTCATGGCTCAATCTGTAGATGACAGACAATAAAAGAAAACAGTGAGAGTAGGTCTAACAGAAAAAAAACGCAAAAAGAAGAGGCTGGAAGGGTTATGGACAGAGAGAAATGGACCAACGAAGCTACAAACATCGCACGCACTGTACTGGCAGGAACGAACGAGCAGCGCTCCTTCCATTTTGATGAAAGATTGTATGTATTGTATTATATTGTATTGTATTATATTGTATTGTATTATATTGTATTGTATTATATTGTATCGTACTTTATCGTGCTTGCCATAACAGCAATTGGAAACTTAAGAAGATCGTCCCTACCCTTTTGAGGCTTTTAGGGCTTTTGAGGGCATATCGGAGCATTTTAGTACTACTGTCGGAGAGGAAAGTAAACGGTCTCGCTCGTACATATTTCAGGAACGAGTGTGTAATATTACCGGTCGCCCCGTTAATTAATTGAGACTACTTTTGTTTTTTTAATTCATGTGTGACAGTGACATATTTTTTACATCGCCTCACTCACCTCACCTCACCAAAAAATACCAAACGCACCACGAGTCTTCTCCTTCAAACCCGATAAAGCTTCATCTCACGAATGGACTACAGACCAACCCTACAGCTCATATCCGTACCTTAACCTATCCTAATAAAACGTTTTTGAGCGACATCACCCCTCCAACCAAACCCGCCCATACCCGCCAACCTACCATAGCCCTCAAACACCCCACAACCCCCCTCCACCCCTCCACCCCTCCACCCCCTTCCTCTATTATTTAACGGGTATCGGGCATTTTGACGAATCACGCAATCACCCACGCCCTCTCGCCTCCCGACCCAGGAGCCAAAAAAGACCCCCCACCATCACAATAACCAAAACAATTAACTTACCCCTCCGAAAATCTGGTCTACTCTAGTACTCTACTCGACTACATCTCACCGCCCCGCCCCCTCTTTCTTCGTCTTCTCTTCTTCTTCTTCTCCTTCTTTCTCCCTTATTCTCCCTCTTCTTCCATCATCTCCTCCTCCTTCAAAAACTCCCATCTACTCTTCAGAAAGTCAGATAGACTTTTGACATCCATCTTCCTTACTACTACGGGAAGTAGAACCTTCAGTCTTCTTCACAAGCCCTTCACCTCTCTCTCTTCACAACCCCACACCCAAGATGGTTCAATCGTATGTTCACTTACCCCTCTTCTTTCATTCCATCCCTCAATCTCGACATTACTTCAAAGATAAACTGCTAATGACAAGTCTACAGTGCTATCCTCGGTTTCCCTCGCATGGGTGTGAACCGTGACCTCAAGAAGGCCACCGAGAACTACTGGGGTGGAAAGATCACCCAGGATGAGCTCCTCGCTGAGGCCAAGCGCCTCCGTCTTGCTCACTGGAAGATCCAGAAGGATGCCGGTGTCGACATCATCCCATCCAACGACTTTGCTCTCTACGATCAGGTCCTTGCCCATATCCAGGACTTCAACGTAAGCACAAATTCCCCTACCTTCAAGCTCTTCCTGCAGCTGCTAACCCACCAAATAGGCTGTCCCAGAGAGGTACACCAAGTACAAGCTCAACGCTGTGGATGAGTACTTCGCTATGGGTCGTGGTCTTCAGAAGGAGGGCGTCGATGTCCCATCTCTGGAGATGGTTAAGTGGTTCGATGCGAACTACCATTACGTCAAGCCAACCCTCCAGGACAACCAGGAGTTCAAGCTTACTAAGAGCCCAAAGGCTGTCAACGAGTTCCTTGAGGCCAAGGAGGCTGGCATTGTCACCCGCCCCGTCCTCGTTGGACCAGTTTCCTTCCTTGCCCTCGGCAAGCCAGACCGTAACCAGACCGTTGACCCAATCTCTTTGATCGACAAACTTGTCCCAGTCTACATTGAGCTCCTCAAGAAGCTCAAGGCTGCCGGTGCTGAGACCGTCCAGATCGATGAGCCAACCCTGGTCTTCGATCTCGCACCAAAGGTCAAGGCTGCCTTCAAGCCAACCTACGAGAAGCTTGCCGCTCTCGGAGATGCCATCCCCAAGATTGTTCTCGCCACCTACTTCGGTGACATCGTCCACAACGTCGATGTCCTTCCCCAAGACATCTACGGTCTGCATATTGACCTTGTCCGCAACCCAGAGCAGCTCGATGAGGTTGTCAAGGCCCTCGGCCCAAAGACCATCCTCTCTGCCGGTGTTGTCAATGGTCGCAACATCTGGAAGACCAACCTCAAGCGTGCCATTGAGGTCGTTGAGTCCGCCATCCAGAAGGTTGGCAAGGAGCGCGTGATCGTCGCCACCTCCTCTTCCCTCCTCCACACCCCTCACACTCTCGCCAGCGAGAAGAAGCTTGACGCTGAGATCGCCGATTGGTTCGCCTTCGCCGTCGAGAAGGCTTCTGAGGTTGCCATCATCGCCAAGGCCGTCACTGAGGGCCCAGACTCCGTCCGTGAGGCCCTTGAGGCCAACGCCAAGTCTGTCCAGGCTCGTGCTACCTCCAAGCGCACCAACGACCCCGCCGTCAAGGACCGCCAGTCCAAGGTTACCCCAGCCATGTACAACCGCAAGTCTGAGTTCCCTGTCCGTATCTCCCAGCAACAGGAGAAGCTTGGCCTCCCAATGTTCCCCACCACCACCATTGGTTCCTTCCCCCAGACCAAGGAGATCCGCATCTACCGTAACAAGTTCACCAAGGGCGAGATCACCGCTGCTGAGTACGAGAAGTTCATTGAGAAGGAGATCGAAGAGGTTGTCAAGGTCCAAGAGGAGCTTGACCTCGATGTCTTAGTTCACGGTGAGCCGGAGCGTAACGACATGGTCCAGTACTTCGGTGAGCGTCTCGATGGTTACGCCTTCACCACCAACGGATGGGTTCAGTCTTACGGTTCCCGGTGCGTTCGCCCACCGATTGTTGTCGGTGATATCTCCCGCCCAGCCCCAATGACCGTCAAGGAGTCCAAATACGCCGTCTCCATCTCCAAGAAGCCAATGAAAGGAATGTTGACTGGCCCAATCACTTGCCTCAGATGGTCGTTCCCCCGTGACGATGTTCACCAGTCCGTCCAGGCTGAGCAGCTTGCTCTTGCCCTCCGTGACGAGGTTGTTGACCTTCAGAACGCCGGTGTGTTCGTCATCCAGGTCGACGAGCCCGCTCTCCGTGAGGGTCTCCCCCTCCGCTCCGGTAAGGAGCGCGTTGCCTACCTCGACTGGGCAGTCAAGTCTTTCCGCCTCTCCGTCTCCGGTGTTGAGGACTCCACACAGATCCACTCTCACTTCTGTTACTCCGAGTTCCAGGACTTCTTCCACGCCATCGCCGACCTCGACGCCGATGTCCTCTCCATCGAGAACTCCAAGTCCGATGCCAAGCTCCTCAAGGTCTTCGTCGACGAGGCCTACCCCCGCCACATCGGCCCAGGTGTCTACGACATCCACTCTCCCCGTATCCCAAGCGAGCAAGAGATGAGGGACCGCATCGAGGAGATGCTCCAGTACCTCAAGCCAGATCAGCTCTGGATCGACCCCGACTGTGGTCTTAAGACCCGCCAGTGGACCGAGACCAAGGCTGCCCTGGTCAACATGGTCAACGCCGCCAAGTTCTTCCGGGAGAAGTATGCCAAGTCAACTTAAAGTGGCAATTTGATACATAATTATATGATACTAGTAGTTGTGATCATTACGAAGGGGACGATCTCAACATCGGCGTTCTCTGGGTGTTGGGCAAGAGGGTCTAAAAAGATACTATGGGTGGGATTTCAACAGCATTGTGGGAAGCGGTATAAGGGTGTCCATCAACCGGGCAGACCCAATCAGGCGTTTTGATCTTTTTACCTCAGCGGATTTATTTGACTTTCATAGATGGATTTCATCTGTTGTGTAGAAGGTTGGCGGGGAAGTAGTTAAAAAAAATTCAAGCCCATTCAACCGGGAACAGTTGATTTGTCTCTTGATAATGTGATATGTTCTAGCCCAAGTAATATTGTGCTGTTGCATACATTTAGTGGTAAATGCTTCTGCTTCATAGTGCCTGCCTTTTAACAGCTCTAATCATATGAAGGAATATCCGTCGACACGTGGCAGTTGCAAATACTCACGGTCTATCTCATAGTAATAATGTATCGTTGTCCTTTTAGTTCATCAACTCCCCATAGGTCCAAGATACACTGCGTGATTTCATATATCCAGTTGATTTTCTTTCCGGTTCCCTCTGCAAGCACATTGCACCAGATCAAAAGCCTCCAGCAGTACTTTAGATACTTACGCAGCTCCCCGGCATTCTCTGGATGCAGCGAATCATGAGCAATTGGTAGCCGCCGCCGTGGTATGTACTCTGCATGATCTAGGACTTCTAACACAAGTTCGAGAGGCAATGCTTTCTGCTGCAGATACCAGGTGACAACAGGGATATCTGATCTGAGCGGAAAACTACTCTGAATACTCTTGCCTAAATGATTCTATTTTGACTTGACAAGTGCGCGCATTATGCCTAGGCTTCCTACATATGTCACAGCGCTGTTGTTACAGCTAGCGACAACCTAGACCACCCCCATTTCTATGCATTTCTTGTTGTACTTGTTACCCAACATCCCTCTAGTCCTACAGATCTCCTGCATCTTGTATATTAAGTGATCCTCTAAGCTAGACGCAAGTTTTTTTTGCCCTTGACGTTTGCTAATGATGGTGTTTGCCTCTTGTAGTTCAGTAACCTTAGCTTAAAGAGGGCCATCTAATGTATAATACCATGCGCCCCCTTTGAGAACTGGTTAATGACATTATACATTGATGTTAGGGAGCTATTCTGATGCTTAGCAATCTGAGATTTAATAAATTCAGACTGAGAAGTAGCTCGATTGGGTTGTTTAGTGTCCTAGAAGCCTAAGGGAGGGACTCTACTGTAGGTGGCCGAGAGGGTGTTAAAGTCTGTAATTTCACATCTAACTTTGAAATCACGATGTCTAGGCTTAAAGGAACAAGCCTAGCTCAGAAGGACGGTAGCCTACGTCTCTGTGTAGACTACAGGGGCTTAAATAAGATCACCATAAAGAATCGACACCCGCTGCCACTAATCACGGAGACCTTGGATCGGCTCCAAGGGGCGAGGTGCTTCACGAAGCTTGATATAAGGAACACCTACCACCATATCCGCATTCGTCCAGGCGACGAGTGGAAGACAGCGTTCCGTACTCGATATGGGCACTTTGAGTACAGGGTGATGCCTTTCGGATTGGCCAACGCACCCGCAACTTTCCAAGCGTACATGAATGAGACCCTACAAGGGCTGGTTGACACTGTATGTGTCGTATACCTTGATGATATCCTCATCTACTCCCAGAAGGAGGAGGAACATGCTGACCACATGCGAGAGGCCCTAGGATGCCTACGTGAGGCGAGCCTATATGTGAAGCTCTCAAAATGCGAGTTCAATGCCAAGAAGGTAGGCTTCCTTGGGTACATTATCACAATGGAAGGAGTTGCTATGGAGGACGACCGGGTTGCTGCAATAGCTGAATGGCCTATACCTAGGACCCACCGAGAGGTCCAGGTATTCCTTGGCTTTGCCAACTTCTACTGGCGTTTTGTCAAGCAATACTCCTCCGTTGTGGCCCTGATGACAGGCCTTATGAAGGGGGCCAAGGCAGGTAAACAGACAGGCCCATTCGTCTGGGGCACGGAACAGCAAGGTGCCTTCGACCAGCTGAAGGAAGCCTTCACTACAGCCCCAACGTTGGTTCATTTTGACCCTAGCCGTAGAATCAGGCTTGAGACCAATTCGTCAGGGTTCGGCCTGGCTGGGAACCTCTCCCAATTAATAGAAGAGCCAGGGAAGAAGGCCGAGTGGCACCCTGTGGCCTTCTACAGCAAGAAGCTGGAACCAGTTGAGCTCAATTATGAGACCACGACCAGGAAATGCTGGCGATCGTGAGGTCCTTCGAACAGTGGAGGCATTATTTTGAAGGGAGCCAATACCCTATTGAGGTCCTTACGGATCATAATAACCTCAAGTATTTCATGGAAACCACCACCCCCACAAGGAGGCAAGCGCGGTCGGTGCAGGCGTTATCGGCCTATGATTTCCATATAGCCTACAGGGCTGGAAAGACGAACCCGGCAGACGGGCCGTCAAGAAGACCAGATTATGAGGTCGAAAGGGGTAGCCAGAACGTGATGTTGCCTACCCTTCAGAATACCCTTCGCAAGGCCATGAAGGCTGGAGGAACCCCACAGGTAAGTGGGGTGACAACGAGCCCACAGGGCCCTCAAGAAGAGGATATCGACCCACAGAGTATGGGCGAAAGCGCCAGCGGCGCCAGACCGGACAGAAACCACAATACGGACACCAAGAGTTCAGGTTCTGTTGTCCCTCGGGTCATAGTGACAGCTATGGCACAGGGAGAGGGTGCCTACAGTGCTGTGACCGAACCTCTGACAGACTTGATCAAAACCCTTCAGGCGGCTGACGAGCTTGCTGTTAAAAGGGCCAAGGATGCAGGAACGGTGCGAGCAGAGGACCCTCCAGGATGGAGAGTAGACGATGCAGGCATCCTACGCTTCCAGGGAGTGGTATACGTACCTCCCAACCAGGCAGTGAGGATGGAAATCTTCAAGATTTGCCATGACGACCCACTGGCCGGGCATTTTGGATATAAGAAAACCCAAGAGTTGATCCAACGCAAATACTACTGGCCTGGCCTTAGCAAGGAAACCAGGGAGTACGTACGGGGCTGTGATAGATGCCAGCGCATCAAGCCCATGTGACACAGGCCGTATGGCGAAATGCAGGCCTTGAGGATGCCCTCGAAACCATTCGAATCCATAAGTATGGACTTTATCACGAATCTGCCCCCAAGCGTAGGGGCAGACCAAGGCAAGGCTTCAGACTCCATCCTCATGATAGTAGATCGTTATACTAAGGTGTCTAAATATATACCTTGTAGGAAAACCATTACAGCCTCAGAACTGGCGCGGCTCTTCCTAGCGTTCTGGGGCAAGGACTTCAGAATCCCAGCTGAGATCATAACGGATAGGGGAAGTGTATTCACATGCCACTTCTGGTCGGCTTTCTGTTTCTACCTCAAAGTACGGCGTAACCTGTCCACCGCTTTCCAACCTCAATCCGATGGCCAGACCGAGAGGCAAATCAGAATATAGAAGCCTACTTGCGGATCCACTGTAATCAGCACCAAGACAACTGGGTGGAACTCCTCCACTTCGCAGAATTGACCTACAATAATGCTTTCCACGATTCCATCCAGATGTCGCGAAACCATGCCCGATACTGTTACGATATCAAGTGCGCCTTGCAGCTCGAGTGGGGGTTCAGGGGTGTGGGGAGCTTTCCGGGGTTGGAGCGAAGTTTTCAGTTGTGGAGTGAATTCTCAGAACTAGTCTCGCTAAAGAGAATTCACTCCACAACAACATAGCTGTATATAGATCGAGCCACTGCTCGAGTGCTCCTCTTCTCTTTCCTTTCTTCTCTAGATTGAGTTTAATTCATAATACCCAACTAGCGCCCTATGCCTTGGTGACAGATACGGCATCAATATAGACCTAAGACAAGGGATCGAGGACGACCCCACCAGAAGGGAAGTGCCAGTCGCGAAAGATAGCGTCAACCTGATCCTAGAATTGTGACAGGAGCTCGAAGAGGCATGGAAACAGACGAAGGAAGCCCAAATACGAGGCTATAACAAGCTACACAAGCAATGCAGTATATGGTAGGAGCGAAGGTGTGGCTATCGGCCAAGAATATCAGGACCACCCAGCCAAGCAGGAAGCTGGGGCACTGGTGGCTTGGGCCATACGAGATCATCCAGCAGATAGGTAAACAAGCATACCAGCTGAAGCTTCCACCACGATATAAGGCGATTCATGACATGTTCCACATCTCCCTACTCGAGAGGTACTGGGAAGGTGTAGAGAAGGCCGATCCTCCACCCGACCCAGAGATCGTGGATGGGGAAGAAGAATACAGGGTTGAAACAGTCCTAGACCACAGGACTGTGCGAAAGGGCAGAGGAACTCGAGAAGAATACCTGATTAGGTGGGCAGGATACACTGCCACTGATGATCAGTGGATTCCAAAGCTTGACGTAGTGCTACCGTTAATTGAGGCATATCACAAGGAGCAAGCAGAGAGGAACAGAGTCAGAACAACGTAGTAGTATGTAACCTATAGACATATGGAAAGAAGAAAGTGTCAGAATCCAACGAGGAACCACTACCCTCAGAAGAGGGTGACGACGACGGCAACGCAGAAACTGACCCACCACCCACTAACGAAGGGGACCCGACCGCCACAGGAGGACGGGCGTTGTACACCCATTTCTCTAGTCCCACAAACATCCGCTCAAGAAGGGCGCGATCGCAATCTACTGGCACAGGCACAAGGATAGGGCCCGCTGGCGAAGGTGCAAGAGGCGTGGGCCTCACTTGAACTGTGGGAAGGGTCAGTAAGACGTCCAGGAAGAAGACCCAGGTAGCTCAGGCCCCTCCACGTCCTCCTCCACAGAAGAAGAGTGGTAGGGGCAGATAGCGTGAGGGCGTTGGCTCAATGTGACAGATCCAGGACATTGGTTCAGCATGACAGAACCAAAGGGAGTGGGCATCATGGGCGCCTCGCGGTCAGAGGAACCAAGCATCTCTGCTGCAGAACGTTTCTTTAGCATGAAGGGAAGCTTCTTGGCTGGTGGCTGGCAGGGTCCCATGGTAAAGGACTGCGCGAGTGAGGGAAGTAGGAACATCTGCTTCACCAGTCAGCCTCTGAGGAAGGAAAGAAAAGGAGGAAGGACACACTCACTGAAGAAGGTGTAGATCCTGGATAGAAGCTCAACCAACTGAAGATCGAAGAGCGACAGTGAGAGTGAGAAGCAAAGGTCAAACGATCGGGGAGGTGTAGGAAAAAGGTGGACAAGAAGAGGAAGTTGGGCGCGACCACCTATGGAGCGGTCACCAACCAACAACAAGGGGGGTCACAGGACCACCCTGCCTAGCAGCCACCCCAAGGATTAGGGCGAACAGCCCAAACAAACGCAGAAGGCCATACTCGTTGCCGCCTCGGAATTGAGGACAATCCCGCAGAAGGGGAGGCAATTGTAAGGCATCATGTGAGGCCACCCTGAACTCAGGGGCTGCCTGGCAGTGGAGCCACTAGGGCTCAGTAAACTAGGGCATGTAGCAACGTAGAATATAAGGAGCTGGAAGCCTCAGAAGGAGGCCTCCAGCCTATAGTCGCTGTATTTACGTAGACCTATACCCCTTTCCTGCCTCTTGACCTGGTTCCCTGGACTCCTGTGAGACCTTGGGCTTACGCGTTACACTCTCCAGGAGGTGATTTCAATTACCGTAGTCTGGTGCACTACTGGTCACCTGAACGCGAGGTTGCCGAGCTGTATCGCCAATGGGCACAGCAGCACTGCCCCCAATCCGAGACCTGGCTAGTTCAAATCTGCATTCTGATTGCCTTCATTAACTCAATCCCCACCACGGAGTTGTGGTACTCGCCAGATTGGAAAGAGTTTGTCTGGTATTGCAGGAGGAAACAATCGCCGCCTGAGAAATTCAACCACCTTGATCCGGAGACCAGATCTGTTGGCCTCATCAAGGGCCATATTTGCACCAAGATAGCACAGCAGGTTGCACGCATTAGGAAGGAGAATGTCCAGATGACGATAAACGATGATTTTGTACTACGTAACCCTGTTACTGGCTCTAAGGGGACACAGTGGGTGTTCACGATTCCAAGTGCCATTGATCGTCTAGGGACAGAAATTCACAGCCGCATCCACATCGATGTTACAGCTGCTCCTAAGGGCGATGGTACGGAATAGATAGGAAGCTTGTTGCAGTGGTTGCATGTGGCATTAGCAAGTTACAAGCGGCCCGGAGTTTGGGGAGGAGATCTTAATGTCATTGGAAGTCAGTATGGGGTTGATAGGCTGCAGCGTCCTTTGGTGTCTGAACCTACAGATTGGGATCGAGTGTTGGTCGGACAATATGTTGCACTGCGCCGCCCACACCCATGGGGAACACAAACAAATTTACGTCCGAGAGGAATTGGGTTGGGAGCTGCAACTTAACTATAATACCAGCGCTAGGTAAACTTTTTTAGTAGTTTAATCTCAATCTCAGTTCCCCTCTCTCTCTATTCTAATCTATATTCCCAATGGTGATGCCCTCGTCGACAATAGTCCTCGTAACCAGTAGCTTAGGTTTCATCGGCTCCTACGTCATCTAGGCCTTCTCTTAGAAGGCTCATGCTTGTAACTATGTCTCTGATGGCGAATAACTTAAACGCTGTATGAAAGGCAGGGAAGAAATCTTTTTTCGAGATATGTGTGCACGCGCATTAACTTCTCGATCTCAGTTCCGTACGAATGCTTTAATGTCGAAAACAACCAACGTTAAGCAGCTGAAGGTTATGAGACGAATATGTTAGCATACAAAGGATAATAATGTTTTGATCCTTGCCATAAATAATAAAATCAGCTAAATGATGGCTTTCGTGCCTGTTAAGAATCAAAAGACAATATACACCTTTTGTACAACTCCTTATATGTTAATCGAAATGTTTAATCTAATCTAGCCCTCACTCATTTGTTATCTAGCCATTTGACATAACAGCAATAACCTAATCTAGCAGCAAAGAAGTGTTTTTGTACTAAGACAAAAGGTGGTTTTTCCCTATAACAATAATAAATGGCAGTAGCGCATATCTATACGATCGAATGCCTTGAATTACTATAATCCATTCCCTATTACCTTGCTGTGTTATACAAGGTCTGCTCTTTCGTTCAGCATTCGTTACAACCATCTTATTTAGCCCATTAAAAATCCTGTCTTGTTAAAGTTGTATATGTCTGTAACGGGTGCCGCCGTTACAGTACATGTGGTATATAAAGCGTGTTACGCGTATTCCGGGCGAGCCGGGATACTGTAGTCTTTTTGGCTCTGTGGGATGTAGCGCGAGCGTAAACCGTACATCATTACAAGAGTATTCCAGCTCCCCGGTCAATGGGTTTTGATTGGCTCACTAGTTGGGTGGGCTAAGCGAGCAATCAGTGTAATTCCTTACCTGGCTGACAAGGGGGCGTCCTTGGGGGCTTAAGCTATTATATACACACCTTAGCAACCTGAGTAGTAACAGGCCTAGAAGCAAGTATGAGATGATGCACTAGAAGCCTCTACATCTGTTGTAAAAATGCCTCCGCCCTGCCTCCACCCTCAGTGACAGAAGGGATTGTCATACTGACATTCATTGCACTCAGTTTGCTATCAAACTCAAGAGCAAACTTAGAAATCTCCTCCTCAAACCTACAAGTCACTATACATATTTTGGCTTCTCACACCAACAACAAGAGCAATACTACTCAACGATTGCTACAACCCTGTATAATTCATTACACGTCATTGCTCCTTAGTTACTGGGCCGATATGGCCGCATAGCATACCTCTACAACCCTCTATGATTCATTACATGACATCACTCCTTAGTTACTGGGCTAATACTACACATGACATATCTCTATCAACTAGAGGCCTAGGAACATGAACGATAGCTCCAAAAGCTTCTACAACCATCTATCATTCATTACAAGTCATCGCTCCTTAGTTACCCACAAGATTGGTTAAGTTATGACATAATCTGTCTATAGGGGTACTCTGACCTTGGACCTCCTTTCACTTCCTATAGGCTAGGAACCTAGGAGATGGTTCTATGGGATTCTCTTACATCAACTACAGTTACCAAGCCTGGTTAGTCATGGAAAGTCTTGGAAAATGAGAGAACTACACTCCTTTAGCATAAATAGGATTGCCCTTTCCTTAAGAAAGGGCAAGCAGATAAGGTGTAATGGTGGGTGCACCAGATGTGAGAATCTAGCCACCCAAAGAAGGGATGATTTTACTAAGACAACACACTGTCTTAGGAAACAGAGCCAAAGGCTCGTAGCTTAGACTATTCCACAAAGCAGACAATACAGTAAATCGACTATCACATACTTCCACGTCTTTTCCAAGCTTCCTGTCATACTGACATTCGTTGCACTCAGTTTGCTATCAAACTCAAGAGCAAACTTAGAAATCTCCTCCTCAAACCTACAAGTCACCATACATATCTTGGCTTATCACACCAACAACAGAAGCAATACTACTCAACAATTGCTGCAAACTCTTCTACTACATCTGTTTATGCTACATACATCACGGCATATCATTTGGACACTCATTGAACAAGTTATTAAGAAAATCTCCTCCTTAAGGGGGTGGGCCAATACTACCACATGGCATATCTCTACCAACTAGAGGCCTAGGAACATGAACGATAGCTCTAGAAGCTTCTACAACCCTCTATGATTCATTACACGTCATCGCTCCTTAGTTACCCACAAGATTGGTTAACTTATGACATAATTTGTCTATAGGTACTCTGACCTTGGACCTCCTTTTCACTTCCTATAGGCTAGGAACCCAAGAGATGGTTCTATGGGATTCTCTTATGTTCACTACATGATTAGCAAGCTAGTTGTGGGTCGCACTTGATTTCTAATACATTTACCAAGCCTGGTTAGTCATGGAAAGTCATGGAAAATGAGAGAACTACACTCCTTTGGCATAAATAGGATTGCCCTTTCCTTAAGAAAGGGCAAGCAGGCAATACAGTAAATCGACTAGCACATACTTCTACGTCTTTTCCAAGCTTCCAAGCATTGATCTTGTTATTCTCTGTTTTTGAAAAGTCAGTGAGGTGCTAACCTCTGACTTACCCCTGAGTTCTCAGACTCAACATTTGTTGCAACTTGTCTAAACCACTTCACCACATCATACACCTGATTGCTGCGTTGTGGAATAGTCTAAGCTACAACCCTTTGGCTCTGTTTCCTAAGACAGTGTGTTGTCTTAGTAAATTCATCCCTTCCTTGGGTGGCTAGATTCTCATATCTGGTGCACCCACCATTACACTTCCAAGCATTTATCTTGTTACTCCTTGTTTCTGAAAAGTCAGTGAGGTGCTAACCTCTGACTTATCCCTGAGTTCTCAGACGCAACATTTGTTACAACTTGTCTAAACCACTTCACTACATCATACACCTGATTGCTGCATTGTGGAATAGTCTAAGCTACGACCCTTTGGCTCTGTTTCCTAAGACAGTGTGTTGTCTTAGTAAATTCATCCCTTCCTTGGATGGCTAGATTCTCACATCTGGTGCACCCACCATTACACGAGACCAGTTCTGAGAATTCACTCCACAACTGAAAACTTTGCTCCAACCCCAGAAAGCTCCCCACACCCATGAAGACCCACTCGAGCTGCAAGGCACATTTGAGATCATAACAGTTACAGTTGCAATTACAAACAGAATTCCCGCCAACATAGAACGCTATTCTCATGGATACCATTCGGAGATGTTGCGGAAATGATTCTCACAGCGTGTTTCGCAGACAAAACACTCTCTTAAGAGGGGAGGTAGTGTAAGGATGCCTCTGCCCTGCCTCCACCCTCAGTGACAGAAGGGATCTGAGTCGGATGGGTTACGGTCACATGGGGAGAGTTAGGGCCGGTTAGCCAAGTCGGACCCGTTTCGGGTACTTAAGGGGATTGACCCAACGGGGTTCCTTATCATCTTTTTTGTATGCTTCGTAGTAGACCTATAGGATAGCATCCGTTTAGCCTCCGAATCGCACTCTCATATGCTATTACTGTGAGCTGGGTGCACTGTGTCCTTACATACATGCCGGGATGTCACAGACTAAGGGGGGGGGTAATTGTAACGGGTGCCGCTGTTACAGTACATGTGGTATATAAAGTGTGTTATGCGTATTCTGGGTGAGCTGGAATACTGTAGTCTTTTTGGCTCAGTGGGATGTAGCGCGAGCATAACCGTACATCATTACAATGTCCTCCTTGTAAATCCCATATTTGTGAATCATGTTTCATACGAGTTGAAACCACACGTTATACGCGTTAGGATCTTCGCATTAAACTTGCTAATAGTCAATCTTTCAATTAAAATGCATATAGAGTTGTGGTTGTCGTTATACAAATTTGAGGTGTAGTTCTTTCTAACACATCTGCTGTTACGTTTAGCGAGCCACATGACTAAGTTGTAATTGTGGATTCGTTTAAAGCACTTGAAGTGCAAGAATCATATTTCTTTCTTTGTACGAATGTGTCATGTTTAAAAAAAAAGTTTATTTAGATATAAAGTCAAATGTACGATGCTAAGAAAAATATGACGGGTTGCTTAGGATGACAGGTTGCTTATGAACTACGTTATAGTACAAAATCAATTTGAAGTTGTCAAATTAGATTTTGGTGACCATTACGCCACCATGACCCAATACACCACCTCTAACATTATAGTAATTGCCAATCTATCTAAACCACGTGAAAAATGTTCAAGTAGTCCTGTGAAAACTGTTCTAGTAGGCCTAGTCCCGTGATAAAATTTGAGTGGTCCCGTGACCACTCGAATTTTGTCACGGGACTAGGCAGACCGGTGGGGGACCGTGGGTTATTAGCTTTAGACCGGACCGCGGTCTGGGTTGAAGATTTGGGACCGGACCGCCCCATGATCCGGTCTGGGGTCGGTCCCCCGACGGGGTCGCCCCGTGACGCACGCTAGTCGTATAGAAGGGGGGAAGTGACGAGTGGGTTTCTCTTCCTCGGAAGATAGGTCGCGTGCTAACGAACGTTCATTCAGGTACTACCAAGGGGGGGGGTTCCCATCAACAAAGATGGCCGACTAAAATCTGGCTTTCGCAGTCGCAAAGGAAGTCGATTAGCGGTTTGTTGCTGGTTAACGAGGAGGTGCTGATTGCTTGCGGCGGCGCAGTTCACTAATTTTCAAGACCATCCTAGTGAACCAGATCTTCAAGAACCAAGTACACAAAGGAGCCTATTAACACCGTACCGCTCTATGGCCTTAAGCTCATGAAAGAGATTATAGCCCAAGCTTTGCCTGACTTGGTTTACTGACGGTAGAGTACGTCTATCCATGCCTCAAAACTTTCTTAAGATGAACTAACATCCTATAGTTATGTTGGTATACAGACAGCATCGGCAATGATGTAAGTAATGTTACACTTAAGAATCAAACACATTACTTACGTTTTAGTATGTCATGGACTATGATATGCACAGGAGGATCGTAAGTGCTTCCCCCCGCCCTCCTCGACTAATATCACCATCTAATATACTCCCATAGCGGCCTCGGCTTCAAATTTCTTCCCATGCTCGGCCGAGTAAGCTTTCCCGTCTCCAGAACCTTAGTTAGTACGGGCTAATCGGGTCATGGATCTCTAGCACGTCAAAGCCCAAATTGAACGCACCCCGGATAATTTCACGTCGTTGTGGAAGTGGCGTGTTGTCGAGGAAGGGAAACTAAATCATAGGTTGGAGCAGGGAGACATGGGTCCGACAGAGCTGTCCAGCCTTAAAATGGCTGAGCGTGTGTCCCCCAAACCTCATATTAGACAACGAGAACTAACAGATGCTTTCCGTCCAATGTGCACGCGCCGAAGTCGCCGAGCCCACCACTGGCAAATGCAGTACTGTAAAATAGTTGCTGTAGAGTGTACGTAGGCGCGGAAGTGGCGTGGACAACCGAGAGGTTCGTTTCATGGATATTATGTGTGGAGTCCGTTGTACTAGAAATTACGGAGTACTGATAGAGCAAACATATCTCACCTCTAAAATGATCTCACCCTCTAATGATCTACCTCCTCCCATTCCCCATCCCCCGGCCCATCCGGCCCCTGACGCACATGCATCATCTCATAAACGCCACAACCACCTCAAACAAGCCAAGCGAAGGAAACGTTTCGCGACCCCTGCTGACGCCTCAGTAGCGCGCACCTAGCGAGTGCCGATCACCGATCCGCGACAGGCCGCGAAACACCCTCAGCCGCTCGTCGCGCCAATGACAGCGCATGGTCGCCGAGTACCTGATTTGGCCTACACATCCCTAATTGAAGTTCGAGGCCCCAGTCAACGCAGAAATCTCGGCCGCTACGCTCTGGAATGTGTATGGTCGGTGAGGGCCCCTCACCTCTGTACCCCGCACGTCCTAACCATTAGGGCAATTTGCTTACCTTACTTCCTTTTTACTCTGCCTTCCCTTTCTCTTCTTCTTCTTCTCCTCCATCATCAAGATATTTTGACATCTTGGTTACTTCACACTCTTTTCTTGCACAGTCCCTTCAGCCAGGTTGCTTTCTTCTCCCAACTTCTCTCCATTCCTTCGAGAAATCAAACCCAGCGAAGTCGACTTTCGCTCCTTTTGACCAGACCAACCAAGCACATCTCGACCTCGATATCGCTATCCAATCGACCACCACAGCCTTCTCGTCAGAAAATCGTTCCACAGGGCATTGACTGCTCTCTCGTTTCAGGCAGGCCCTCACCACACAAGAAATTTCTTCAAGACAAATCTACCACATTCAAGATGCAGTTCTTTACACTCGCCGTCGCTCTCTTCGCCGCCGTGGCAACTGCCCGCAGCCACGGACACGCCCAGCGCTTCCGGCACCGCCGTACCTTCAACGAGTCATCTTCTGCCCTTGACCTGACCACCCTGACCGTCCAGATCACCTCCACCCACAGCGTTATCGGCTGTGCCCAGAACGTCACCGACTGCCCTGCCCGTAGTGCCACCGCTATCCGCACCATCACCGAGATCGTTGACTTGACGACCACCGTATGCCCTGTTGCGTCGGCCTCTGATATCTCCAGCAGTGTCGTTGCCTCTGCCTCTGCCATCCAGACCCCGGGTGCCGTTATCTCCACCAAGGCTGCTGAGCCCGTCCAGACCAGCGACAGCGTTTTGAGTTACACCCTTGGCACCGGAGCCACCCAGTCCGTCGTTACTACCACCATCAAGCACACCATTACTGGCTATGTCGTATGTCAATCCTCTTTAACTCTTTATCTATTGCTATTTTCGTCTTCTATCAGCAGAGTCACAATCTAACCTCTTCCAGACCAAGTACATGACCAAGAGCAGCGGTGCCCAGGCCACACCTGTCGTAGGTGGTGGCCAGGCCAATGTCGGTGGAAATGACAAGGGAAGCGGAAACGGCAACGCCAACGGCAACTCCGGTGAGCCAACGACCACTGTCCTAACCACCAGCACCGCAACCCGCACCATCCACGTCAAGCCAACTACCTCCGCCGGCCCAGGCTCCCCCAACGGCGAGGGCAGCAACGCCGGCAACGGAGGTGACTGCGCCGCACCAGTCACCGTCACCGTCGCCCTCTCCACCGTCACCGTGACCTACACCCCTCCCGCAGCCACCGGCACTACCCCATCTGTTCCATATGCCGTTGTTCCAGGAAAGGACGCCGTCAAGATCAACGCCGCCGCCGCAACTCAGGCTGCTCCCGAGGCACCAGCTACCACTGCTGAGCCTACCAGCGGAGGAGCTTCGGAGGAGCCAGTTACCATCGTCACTATCCCAGTGATCCCAGTCCCGTACAAGAACTCCACTGAGACAGCGACGAGGAACTACTCCCATTCTTCCGGCTTCCTGAAGGCCCCAAGGCCAACGGGAACTGGAAGCAGCATCCAGCCTGCCCGTACCGTCTGATTCTAAATGGATGAGCGTCTAGAACGTCGCCACTAGGCGTTCGAGCATGTTTGAGCATGTTGCAGTCATGAAGACAAACTTTCTGCCTTATTTTGAGCGATGAACAACAGCATGCACAGCATACCTTTACTTCACTTCTTTGTAACACTTTCGGTATTTTCTGACTGTGTCTTTTATTTCCATTTACCTTTTTATAGACAGTTTTATTCTTGGAAAAGGAGGGTTTGGGCCATCTGGTCGGGATACGCTTCAGGGTATGAATAGAACGCAATTGTACCATGTATACACAGAAATGAAGACAATTAACACCCTACCTGTGAACCTTCCTTACCTAACTAAACCGTATTTTCCATATTATCTTGATAGTGACTTCCCAACTTCCCATCATACATACCTTCCTGTCTCAGAACGCGCTAACCGAGGGGTAACGTAAGTCGTGGCGTACTGGCGGTAATGGCGTACTGGCGGTAGTAGGGTTGGAACATTGTGAACAACAACACAAATAAAATTAGGGCAAAAACTCCATCTACCCGGTAAAAACCCAAATAAACTCTATCTACCCGGTCGATTACCACGTGACCATCCCCCACCCAATCCACCCGTAAATCCCCCTGTTCTCATATGAGAACAGGCCGTAAACCCCCCATAACTCCCCCCGTAACCCCCCCTGTAAACTGACCTGTTCTCATATGAGAACAGGTCAATTGTGAGGCCTGCGGCAAGTCCTGGCATTGTGCCCAGGCTCGCCGCAGGTGCCGCAGCGTGTACGGACCAAGTCCGGCACGGCGGCAACGACTGCCCCAAGCGGCAGAAGTCCTCCATGATCCCGTCGTTCCTGGCGTCCTCGAGGACGCCGGGCATCTTCCCTCCGAACCCTCTCTTTTCGGGGACGGCCTCGGGGGATTCGGGTGACTGGGGGGTCACAGATTCCTCCTAAGGCGTCAGGGTCTATCGAAAGACCCTCGACAGAGACAGGAGGCAGAGGCAGTTGATACTGCCTCTGCCAGCACGCGGCAGACAGCTCTGTCGGAAGAAAGGGAGTCAATTGACTCCCTTGTCGAAATATAAGAGTCATGGCGTGCCCACAAGGCACGCCATTCTCTTGGTATCGACGGCAAGAACAAGTTCTTGCCGTCAGGTCAACGAGGTAGATCCTGCCATTTGGCTGGACTACCCGTGCCTCTGTTAGGGAGGATATCTGGAGCCCATTGCCATGGGCCCAGTTCCTCCCCTCCTCCACCAACCTAGTGAGGAGAGGAGGCCATTGCCCTTTAGCAATGGCCTCCACAGCCAAAAGAGAGCGCTCCGCACGCTGGGCCATCACCCGGTGCCAGAGCGCATCGAGAAGCTCCACGATTGGGAGCTCTCGATCTGTGCGGATGAGCTTATTAAAGCTCTCTGCAATATTTGAAGTATCGTGGCCGTATCGACGGCCACGAAACTTCGCCAGAGCCCACCGTTCGGGCTCGGCACCATAAAGGTATGCTGATGCTTCAGGCTTTAAAGCCCGAAGCTCCTCCAAAAGCCCGTCGAATTGGGCCACAGTTGTGGCCCGGGCAATCTTCCAGAAGAGGGGTAGAAGGCCCCTCCCAAACCGCTCTGAGAAATTCTCAGAGAGGTGACGACAGCAATGAGCTATCGCCACCTGCGGAGAGAGAGTTCTCTCCGCAATAAGAAGCCCCTTGTCTCTATCAGAGACAAGGGTGCTTGGCTCGCTCACGAGCTCTGGGAGGGACCACTTGAGGTGGTTCAAAAACCACTCCCAAGAGTCCGCGTTCTCCGACTCAGCCACTGCCCAAGCAAGTGGCACAATGTGGCCGTTAGCATCAATGCCAACGGCCACAAGAAGAGTAAGGATGAAACGGGCCTTTAAGAAGGTCCCGTCCACCGCAACAAGCCGGCGTGAGGCTTGGAACGTGGCCCTGCTCTCCGCAGGGCACACAAAGATCCGTTGGAATCGGTCGTGTCGATCTCGAACGAGATCAACATGAACTCCTAGAGCAGATGCTTCCAGGAGGCGCTTATATGAGGGCAATAGCTGAAAGCTATGCCTCTGCGCTCCAATATCCCCTACGAGAAGGCGTAGCAACGATTGCTGCACCCTCCCGTAGAGAATCCCCTCCGCGAATCGAACGCGGAGGAGCTCAACAATCTCCCTTGGCGTGGTCTTCTTCGACACCCGTAGGTGTCGAGAGACCACGCCGTCCAGCCATTCTGCCTTTGAGGAGGAGGCAAACTTCTGCTGCCCCCTCCCCACGCAAGTGTGTGCCCCCTCAACGACGACGAGCTTCCATTGCTCGTCGTCAGGGCTGGCTCGGACACGCCAGGCACAGCCCTCCTCGGGACAAACGGCCGTTGCCCGGTCTTTGTCCCTCCTCTGGAGCTGCCAGGAGAACTTCTCCTTGACGGCCCAGTCGTCTAGGGCGCGGGACCAAGCGTCTAAGTCGAGGAACTCGCTGCCGTCGACAGGGACAGCGAGTTCGGCCAGCGAGGCCATCGTCAGATGCGGGGGCGGGGGCGGGGAGGCGGGAGTTTGTGCCTCGCGCGAGGGCTTCCGAGGGGGGTTTCGAGGGGTCAGAGGAGCGAGGGAGAGAGAGATCCTAGGAGGGGTCAGCGGGGCTCTAGATGGAATTTAACCCCCGACTTACCGTACAATTGAGTTGGCAAGTGTTGCCAGCTCAATTGTTTCGAAAAGGCCACATGAGAGTACGTGCTCTCATTGGCCTGTTGCGGGTTCCGAAAGGGGATAAGCGCTTGCCGGGTAGATGGCGTTTTTTCACCTTTGTACCGGGTAGATGGAGTTTTTGCCCATAAAATTATGGGCAAAAGATCTATATACCCTGCACAACCCCTGTAAAGATCTATTTACCCAACGCTAACTATCAATACAGTATTATCTCGTTAAGTTGATACATGATTAGTCGATTTTCTGGATAACTCGATAACTTTCTTCGGATCCTTCCATTCGTCATACAAATCACGATACACACAATATTGAGTCCCTTTTCCCAATTATCGACTTAAACTAATTACTGGACTACTCTTAGAATACCTTCAAAATGCCTTCGAAAAAGCTCTATTCTATGTCTCTCGAACAGCGAAAAGCCCTCCGAACCTGGCATCAATCTCACCATCCGAAACCTACACAAAAGGCCACTATACAGTGGTTCCTCAAGAAATACAATCGTCGACTTAGCCAATCTACAGTCTCAGAATCCCTTAGCTCTCAATTTTTGGACCTTGACGCTACTTCTAATACTCTGGAAACAAACAGCTCTAAAGCTCAGCGTCGCTGCGCTGTCGCCTGGCCTGAATTAGAAGCTGCTCTTTACGACTGGCAGAGGCTTATTGAAGAGCGTGGCGGCATTACAACTACAGAAATCTTACAATCAAAGGCGAAGATTATCTGGAATCAGCTACCACAATACCGTGGACTACCTACGCCAGAATTTAGCTACGGATGGATCGTAAAGTTTCGACAACGGCATAATATATTATATCGAACTCTACATGGCGAAGCTGGATCTATTGGTGTCACTGCAGAAGAACAAATGAAGGCTATACAAACTATTGCGGGGGAATTTTTAGAGGACAATATTTACAACATGGATGAGACTGGGCTTTACTGGAGGATGAGCCCTTCAAAGGGCTTTACAACATTATCAACTCCAGGACAGAAGAAGGACAAAGCACGCATATCAGTAGCCATTTGTGTTAATGCTGCTGGAACAGATCGACTTCCTCTTTGGTTTATTGGAAAGGCTAAAAAGCCTCGAGCTTTACAACACGTTGATGTAGGGGCAATGGGTGGGGTTTGGAGGTGGAATAAGAAGGCTTGGATGAATCAATTTGTTATGGCAGATTGGCTAAATGCTTTCTATACTCATATTGGTACGTCACGTTCTATACTGCTTACAATGGATAACTTCTCAGCCTATATCGCTGCAGTGGAATCGACGCCTCCTCCTCCAAATATATGAATTATCTGGCTTCCTCCAAATGCGACCAGTCGATATCAACCTCTCGATCAAGGTATTATAGCCTCTTTAAAAAGCTATTATCGTCGGCAATGGCTCGAGTTCATGCTCGAATCTTTTAGCAACAACCTGGATCCAATCAAAACAATGACAATACACTTTGCAATTTGCTGGCTTATTCGATCATGGCATCATGACGTTACAAATACGACTATCTACAATTGCTTTCGAAAAAGCACAATTCTTTTACGCCCAATACAGCTTCCTATACACCCACTCCCTGTTCTAAACGACTTATATACTCGAGTACAACAAGCTGGTCATATATCAGACGCTATGTGTTACGACGGAACAAGAAGGCTGGCCAACTACAGGACAGGAAGGAGGGAGGTCGCATGAGACCGGCCCTGGTACCTGGAGGGGCAGCGGAGAATAGTAGTTCCGAAAGTATCACGTGACGGACTCGCAGGATGATGAGAAGAGTCCTAAGAGTCCAGGACTCCCAGGACTCGAGTGAGTTCCCAGGAGTCCACTAGGCACGTGACGGACTCGCAGGATGATGAGAAGAATCCTAAGAGTCCAGGACTCCGAGGACTCGAGTGAGTTCCCAAGAGTCCACTAGGCACGACGCCACTATATAAGTAGATAGTATTTCCTTAGATAGGAGCTTCGTGCTCAACTCAATACAGTATTTGTTATATACTAGTAACGTGTTACTTGAAGCCTTTGTGTCTGATCCCCTGCCTCCTCTGATAAGTAAACCTTTACGCAAGAGAACCTCTGTGTCTTCTATCATTTAGAAGTCAGCGTTACACTATGGACCTTTCTGTCATACTGACATTCGTTGCACTCAGTTTGCTATCAAACTCAAAAGCAAACTTGGAAATCTCCTCCTCAAACCTACAAGTCACTATACATATTTTGGCTTATCAGACCAACAACAAGAGCAATACTACTCAACGATTGCTACAACCATCTATGATTCATTACACGTCATTGCTCCTTAGTTACTGGGCCGATATTACCACATAGCATATCTCTACAACCCTCTATGATTCATTACATGACATCACTCATACTACCACATGACATATCTCTACCAACTAGAGGCCTAGGAGCATGAACGATAGCTCTAAAAGCTCCTACGAACCTCTATGATTCATTATATGTCATCGCTCTTTAGTTACCCACAAGATTGGTTAAGTTATGGCATAATTTGTCTGTGACATAATTTGTCTATGACATAATTTGTCTATAGGGGTACTCTGACCTTGGACCTCCTTTTACTTCCTATAGGCTACGAACCTAAGAGATGGTTCTATGGGATTCTCTTACATCGACTACAGTTACCAAGCCTGGTAAGTCATGGAAAGTCTTGGAAAATGAGAGAACTACATTCCTTTAGCATAAATAGGATTGCCCTTTCCTTAAGAAAGGGCAAGCAGACAATACAGTAAATTGACTATCACATACTTCTACGTCTTTTCCAAGCTTCCAAGCATTGATCTTGTTACTCCTTGTTTCTGAAAAGTCAGTGAGGTGTTAACCCCTGACTTACCCCTGAGTTCCCAGAGTCAACATTTGTTGCAACTTGTCTGAACCACTTCACTACATCACACACCTAATTGCTGCGTTGTGGAATAGTCTAAGCTACGACCCTTTGGCTCTGTTTTCTAAGACAGTGTGTTGTCTTAGTAAATTCATCCCTTCCTTGGGTGGCTAGATTCTCACATCTGGTGCACCCACCATTACACCTTCGAACTTTTTGAATCCAGCGGAGGAGGCAATACAAGAGGTGGAGGGAGGCTTAGATGAGGGCACAATTCTACAGTAGGCGATGGCTCCATATATACAGGTTTCCGATGCTCAAGATGATGATGATGAGGAGCCCCAGCATCCTGTGCTCACCACACAGAATGCTGTACAAGCCCTCCAAGTTCTGATTGAGTTCTCAGAATCTGAGAATAGTGGCATCACAGATCCAGCATCATTTTTGCGCTCTTTAGAGCGCGTGGAGAGGCAATTAGTGGCCAAACAGGCCAATAAGTTGGTTCAAGGCATGTTGGATGGATGGATGGTTTAGCTGAGGGCTTACTTCGGGTCTACTTCAGATCACTTTCTAACTTGATATTTCTATAAGTCAATATATTTATGCATGACCAATTACATCGACTTAACGAGATAATACTGTACCCTAAATGGACTGGCGTCCATTTTAGGCCCCTTAAACGGCCGTTGGTTGGTCAGATTCCCAACGGAACGGGTCTGTTGTAACCTGTTTTGGCTAGTTTTTTGGCTGCGGGCCGCGGATAGCGCTGCGCCCCTAGCAGCAAGAAAGTCAAGGAGAAAATGAGACAATTGAGCGTGAGGATCAACCAAATCTCACCATAATTACGTAGAATTAATTTTAAATTGAAGCCACAATGGAGATCTTTCATTTAGCGTGCCGTTCGTAATTTTGGGCGATGTGATTGTGATATAATAACTTGTTGAAGTTGAGTCGTTCCTCACGAAGTTTTTTTTGAGGATATATAGGCTTTAGAACATCTAAAATGGCTCCTTCAACAACTCGTCGTCATTCAAACAACAACACCAACAGCTCTAGAGGCTCTTGAACCCCTAGAAGAAGAGGGGGACATCAAGTTCATCTAAGTTTCGCTCCTCCGCCCACAGGAAATGATACAGCACCTCTAGTTCCCATCGATTTGGATCCAACAACTCGCAGAGCACCTTCAGAGCCTGCCGACCCCCCTGAGCCCGCTGAAAAGGCAGGTAAACGCTGGGCCTGGATCTTTCAGCATATGCCGAGTGAAAACATTGAAGAACGATACTATGATGACATTACAGGAAAGGAATTATGGTGCTGTGGTTACTGTATGAAGACCTACCATACAAACGGTGGCACAAGGTCTGCAGAGGATCATTTGGCTACCCATGGATTAAAGAAGGGAGACCCTCGAGGAACACCAGTCACCTCTAGCGACTCTACACGTCAACAAGCTCTAGCCGCTGGTTTCAAACGACAATTCGAGATGGGAGAAGAGCATCAGTTCAAGCGTAGGAATATGGGGACAACTGGTGGTGATTCCATCGATCCAGACCGACTAGAGCTTCTTTACACCAGATATGATAGTCATCCTCACCTCTTTTTAATGCTAACTATCTGCAGATTTATCTCCGTGTGCTCCCAACCTTTGCGACTCGTTGAACGACAAGAATTCCGTGATTTGCTCGAATATATCAACCCTGACACTATATGCTGGCTTCCTCGTGCTCACTCTACAATTAGCATATGGGTAGAACGACAAGTCAATGCTCACAAGAAGAGAGTTAAAAACAACGTCAAGAATGCGCGGTCAAAGATACACGTTTCCTGCGATATGTGGACATCAACAAATGGCCTCCCAATACTCGTTATAATCTTTCATTACGTCAGAGCGAATGGAAAGGTGAGAAGAACCATGGCAGGTATGAAAGAGGTCTATGGCAACAAAACAGGAGAGAATCTAGCTTTTGTAGTGATGGAGGTTATTAAGGATTGGGAGGTTCAGCACAATTTGGGATATTTTATGATGGATAACGCCTTTGACAATGATGTCGTGATAAAGCATGTCGCACTTGGTATGTTTACTGCTTTTCTCACAGCTTTTGCTAACAATTTTGGTGAGATCTCCGTGAATCATTCAGCATTCGATACAATCCAGGCACTCACAGATTACACTGTTCTGGCCACATTATCAACCTCTCTGTGAAATCCTTCCTATTTGTTACAGACGACGAAACGCTCGAGTCTGCAGAGGAGGAACAATTGACAAATCGATGGCTACAACAAACACTGGAACAGATAAGAGAATGGCGCCAAAAGGGACCTCTGGGGAAGCTTCATAATTTCGTCGTTTTCATCCAACGCAGCACCTTGCGGTTGCAGAGGTTTCTTGGGTTGTCAGGTAATCGTCACCTTCACAAGATAACTCAACGCGATGGAACTCTTGGTATGTTATGATTGAGGTTGCGCTATTAGTACAAGATGCTATTAAAGAGTATCACCTCTCTTATGGAGAGGCGGAAATTGATCGAGATCACTTGGATGCTGAAGATTGGAGGATTTTAGGTGAGATTAAGAGCTTTTTGGAGGTTATGAAATCATCCACGAAATCCTTGAAGGCTTTGGAGCTTCTCTCGATCGCATCTTACCTTCAATGGATTTTATACTCGCTCACTTCGAAAAGTCAAAAGACAAGTACAAAGATGACGTCAAGCTGTCTACAATGGTCAATTCGGGGTGGCAGAAGATGGACAAATATTACAGCAAAAGCGACGAATCTCCTGCCTACGCTGCAGCTCTCCTTCTCAACCCCGCGCGCAAATGGCACTATATCGAGCAATTTTGGAGGCCAACTTGGCAAGAAAAGGTGAAGAAGAGTATCAAGAAGTTGTGGGAGGAGGAATACAAGCCAGAATTGACTATTCCAACCTCTATTGCGCCTGCCACCACGTCTACTAACGAATTCGAGCTCTGGCTGAACTCTATTGATACGCCAATTGCAGTTGTAGACGAATTCGATTACTACTGTAAAGCAGAGCGTGTTTTGGGCTACCAGAGCGCTATTGAGTGGTGGCTTGAACCTGCAACAAAAGGCCTACGCGAATCTCTCCAAAATGGCTCTCGATATGCTCTCTCTTCCGGCAATGTCCTCAGATCCAGAACGCGCGTTTTCTGCGGCAAAAATCACTCTTTCGGATCGCCGGAATAAGCTGGGCATACGTATGATTGACTTTTTGGAGTGCTTGAAGTCGTGGACTGGCCTATTAGAGTGGGGATGGAAGTGAGAGATATGGCGGTTGCAAAGAATGCCATCTTAAAGGGGCCAGGAGTTGAGGAAGCCGCTAGAGACACTATAGAGGCATATTTGTAGGTAAGTTTGTCCGTTGGTTCTTAATGACATCGTTACGTTGGGCATACAGAAACTGACTACAGTTGGTTTACAGGTAGCAAAACGACAGTTAGTTCAAGAGCCTCAAAACGACGTCGTTGAAACGGCGTTCAACTATCGACTACACTGCTCTCGGTTACTGACTTCAACGGGGTCGGTAAAGGCTTTAAATGTGACACCAACTTTGCCATCCGCTGTTTTCAGATTCTGACCAAGCAGAGGAAGGAGGACATGAGAGTAGCATCCCACCGAGTACTTCGTCTCTTTTGCATTTGCCGCAATCCCATCGAACGGCGTTGTAGCGTAGTATGGGAGTAGCGTAGCTGAGCCACCACCACAGTAAGCTGCTATCTTCGTATTTGGACCTATAACAGCGACCTAAAGTCAAGTAAGCATTAGAAGCGGTCGCATGCGAGAAGATAGCAACCAAGGCGATGACTTACTGTCTTGGACTTATCCAATGGGAGTGCCTTATTGTCATTCTTGAGCAAAACAATGCTCTCTCCGCCAATCTTCCTCAGTAGTGCTGATGTCTCTGGGGTGTCTCTCGATCCCTCTGGGGCATTCCCAGGGACTCCAGTCTTTGCAACTCGGCTCACAAGCCTCAGAACTTCGCGAACTCTCGCATTCAGAGTCTGCTTTGAGATCTTATTGGCCATAAGAGCATGCGTCACTTACTGTGCTCGCCATCTCGACGGACCAGGCATTTCCAAATCTAAACCTGCGTTCATCGCCTCGCTTGTTGAGTATGTACCATACCATACCTATTCATATGTGATAGGTTTCAATGCAGCTACACGCGATATTCTTTGAATATCCAGGAAGAAGACTTACCAGTCGCTCATTATTAGTCCCTCCCATCCCCATTCCTTCCTAAGGATATGATCAAGGATGCAACGTGTGTTCCACCGAGCTTATTGTATGAGCTCATAAATGAACCAGGCTTCGAATCTCTAACAGCAATCTGGAAGGGAAGAAAATATCTCTCTCTCAATGCTCTCTCAGTAATTATTGAGTCACCCGCCATCCTTTGGTGCTCCTGGTCGTTGGCTATAAAATGCTTGATTGAAGCAACGACACCGGTCTCTTGGATTCCGTTAACTATCGCGGCAGCAGAGCTTCCTGCAAGCTCTGAGAATGACTCAAATCCCCTTCCTCCAAGTGGGCTTCTCTGCATATTCACCGCAGGTCCTAAAATCACATGTGCGCCTTTCGCAATGGTTTCCTTGCCCATAAGCGTACCGGCGACACAGTTCCCATTCGGACACGGTCTCTCCTACACTACCTTCCGCCTCTCCGAACTTGGTAACTGTGCAAGTGCTCGTTGAGAATACCGGTGACAGGGACGGCTCAGAGGTCGTGCAGGTGTACATCGCGCAGCGTGCTCCTTGTGTCAAGAAACCCCTGAAGGAACTCAAGGGGTTCACAAAGGAGAATATTGCGGCTGGGCAGTCGAAGGTCGTCAGAGTTACCATCGAGACGAAGTATGCTACTAGCTACTGGGACGAGGAGAGGGATACATGGGTCTCTGATGTTTTGGTGGGGACGACTAGTGCGGAGACGCCGATGAAGGCGAGCTTTGAGATTGAAGAGTCGAAATGGTGGCTGGGACTATAGAGGTAGTGCATATAGGTAGCTTTACGAACCATAGGTATTCAATATAACGTATTCATGACACTGCGGATAACAATCAGTGTTCATAATAACCGTGATTAAAATAAAGGCGCTCAATCACTCAGGGCTATATACGTCGTATTATCGCTAACTATAGTCACCTATTATTCAAGATCCCTGGCGCCACAAACCCCGCCAGCGTCTCCAAGATCTGCAATCGATCCATCACATCCCTCGACTCCCCCTTCCAAAACCCTAACATGGTCATCACCTTCGCCACGGCCTTTTCCCATCCCTCCGGCATCAGCGGTGCCAGGTCCGCACACCTCGCCGTCGCCAGAAGCACAAGCGCACTACGCGTGCATGACCGTAGCATAAGCCACGTCCCGTGGTGCCGGTGGTAGAACCCCTTCTCGTTGATCTCGACCCGCTGCACGCACACTTGTAGGCCCTTGCGCACGAAGGCCTCGGTGGAGCTACCTCGGGTGCGCCCGTGCACAGCATCAGCGACAAAGTGCCAGTACATCATCTCGTTGCAGTCAAGGAGGTGGCCATTCAGGATGAAGCGCAGGGCGGCATATTGCTTGTGCTCCGGGTTGGTGGTTTTGAGGGCGAGAGCTGCAGGGAGGGATTGGAGCCTAGCAAACGGGGGTGAGCGAGGGTTGCGGTGAGTAAAAGGGCGGAGTAGGGGACTTACCAGCCGTCTGCCTGGCCTTCGAAATCGAGGATTGCGTCTTCTATGTTGGAGTCTGAGTCGACGGAGGAGTCGTAGCGGTAGATATAGTTTAGTATGCGGTTACCTAGGCGGCGTAAGGCTATCTCAGCTAAATAGAAGAACCACATCGCTTCGCCTTGAGACTTTAATCCTTCCGGGGGTGATGGAAAAAGGGCGGGATATGTCAAGTCCCATACGCTATTCTCGGATACATTTAGCTCTAGTCGAAGCTCTCTGTTGCGGACTTCATTAGAACAAGTTTACTCTCGGCAGTTATAGTGGGAGGGCCTACAATTCAGACTTGAAGCATGTCCAGTAAATGCTTTGCTCCATTCTGGACTCTTCTTCAGTTCGAGCGTCCCGGATGGAGAGCTGTGGGGAGAAGGCTTGACAGCACGCCAGGGCCTGGACAAACATTTTCCATGCCTCAATTGGTCGTAAAGTTGCCATGAGATAGACGCCAGCCAGGAAAAAGCATTGTGCTTCTATGACGCCGCTACCACATAGCAGCATACCCATCCGGTTCTGAGCTGCAAAGAAGAAAGTCTCCGCCTGAAGGAACTCGGGTGACTGCCGAAAGCCCGAAGCCGTGATCTTGGGTAAATTCCCATACGGGTCTGCTATAGAACCAAGAGCGTAGATCAGAAGCTACTAATATAAGCCCACTTGCCTCACGTTAGGATTCGGCGATTTAATTACCAGTAAGCACGACTGTGCGTCCCATCCGAGTCCATTGAAGCTCGCTGCTCTCATATACTTCCGCACTTTAGCTTCCTCGAGAATAGGATTGAAAATGTGAACATTGTCTAAGAATTGCTGTAGCAACTGGCTAGCAGTATAGAGTCCGAAATCTGCGGGAATAGGTAAAGTCGGTGAAGCGGCATGGCTCTTGTCTGATCGGAGGAGAGATCTCAAATCCAGCCTCTCATCAAAGTTCTGGTCATCGAAGACAGGCCAAGTGAGAACAGTTTCTATGTTGATATAAGACGGCCGCCATTCCGTAGACCTCTCTAGTGACGGAGGAGCAGGGGTCTTGGGGATCGGCAGGGACAGGGAGGGGGAGGTCAGGCTGTCATTCTGGTCTTGAGAAACAGTCGTAGCATTTTTCCGGAGAAGCTCTTCCAAGTCATCCAGCCGCTGCAGGATGGTCAGACTGGCTGGATCAAACCTGCATCCAAGTCAAAATAGGCCCGCGCCAGACTCTTCTGTATGTACATACGTGGAGTGATCATTTTCCTGATAGATGCATTCTACCCCTAAGCCCGCGCATTTTCCGCATGCTGGTCGCGAATTATCACATTTAGTGCGACGCAGGCGACATGTCCGGCATGCCTGTATGGCACGTTTTCGCGGATACGCGGCCTCGGCCCTGGAGTGTTGGCGCTTCCGCGGCGGCTTAGTAGCTACAGCAGCGGGGGTAACAGGCTGATGAGAGTCTGGTTTAGGGCTTGACGAGGCAAGGGACAGGGTCGGCGTCTTGGGCTGGGTCTGGATCTGCGTGGTGACGGGGGATTCCTGGATATCGCTTGGGTGGACAATATACTCCATCTCCATAGTTTCGGTTTTCGATTCGACTAGAGCGAGCGCTGGGTGTCGCTATCCGTTACCCACAACGTATTGTCGAAGCTTTCCACTTGGTTGGTCGTGGTTGTCCTCAGACACGAGAGATGGCAAGCCTTAAATCAGCGGAGTTGGGGGCAGTTCTAGCGCCACACCCCGCCTTCTATCGGGGCAGCTTCCTATTTGGGCAAAGTGTATCACTGAAACTCTGAGCTGCACCCCCGCAAACACGGAGGAAAACCCATGTGCACCCTGTGTGATTCCTCGTTCGCAGAATCTCGGACTGTGACACCAAACCCACTTGTCCCACAGATAATGTAAAGTAAGGGACTCCCCGACTTCCGAGGAAACGACAGCCACCTATAGAGTAGAGTAGGGCCGAAAGCTACTCGAGTATGCGGGGTGTGGGGAATAAAGGGCGGCCCGCAATTGACAGATCAACGCACTTGGCAGCTCTGTTCTGCCCTCGTGGGCATCGTTTTTGCTGAAGCACGCATTGGATTTCTGCAGAGTATATAACCACAACGTGGGTCACTGATATTCCAGAACCAGATCAACAGACCGACGATCAATCTTCTCTCCTCTGCTGTCAGCCAAGACCTGAACAAGGCAACACGCCTCACAGAGCCTGTGCTACCGACAACATGGCCGCCGAAGAAATCAACGAGAAGTCTGCGGCGCAGGTCACCGAGGATAAGGCAGCCCCCGGCGACTGGAATCTTCGCCATGTGCTTCCCAAAGACCCCCGGCCGTGGTACAAGCAACGACATCTTCTGCTCCTCAACCTCGCCATGATAATTCCCGCCCTCTCGAGTACGACTAATGGTTACGATGGTTCTATGTTAAACGGTGAGTTACTGAGTTCCTCATGCCGCCCAAAGGTCCGAACAAGGACTATACATCCAGCGAGTGTTCATAACTACTATCATGTCAGCGAGCATTTGCAGCTGCCATGGTACTAGCTGGTGCTCACAGCGACTATCACGTTAGCGAGTTTTGCAGCCACTGCGATTGAAGCAGATGCGCTTAACCACTCTGAGCTACAATTATCATACTTTAACTAGAATGAATTCTCAGTTATGGACAGCCCCTACTTCGGACTTTTAGGCCGCACGAGTACTGTAAGTTATTACAGTTCTAATTATTTTCCTATAGGTTTACAATCAATGAACCAATGGCAGAGTTACTTCGGCTCTCCCAAAGGAACCCGACTAGGCTCACTCGCAAACGCTACCATCTTCGGTCAAATCCTCGCCTTCCCCATTGTGCCGTGGCTATGTGATCACACAGGAAGACGGTTCCCAATCTTTTTGGGCTCTGCACTTCTTGTCGTTGGGGCCATACTTCAAGCCGCAGCCCAGAACTACGGGATGTTCCTCGCCTCAAGAATGATCATTGGTTTCGGGGGTCTAATCGCCGTGGAACCGTCACCTTTGCTCATTAGCGAGCTGGCTTACCCAACGCACCGCCCAGTCCTAACGGCTTATTACAACAACCTCTGGTATTTAGGCGCGATAGTGGCCGCTTGGGTCACGTACGGTACATATTGGATGGGATCTAACAACTCATGGGCATGGCGAATTCCATCCCTACTTCAAGGATTCATGCCACTTATCCAAGTTCTCTTCGTTTACCTACTTCCTGAGTCCCCAAGATACCTAGTCCTAAAGGGCAAGCACGATGAAGCACACAAAGTCCTTGTGAAATACCACGCTAATGGGGACGAGGCCTCGCCCCTTGTGGAGTTTGAGATGAAAGAAATCACGCTGCAAATCGAAGAGTCAAAAAGGATATCTGGGACAGGCTACTTGGAATTCTTGGGGACTAAGGGCAACAGGCACCGCCTGTTCCTCATCATGTGAGTTAGGCCCCTACACCATATCCTACCGACAGGTCCTGTTTTCTGAACTCATACCTGATACCTGGAGATCTTCTTCTTTGAACTCGCACCGTGAGATCTTCTTCTTTGGACTTGTGCTAACAGGCCTTCTTCAATGAACAGCATTATTCCGACGTTTATGCAGATTTCGGGCAACGGACTTGTCAGCTATTACCTCCATTTGATTCTTGATAACATTGGATATACCTCGGCACCGGCTCAACTTCGAATTAACGGCGGCCTCATGGTGTACAACTTTGGCATCTCGATCATTCTCGCATCTTTTGTGGAGATCGCCGGACGGCGCCGTTTGTTCCTAATCTCCACTGTCGGTATGCTGGGGTCTTTCATTATCTGGACGGTGCTTTCAGCCATCAATGAGCAACGTGGCTTCGCAGACACTTCTCTCGGAAGCGCTGTCATCTCCATGATATTTATCTTCTACCTCTTCTACAACATGGGGATGAACGGCCCGCCCTGGCTGTACGTCTGTGAGATCCTCCCGACGAATCTCCGAGCGAAAGGTGTGAATTTGATGCAAGTGGCCGCAACCTGTGTGCTGATCTTCAACGGTTATGCTAACCCCGTGGCGATGGAAGCTATTTCCTGGAGGTATTACATCGTGTACATCTGTGTGCTTGCTGTAGAAGTAGTTCTCGTTTTTTTCTTCTTCCCGGAGACAAAGGGGAAGACATTGGAGGAAGTGGCTTTCATATTTGACGGCGAATCAGCATTTGGGGAAAATCACAGTAGGGATGTGATTGTTGGGAAGGACAAGGAAGCGGAAGTTTGATAGTTTGTGTGTGCTTAGTGGTACTCTCCTCAAGCTGCTTTCACTACCAATGCTTGCATATACTGTATACTGCATAACAAAGCTCAGATTCATCTCTGTTCTATGGTACAATTGAATTCGCGCATCTGCTCGTGAATTCCGACGTGGGACACAGGGTCCTTGCTGTGCTCAAAGCAAGAAGTTACTCATCCCTATCCAATTCATCATCTTCCGTGTAAGATCCAGAAGGAACTCCCTCATGTCCATCGTCATCATCATCGATGTCATCTTCATCAACGTCATTACATTCTCTGGAACTTCACCTAGAATATTAACGGGGTTTGGGATGTTGACGGGGTTTTCTCATTGGTATGGCTCCCTGTAGACAATAGGAAACAATGTGCCCATTCGTCCAAGAATGTCCTCGTTGTTTGTGTATGTGCAGGACCGCTGGAGCTGTACGCAAAGGCCACACAGCTTTGCCCATTGTTTATCGCAGGATCTTTCACGCAGTTGGTAATTATAGCACTCCCGTTACGTGTGTTAACTACGACTCTGAAGTTTCGCCTGCCCTATTTATTATTAGTATACTAAAACATATCTCTTGTATCGCGACTTAACACACCATTTTGTCGATATAGAAGCACATATCGCATGATCTTCTCCCATGAGCAAGGCCCAGGCACCATAGTTGGAGCTACAGTACTGTTGTAAGTCAACCTAGCGATCTCATCTGTGTCTGCAAATGTAAGAAATCAAATTGGCACACCTCTCTGACGGGGCTGCTCTGTCAAGTTGATCTTTTGGTTGAAATGATCAACTATCATTGTCTTGATAGTGGCATAGTTCGGGAGACGATACCAGTTCGGGACATCTTCTCTCTCGTAGTGTCTTGGGGCGTAGAAGAACGATTCTTCAATAAGGTGTGCTTCTGATATAGCTGTTGATGGTCCTGTAGGACTACCGATCGAGAATGGCAGGTTGTTTTTCTAGAGCCACATGCTTCTCCATGTTCCTGTGGTAGTTTTCCAAGTCGCGCGGAGACCTGTATATTATTAGTTATTTCATAGACTAAGTTCCTTTGCTACTTACCAAGACATGCTGTCTCTGCCCAGTTGTTAAATGGACCAATGTAAGGCAGCCTAACGAAAGGTGCTGGATGTGGGCGACCATTCTTCATGATCTGATATTCGATGTAGACATGGCAGCGAAGATAAAATCCATCTTGTTCCAAAACTCGGATCTTGACACGAAACTTGGTCCATAAATTCAGGAGACAAATGCACATATTTCCCGGGGTATCAGTGCGTTCCACGACTCATGACTCTGACCTATACACATCCATCACTCCAGGCATCTCATACTTTGTATATGCTGAGGTAGTTTGGGTCAATTCTCCGATTGGCGAGTTCCAGTTGCAGCCACGGACTTGGCGTGTGAATTTTGGCCAACCTGACAATGAAAAGACGTCGTTGGTAATAGTAGCCAAAGCTCGACCGAGGGTGAAACTTCCATGAAAATCCCTGATACTGCTCACAAGATTGATATCTGCAAATATCACAGAAGTCCATGATTGGAGAAGCATAACGAATGTGTTCTCAGCTAGCCGGAGTAAGAATCTCGTATGTGGGAATCTTGTATGTTGGCGACCACCAGTCTTGAGTTTGAAGAGCACAATTGTTTTCCAGCTCGTCGCACGCCTTGCAATCTAGTAGTGGTTCTTTGAGGACAAAATTAGGCTGTGTCCCTCAATAATCACTCTGTGTGATGTAGCCCTTTGTGTGATGTTCTTTGACATACCGACGTACCATCGGCAGAACCATCAATAGACCGATAAAGTTTGAGGTATATTCCTACGATGCCGTCCTTAAGTTGTGGCTGTTGAACTTGCCAAAGATCGCGGAAAGAGAATGATCCATCTTGTATAATTTCGTAGACTTTAGGGCTCATGTCTATAATATTATTAGTACTCGGTGTTCCACCCACTCGCTTCGCTCGTAGGTGGCGACAGCAAGTTGTGCGTGCGACAGCAAGATGTGCGTACACCGCTATTTTGATATATAGAAAAAATAATAGTATTCTTCATAACGTAGTATCTACAATGCCTCAAAATAACGATCCTACTATGATTGCTCGCCTTAATGAGGCCCAACAGTTCTTCTTAAAACAACCAAGTACATATACAATTGCTTGGGTTGCAAATAAATTCAATGTCAACCGTGAGACACTCCGACGTCGTATTACGAGTACTACGTCTCCTCAATTACCCCACGGAGGTAGCAATTGAGTCTTATCTCAATCGCAAGAGACTGCAGTCTGTCAATTCATATACGACCAACTTGAGCGCGGGGTCCCTGCCAACCGATCTATGATACTACGGGCAGTTGCAGACTTACGACCTAATCGTACGATACCATCACAACGGTGGCTACAACGCTTTCTAAAAGCACACCCCGAATTTCATACAATTCACACGAAGACGTTAAATACACATCGGAAGCAAGCACAAAAGAAAGAGGTGTTTGAGGAATTCTTTCTCACATATAACGCCCTTATTACAAAACATAACATTAAGCCATATAATTTATGGAATGTTGATGAGACAGGCTATATGATTGGGTGTTATAAGTCTACGGCTGTTATTGTACCAATCGGTGTAAAGCAGTGGACTGTTGATAATCCTGAGAATCGGCTCTCTGTTACTGTAATTGAGGCAGTAAATGCAAGTGGTGCTGCACTTGCAGAAGCTATCATTATCCCTGGCAAACTTCATATGGATTCATGGTACAATGATGACCTTGAGCCAAATGCTCTCATTATTGTAAATGAGAGCGGGTATTCAAACGACGACATTGCAATCCAATACCTTATGCATTTTATCCAACTATCTGCAGAGCATATGGCACCAGATGATACTCGCCTCTTATTACTTGACGGCCATGACTCTCATAAAACAGAGCGCTTTCTTACATTAGCAGAAGAGCATAACATTGTTATTTGCTGCCTTCCTGCTCATACAACACATCTATTACAACCTCTTGATGTAGCGGTTTTTAAGCAGTGCAAACACTTTCATCAAAAGGCACTTGATCAAGCAGTACGTAGCTACGACTATGAGTATAAGCTACGTACGTTCCTTTCAGACCTCCCGCAAATCCGACGGCAATCTCTAACTGTCCGTACAATTCAATCTGGTTGGAGAAATACAGGACTATATCCATATAATCCTCCACTTGTAATTGACAAGATACAAGAGACTCGGAATCAAACACCTGATTATGAGCCATTTGCTTCATATAATATTATCTCAACACCGAAAACAACTATGCAAAGTGTGCAAGCGGTTGAACATTGGCAGAAGAGAGCAGAGGAAGCTTTCTCATCGCCTTCAAGAGAAGGGTTTCAATCATTTGCACGTGGAACTACAGTTGTTCTACACCGGGCAGAGCTCTATAAGACCGAGCTAGATATTATGACTCTACGTGCAGTAGAGCAGAAGGCAGCAAAGGCAAGGGCACGGAAATCACTACAGAAAGGAGGGCAGTTATATGCATCAGATGCACGGAAAATGCGGGAAGAGAAGAAAGCAAAGTTGCAAGCAAAAGCAGACGCAAGAGCAGCAAGGGAATCGGACCAAGTAGTAAAGCAGCTACAAGCGCAAGCACGTAAAATCGAAATTGAAGAGCGTAAGGTTGAGAGGAAGCGGGTAGCAGAGCGGAAGAAGGAAGGGTTGAAATCAAAAGTGATCATTTTACGGTATAGTAAGGATCAAAGTGATAGTAGCAATAGTGGCAGTAGCGATAGTGATAGTAGTTCTATTGATTTTATGTTTTAATTATATAGTTATATAGTTGATATATAAGGCGTCTTTTTCTTCGTTTTATGTGTCACACATCTTGCTGTCGCACGCACAACTTGCTGTCGCCACCTACGAGCGAAGCGAGTGGGTGGAACACCGAGTAATGTAAATATATATAATAGCTGCAACTTACTTTTCATTAACTCCTCATAGCATATTTGAGAAGGGTTGCTAATAACCTCGAGATCATCGTCGCGTGCACCATATGGCATAAGAGCTGCCTTTCGGATATTCATCTCTGAGAATAATCGTCGGTGTTCGCACCGACCACCCTACAGGTGGTCGGCGAAAGCGAGTTGAAGCCTGAAAGCGAATTGAAGCCTACCAGATATCATAACTATGTAGAATCTAATACAACCACTATCTAAACAACTATACCAGCAATTGAGTGCTTGAATCATATGATAAAATTAAAGCTATTCCCAAATTTAAAACAACCCTGGGTCTAAATTTTCGTCCTCCCTGTCCGCAAATAGGTCTGTATCCAATCCACTGAATCTTATAAATCCCGTCTCGTCGTCGTCGTCAGCCTGTGATTCGTACCCCATCGTTGAAATTAATTGAGTATTGGCTTCTTCTTGAAGCTCTGATTCCTGCGCAATTTTTTCTGGATCTGGAATTGGAAACCTCCTCCTTCGCCTTTAACATCTGGCTAACTTGCCGCTTTCTTGAAAGCTCTGCTTTACGGGCCTCAACTCCACGAATATGAAGCTCCTTTTTGACTTTATTAAGCACTACTCGTGCTTTGTATTTCGCCCTTCGCTCTTGAATTTCCTTGTCTTTTCTAGCCTTGTCATTAATCTTTTTCCATGCATCCTTAGCAGTTAATGGACCAGTATTTGCTTGAGCGACATAGCGGCTTTTGAGCTTCGCCTTCTGTTGATTAGCTACTTTTGTAGATAATAAATCATACTGTAGAATAGCCAGTTCTCCTTGAACAAGTACATTTTCTGTACCACGTGCCCAAGAATCCCATTCTCGTGCTGAAGGACTAGACAAAAGACATGGTATTTTACTTTGCCAGTGCCGTAATTTGAGCTCAGAATGCACAAATTTTGTTGGAGTCTGTGGAATTTGTGGAGGATCAAGAGTGCGCTCACAAATCGTATAAACTTTCATTTTCTTGAGAGCTTCTTTAGAATTGATTGGCCACATTCCAGCTTCACGAAAGGACCTAATGATTGTTCCTTTCTTGAACGTCTGCTGGCGGATTTCGTTCAAATCCTGAAAGAATGAAGCTATATTATAATCAATATCAAGATTACGCATAGCATATTGAATTGCCTTCTTGTGCCAGTGTTTATAAGGTTGAAAAATACCAACATCAAGTGGCTTCATAATGTGCGTAAGATGCGAAGGAAGCGGATATGGATGGATATTCATTGAAGTTGCCCGTATAACGAACTCTGGTGTTGTATGACTGATATGGCTGTCCATAAGGAGGACCTTTAGAGGTTTATCAGGCCCAGCTCCTGTATGAATGATAAAATGCTCCAAATATAGCATTGCGAGCTCGCTATTGGTATATCCTGGGTCTGAAAGTAATACAAGCTCATCGCCAGTCAATTTCTCATTATACCAAGATGCCATATACAATGATAATTGGTGGAAGCACTTGTCCAACAGCACAGATTGACTCAATCACGGTAATAGATTTGCAGTTTTCGGCCATTGGAACATACATCTTTAATAGTGTCAGTTTAATTGTATTAAGTTACAAGTACTGAACTATACATACTTCTGTAATAGATACAGGAACTATTACATCCTCCCCTGGTGCTACTCCAACACGAAAACCAGTCTCATCAAAGTTATAAATATCCTGTGGCTGGATATTGTGTTGAGTACACCATGCCAAATACACTCCAAACCAGTCTTGTATGTCATACTGACATTCGTTGCACTCAGTTTGCTATCAAACTCAAGAGCAAACTTGGAAATCTCCTCCTCAAACCTACAAGTCACTATACATATTTTCGCTTATCACACCAACAACAAGAGCAATACTACTCAACGATTGCTACAACCATCTATGATTCATTACACGTCATCGCTCCTTAGTTACTGGGCCGATATTACAACATAGCATATCTCTACAACCCTCTATGATTCATTACATGACATCACTTATACTACCACATGACATATCTCTACCAACTAGAGGCCTAGGAGCATGAATGATAGCTCCAAAAGCTCCTACGAACCTCTATGATTCATTACATGTCATCGCTCTTTAGTTACCCACAAGATTGGTTAAGTTAGACATAATTTGTCTATAGGGGTACTCTGACCTTGGACCTCCTTTTACTTCCTATAGGCTACGAACCTAAGAGATGGTTCTATGGGATTCTCTTACGTCGACTACAGTTACCAAGCCTGGTAAGTCATGGAAAGTCTTGGAAAATGAGAGAACTACACTCCTTTAGCATAAATAGGATTGCCCTTTCCTTAAGAAAGGGCAAGCAGACAATACAGTAAATTGACTATCACATACTTCCACGTCTTTTCCAAGCTTCCAAGCATTGATCTTGTTACTCCTTGTTTCTGAAAAGTCAGTGAGGTGTTAACCCCTGACTTACCCCTGAGTTCCCAGACTCAACATTTGTTGCAACTTGTCTGAACCACTTCACTACATCACACACCTGATTGCTGCGTTGTGGAATAGTCTAAGCTACGACCCTTTGGCTCTGTTTTCTAAGACAGTGTGTTGTCTTAGTAAATTCATCCCTTCCTTGGGTGGCTAGATTCTCACATCTGGTGCACCCACCATTACATTGTACCGCAGAAATATCATGGGTCGTAACTCGGACTCGTGCAATTGGCTTGGTTTTGACAACTCGAAAGAGGATCGAAGAGCTCTTTCTAAAGCTCTGAAACCAGGGCCATGAAGGTGCTGGTTTAGGCGGTATTTCCGCTGCCCGCAAGTGGCCAATTGCTGTAAAAACCATCGCTTTTGACGCCCCATAGCCCGCAAAATATGAATCCTCTACATATTTGTATATAGCCTTGATTTGTGCCTCTGAAAGTATCTTATTGTGGCCTCCGTAAATAGGGTTTGGTGCCTGGGCTTTGAGTTTCGCTCATCGGAGGTTCGTATTGAGGGTCTTCGCATTTATATTAAATATTCGTGCAGCGGTTATAGGCTTTTCTGAAGGGTTGTCGCGGAGGAATTGGAGGGCATCATCCATTGTATTAGATTTCAAGTACGACGACGAAGCAGTTTTGTCACAAGTGTATAGATGAAAGGGAGAAACGTATATAATTTGTGTGTAAATCTCTTCTTCGGCTATGTACAAGACCCCTGGCAGGCTTCATGTCGCTTTCGGGCTTCAACTCGCTTTCGCCGACCACCTGTAGGGTGGTCGGTGCGAACACCGACGATTATCACACCTACAACTATTTTCTCAAATTGACAAATTGCTCACAACTTTTCCCCCTAGACCCTAAGGGCTCTACTTCCAGTCAATTACGCATTATAACTCCCATCTACATCCATTCCTGCTCCTTTCGAGCACCCCTAGGTGGTGATGGAGGCCTCAATGTAACGCGTAAGCCCAAGGTCTCACAGGAGTCCAGGGAACCAGGTCAGGAGGCAGGAAAGGGGTATCGTATTCGTAAGGACAATAGGTCTACGTAAGTACAGTTGGGTCAAATAAGTGTTCGTCGCTCCGAAGAACCACAACCATAAAATCAATCGTAAATAACTCAACCACAACGCTTTGGAATTGAATAAAAATTGAAATGTACTATAGCTAGAGTAATATAGATTAATATTTAATACTACCACCCTTTGCCTTAATGCATAATGCAATCCTTTTTGGCATTGAGTCAGCTAAGGTTTTGAGAAAACTAGCCTGTATACGTGACCACTCGTAGAGTACCGCCACCTCCATTTCTGCAATGTTCTTGATCCTATGCCGTCGAGTAGACACTTGTAGCTTTGCTTGCTGCCACACGTTTTCAATAGGGGCAAGGTCAGGGCTCTGTGGCGGCCATGGTAAACTCTGTACCATACAGAGCCTCTTGTAGTTTGCAGCAATAGGAGCAAAGTGGAATTTTGCTCCATCTTCTTGTATACGTACTTGTGGGCCGTACTTTGCAACCATCTTCTCGTAGAATGGGATAAAGTAGGGTTTGAGAACTAGTTCTGTGTATAGTTGCTGGTTCATCCGCTGCCCTTTAGGAAGCACAACCAACGGTCCAATCTCTGCTCCCATAAAGCAACCCCACACAGAAATTGAAGTACGGCCTGATTTGAAAGTAGGCTTTAGGTGTTTCTCCCAAAATTCTTCTCCTGGGCCTCGGGTAACCCAAAAGTTGCGACTATCATAGCCAACTTCAAATGTAGACTCATCAGACCATATAATAAGTCCAAAATCCACGTTTCTGTTTGCTTTACACCACTGTAGCCGGCCTTTCTTGTGAGCAGGCTTAAGGAACGGCTTCTTGCGTGGTTTTCTCCGTCCTTTGTTGTACTTTTTTAGAGCATTGCGTACTGTTGGTTTTGTGATCTGAGAGCCGCTCTTGCTCGGTGTGCAGAGCGCAATTAGTGGAGCTCTGCAATCTGTAACAGCAGCACGCACTAAGGCCCTCTCTGCTCGGATAGTAAGCTTCCTAGGGGCCCCCGAGCGTGCCTTGCTCTCAAACTTGACTTGCTGAGCTTGTAGGTCGGAAGCCTTTGCTCTGTGGATAATTGTAGTTACAGTAGTGCGGGGTAGGCGTTCTAGGCGGGAAATCTCAGTCACTGTCTTGCCAGCCTTGTACCAAGTCCAGCATGTTGCTCGCTTTGCAACAGAGGTCTCTCTACGAGTACTCTTCGGTAGGAGAGCCATAATAATTGATGACAGTATCTACAACTCACTATTTCTATCTATATTATCCTTTTGAAGAGGGAGTACCCCGCACTCGTTGCTTTTTTTCATGGCGTTTTGGTGGCTGAAAACGACGAACACTTATTTGACCCAACTGTACATCGACTATTGACTAGAGGCCTTCTTCCGAGGCCTCCAACCCCTTTTATCTATGCACCTTGTGCCCTACTTTACCGAGCCCTATGGGCCGCTTATGAAAGGGACCTCACGTGGTGGCACGTGATGGCCTTCCTTACAATTACCTCCCCTCTTAGAGGGATTGCCCTCAATTCCAAGGTTTCACAGCTAGGGCTTACGTGCCCTCCTGGCTTGTTTAGACTTTTTGTTTTGACCCGGGTGGTGGGCTTGTTTGGGTGTGCGCTTGGTGGGCTGGTCCCGTGACCCCCCTTGGTTGTGGGTTGCCGCGGCCACCCGTTTTGTTGTGGGTGCCGCGCCAAACTCCTACTTCCTTCCAAACCTCTCCTCTTTCTTCGCACCCTCACCTTACACCCCTTTCGACCTTTCGTCGCCTTGCTCCCCAACACAAGGTCCTATCCTTTCTTCCTTTTGCAAAGGTATGTTACGACGGAACAAGAAGGCTGGCCAACTACAGGACAGGAAGGAGGGAGGTCGCATGAGACCGGCCCTGGTACCTGGAGGGGCAGCGGAGAATAGTAGTTCCGAAAGTATCACGTGACGGACTCGCAGGATGATGAGAAGAGTCCTAAGAGTCCAGGACTCCCAGGACTCGAGTGAGTTCCCAGGAGTCCACTAGGCACGTGACGGACTCGCAGGATGATGAGAAGAATCCTAAGAGTCCAGGACTCCGAGGACTCGAGTGAGTTCCCAAGAGTCCACTAGGCACGACGCCACTATATAAGTAGATAGTATTTCCTTAGATAGGAGCTTCGTGCTCAACTCAATACAGTATTTGTTATATACTAGTAACGTGTTACTTGAAGCCTTTGTGTCTGATCCCCTGCCTCCTCTGATAAGTAAACCTTTACGCAAGAGAACCTCTGTGTCTTCTATCGTTTAGAAGTCAGCGTTACAAGGTAGCTATCCTTCTTCCCTTTCTTCTTCCGTGGCTAACGCATAGGAGTAGGCCTTCCATCGCCCTACTCCCACCATGGCCCCCAAACCCAAGGGTCTTAAGCTCTACAAATATCTGTTCCTTCATCAAACATCCAAACTCTGACGAACTCGTCGAGGACGTTCCACCCTGACTCAATTGTCTCATCAGACGCGCTCCAACATAGTTCAAGGAATTCGTCTAATGTGTTCTTGCCCAGCTCGATTGATTCGTCAGAGATCTTCAAGTGTGATTCGATTGATTCATCTTCCGCCTTCTGCCCACCTTCTGTGGATTTACCCATCCTACACGGAGCCTGTTTCTAAGTCTGAAGGCAACCCGTTATACAATAACTCCACAGGCCCATGCTCCGCTAGCTCATCCCCTGCCTTCCATCAGTATCTTCACCTTCAACTTCTGCAATCTCTGCACTAACTGTCAATGCTTTGTACTTGTTAACCCACAGCTCCTCAACCTTGACACGTGCTTCAGCAACCCAATCAGCCTTCCATTTTGATTTGAAGCAAGTCCACTTCCATTGTGGGCAATACTAACGCCGCTGTATATGCCGAAGTCCTGTCTGTCATACTGTAGTATTTATCCAACTTCTTCCACCCAGCATCACAACAAGGACCAAGGAACGGGTCCATTGCATAATCATTCTTCGCAGTTTCAAACACGTGAAGTAAGAAGTCCATCGATTGGAGTGTTAAATCAATGCTTGAGGCATAACCTTCTGTAGCAAGTGTTGCATCTGCAAAGTTCTTGAGAATACAGGCCATATTTCGAAGGTCCTGCCACTCCCCTTGTGAAACTACTTAAATATTAGTAAATAATTAAATTTAAGAGACATAAGTATGTACTTACGGAGGTCATTCTCATTCTCCTTGAATTTTATGCAGAACAGTTCTATAGCACATTGTACCTGTAGCGCCCATTGTAGCATTGAATACCAGCTATTCCAACGTGTTGAATTATCTCTCAACAAACATAGGTTATTGCTCATCAACTTAAAGCTGGCGATACATTGTGGGCTGCGTTGGATATAAACTACAATGTTATGTAGTTTACCAAGTGGACCTTTCTTTCTCCACTACTCCATCTCTATTTCTGTCGGCGACGACAATAGCTCTGTATTATTATCCTGTGAGAGGTCCTCCTCATCACTTGCAAAGAGAAAGGCTTGAACAGTGAGGTTAATCACATGGCTGTTACACCGTAATCTATGTCGCCTAGGGTTTCATAATATCTCATGCTCCTCTTTCAGCTTGAAAGCTCCTTGATCATTGTATCATTATTTGTTGCATTGTCCATTACAAAATAACCAACTTTTGAAGCAATGCCATAGTCGTTGATAACATCAAGAATTTCCACAGCTTGGTTCTCACCAGAATGCTTGCCATTAACTTCTCGTAGTGCAAGAACAGAGTTATCTAGATTACCAGTTGCTGATATATAGTGAGCGACAATGCCGAGGATTGCAAGGGAATTTGGAGAAGTCCATAAGTCCACTGTAAAGTGTATATTTGTAACGGCAGCTTGAACAGCCTGTCGAATGATATCCATCTCTTCTGTATATTTACGAAGAACCCAATCGTGAATTGTTGTCGAGCTATGAGGCAGCCATTCATTGATGGCTGGATTTAATATATTAATAAAAGCCTTAAATCATGAAAGGTAATACTACTTACGTGCGGAACTTGGGGATTGAAACCATTCGGAATGCAATTCCACATGTGTTAAAGTAACATGATGTCATGGTTACAGGGCCAGGGCCTAGTAACGTGACGTGTGAGTCACAGTGGGAAGCGGGGTAGGCTGCCATGTGACGGGGCTAATGGATAGTTGCAGAAACTAGTGGATATTGGATAGTTGAGCTATCCACGAACTATCCTGAATATCTAGCTATCCGCCAACTATCCAGATTACCCATGATGCACGACGCCACTATATAAGTAGATAGTATTTCCTTAGATAGGAGCTTCGTGCTCAACTCAATATAGTATTCTTTACAATACTGTAATGTGTTACTTGGAAAGCCTTTGTGTCTAATCCCCTGCCTCCTCTGTCAAGTCAACCTTACGCAAGAAACCTCTGTGTCTTCTATCGTTTAGAAGTCAGTGTTACAACATGCTACTATCCAGCGCACATAGAGATCTTCAAGAACACATAGATCTAAAGGCCTAACAGCAGTGACATCGTTGAGTCTATGGTGTTTATGATTGATTGTGTGTGGCCTGGCAAAGGCTACAGCTATTTTGGATTGATATCCATCAATGCGTTGCTCTTGTGGTGTTTCAAGTCAATGGAATGGCGCTCCTTTAAGTGCTTGATGATGATATTAGTGCCCTGTAAGGACACAGGGCACCCAGCTCACAGTAATAGCATATGAGAGTGCGAGTCGGAGGCTAAACGGATGCTATCCTATAGGTCTACTATGAAGGATATAAAAAAGATGAAGAGAGGAACCCCCGTTGGGTCAATCTCCTTAAGTACCCGAAACGGGTCCGACTTGGCTAACCTGCCTTCACTCTTATCATGTGACCGTAACCTGCCCGACTCAGATCCTTTCCGTCACTGAGGGACAGGCATCATTACATGCCCCCACCAACAGTATACTCCTTAGAACAGAAGTAGATATTGAAGGTTATTTCATAATGTCCTACTTTTATAAAGTCCCATATCTGTAAGGACACAGGGCACCCAGCTCACAGTAATAGCATATGAGAGTGCGAGTCGGAGGCTAAACGGATGCTATCCTATAGGTCTACTACGAAGGATACAAAAAAGATGATGAGGAACCCCGTTGGGTCAATCCCCTTAAGTACCTGAAACGAGTCCGACTCGGCTAACCTGCCCTAACTCTCCCCACGTGACCGTAACCTGCCCGACTCTGATGTTTTCCGTCACTGAGGGCAGAGGCATCCTTACAATATCGGTGATGTGCGTAGCTTAGCTACCTTTGACGTAGTACGGGAGGTAGATTGGGACGGAATAGAGCAGCCAATAGTTGATGAGGTTGTAGTATCCTGTTCAAACTGATTAAATTGTTCACTTTCGATAGTAGATACAACATCAGAAGGTTCAGAAGCCACGATGTAGGCTGAATCATAAGATGTAAGGATAGAATGCAGACTTTTCACTACGACCTGAAAATTGTGAAAGGATCACGTGGAATACTTAAGTATTGCCAGTATAATACTGAAGTATGGCCAGCAATACTTAAGTATAATACTAGCGGCGGAGACGTGTTATGATACGGGTCGTATGAATACTTAAGTATAATACGGGCCCGTATACGAGAGCCTCCCATATACGGGCAATAATACTGGAAACACTGGGCATAGTTACATCCGGTATCGTGAGAGCATTGTATGTTGATTGAGCAAGAAAGGGGTTTCCAGAACTAACTCCAAACGACGTTCCGCTCACCATAGTCGCTTTCTGGAAAAGGTTCGAGTTTTGCCCTCCATAGGCAACTATGAGCCAGCCAATTGAGAAGGCTCCTGCACTTTCACCCCAAACGGTTACCTGCTTCGGGTCTCCGCCTCGAATGCCTAGATTTGTGGCTCCCTGTGATTGCACTTCTTTACTAAAAAGAAACCCAAAGGCGCCGAGACGATAATTAATAGAGACAATGATCACGGGCTTGCCTATCTGAACAGACGTTTCGACCATGCAGCTAGTGTTGAATTCTCGATCGTTAATGCTTCCCTGTCGGAATCCACCACCATAGATCCACACCATCACTGGCGACTTTGCCTTTGCCTTAGTTCCCGAAGGTCGTCCAACATTAGGTTCAAGCAGTCCTCCCCAACCTCAAAACCGAAGAGGTTATTAGTGCCATAACCGCTGCACGTCAGGCCAGGCTCAATTGCTTCATGGGTACCACTCCAAGAAGAATTAAGCGACTGTGCAAGTTCGAACCGCGGCGCCTGTGCGAAGGGAATGCCGCGGAATATGTCTTGAGACAGCTGGGGAACTGCGAGACCAACGTATGTTCCATTCTTAGTCTTCGCGGTTGGGGCCTTGGTAGGGTGAACGTTGAGTTCTGGAACTCCAAGGACAGCTAGAAAGAAGACTCTTTTTATGCACCGGTAGGGCTTGTTATTCTTCATCCCATCATTTGCTATGACGCCCACTAAACTGGCGAGTTACGAGCTGTGGAGACAGGCCGTAGGCGGGGAATAAGCTCCACCTCCACGTTCCTATCCGCCAAGAGTAGTATAAGATGCTCCAATGGCCGCCATAATTCAATGCCACTAAGACATTGCTCCCTTTAGCCCGTTTTCTAGTCAGTACAGCCGAATGATCCTTCGACGCGTGTGGAAAACTAAACCCGGAGAAACTGAACAGACGGACCGAATAGGAGAACTTTACAGCATCGCGTAGATACTTCGTTTACTCTAGGAGCGTTCTTCAAGTGATTTCATAACAGAATTTTGCCGATTTAGTAACATAGATGAGAAGCTACTCAAATAATCACTCATCGAATATAACGTTTGCTACACTGGGTTCGGATCTCCGGGATATAGTATGCCCGGCTGATGTCAACACCACCCTAAAGTAGCCTCGCTTCCATCCGCAGCCTTGGAGGAACACCCCTGTCGAAAAACACAATCCTCACAGCCTCGTCTCGCCTTCCAAATCCGACCATAACCACCTCACTAACCCACCTCAAATCCTCCAAAATGGCCGACCGCCCTCCACCCTCTGCTACGGCCATCATAATCGGCACAGCCATCCTCTCTCTCGTCACAGGCTACATGATTGGTACCGCCACCTCGCTCAACCTCCTCCCATCGCCCTTCTCCTCCACCCCCGCGAAGACGCGCTTCCGCTCCGACACCACCGGCTACAACGACGAGGAGGAGAGCAGCGAAGAGGAGATCGAGGCCGGCGAGGTGCTCGACCACGCGCCCAACTGGGCGAATGGGCCTGAGGCGGATAAGCGCGACGGGCTGACCGTGGCCGCGCCGGCGCCGACGAAGAAGAGGGAGGTGGTGGATGATAATGAGGAGTGCAAGTTGGTTCTTGTTGTGCGCACGGATCTGGGGATGACGAAGGGTATGTTCTATTTCTCCCCCCCGGCGCATCCGCCGACAAACGGCCATGCCTTCCCCACATACTTGTTGTGACAGTCACGCTAACACTTCCCAGGCAAAATCGCAGCCCAATGCGGCCACGCCGTGCTCGCATGCTACAAGTCTTCCCTACGCACGAACCCCTACCTACGCGCCTGGGAGCGCGGTGGCCAGGCCAAAATCGCGGTACAGATCAACAGCGAGGCGGGGATCGAGGAGCTGGCTGCCAAGGCAAAGGCGGCAGGGCTGGTGGCGGAGGTAGTGTGCGATGCGGGGCGGACGCAGATCGCAGCTGGGAGTGTGACGGTATTGGGGGTTGGGCCGGGGAAGAGGAGTTTAGTGGATCAGGTGACGGGAGGATTGAAGCTATTGTAATGAGTGCGAAATAGAGAAATACATGGGTTGATGATAGATTGGGTGCGCGTGTGCGCATAAGGTTTTCTAGCTATCGTACTCCCTCCGTGATTCTCATGTATCCCATTAAACCTCTGAGCACCATCTGTATGAGCCATTCTACTCCTCCACATCTCCAGACACAATTCCTATCATATCGCAGTCCGCCTACACCAGCCCAGGCAGCACCGCCCATCTCCCCTCCACCCCCGGAAACCTCTCTACATACCACTTCCTCGTCGTTATCGCCCTCGGCATCATCGTCGATACCTCCGCAGCTACAAAGTTCCTCGCCGGCACCGCCCCGCCTGTCGCGACATAGAAGCCCACCCACTCAATCCACTCACAAAGGTAATGCGGGCTAAGCACCCACCTAAACAGTCCTTCCGATGGCAGGACGTACGTCTTTTCGCCGCCGTGGCCATCGGGGACGGTGTGCGTGTTTTCGGCTTTGGCGGATGCACCCGGTTTGGACGCCGCGCGGCGGCCACGGCGTAGGATTTCGTCGTGCGCGATTGAGCCCGCAAAGCCAAGGGCCCAGATGGGGAGGCCGAGAGCAAGGCGCATGGTCATTGTGGGACCGAGGCCGGCGAGATGGCCGCCAAGGGAGACTGCGTTCAGCAAGTTGAATACCCAGGCTCCGAGGACGATGATGGGATGGATGGGAGACATGGAGAAGTTGAGAAGGGGGGCAAGAAGCGCGCGGTAGATGTAATGCGTCACCTTTTAGAGGTTAACGGGCTTGGTAATTGGGGGTGAGGCGTTGGGGGAACAAACGTAGATGCCTGCCAGGATGAGGTTTTCCCTTGGCGGCGGTGGGAGAGTGGCGCGCAGGCCAGTCATGGTGTATACTAGCAGAAGCGGCGCGGGGAGTTCCATGAGCACCCAGGCCACCTTCCCGGGGATGTTGAGGCACGAGGTCGTTGACGTCTTGCCCATGGGGTAGTACGCCGTGAGCCATTGAATGGCAGTGATCTGGGAGCGAGTATTAGCTGAGTTAGCGGTGAGGGCGAGGTTAGAGTGAAGTCAGGGTCAAGCGGAGGTGAAGTTGGACTAGATGGAGGGTAAGGGACGGGGGACGCACAACAGGAAAGTAGGTGAAGGTGTTGACTATCAAGGTCCAGTTCCCTGGCGAGGGCGGAAGCCAGTTCTGGAGAAGAGACATCTCTGACAGAGTGATATATATCTAAACTCTATTGAAAGGAACTCTTTGCGTTCCTCACTTCGGCGTCTTATCAGCAACGACTGTATCTTCGTGCAGCCTATCGTACGTGGTTGACAGAATGCTACCCCAGTTCTGTTGAAAGGTAACTTAACTCTTTGCCCGCCTGACTTCACGTCTTGACTACAACACCAACAGCAACAAAACAGCACTTTACTTTGCAAGGTCCAAGTTACTCTGCAGCTACACAACACAGCGCCCTCAAATGGTTTGCAGATACCACACAAGGATACGGAGTACACGGGTAGATTTCGGCACTGGACTGGATGCAGAGTGGAGCAATGGAGAACTATCGGCAGATTGGTCACTGCGGGCCGCCGCCGCCTGTCACGAACGCATCACGTGCGGAGTCATAACACGTGAGCTACGGTGCCAAGGCGGAGGATCGTCAGGACGAAGAACACGTGTAGCCGTAGTATATAATAGGAACGCGGACCTTCGGAGGGAGGTCAGCGTTCAGTCTCCGTAATCAAGGGATCTATATACGCGTATACGATTGAAGAACGTGACCTCGTACTGCCCTGTTCATTGAAGATCCTTACACCGCCCCACGATATAAACCTTGCGAATGCTGCGCATTCGATCCGAACGTCTGGCCCCAAAGTGACGTTGAAGTCAATATATGTAAGAGAGCCTTAGCTAGACAGGGCAGTGCAGTGCTGTGACAACTAGAGTAGTATTCTTCTAGCTTTTCGCGTCACAATGACTAAAAACGACGGTTAAGCCAGCTCTTTCATTCAGCATTCAAAGATGTCATTGGAAATTTAGGCTCTGAGGAAACAGCTTAGGGCAGCGCAGCAACGCGAGTGTAAGGACGCAGGGCACCGTATCACGAGAAGTGGCATATGGGAGTGCGAGTCGGATATGAGTCGGTGCAATCCTATAGGTCTACTACGAAGGATACAAAAAAGATGAAGGTGTAACCCTGTATGACTGTTCCCTTAAAATACCCGAAACCGCTCCGACTCAGCTAGCTCCCTGTTTGCCTAAGGCTTCCTTACGTTATGTGCCTAAGGCTGTCAGTCGCGACTGACCCGTAACGGCCCCGAGTCTCGATGACGCCATGTGACGGCCGTAACTACCCCGAGTAAGGAGGCATCCTTACAGCGAGGCAGAAGCACAACGACACGAACAAGAAGCAGAACGACTCCGCAAAGAAGAGCAACGACCGCGAAGAAGACCAACGACTCTGCGAAGAAGAGCAACGACTCCGCGAAGAAGACCGACAGCGCTAGGAACGGAGAACCGGAAAGACGACACTGCGAGTTCCTCGATGCATGTCATGCTCACCTTTGCCTAGGTCTGACGATTCAACCAGATACCACACAGTCGACGCAAGGCGATGCTGCAAATGCGGATAACAAACCCCGCCCTGAACGAATTTTGCCATGGCCAGAATTTGACGGAACAGGCACGCACGTGGGAAGAACAGTTGTGCCTTCTTGGCCTGCAAAGCATGGGATAAAATGGCGTTCTTTTGTAAGTCGGCATGCTACGACAAGTATAGCATTGTTTCCTTCACAGAATGCAATCCTGTAATAAAGTTGAGTGATATGTCCTGCTACGGCTGGCTGCCAACAGGGATTGGTTGAAGAAGTCCGTTATAAGCATCCCTTGTAGGTTTTTATCTTTTGCAGATATGGCAGTTCTTGATGTATTGTATAATTGTCTTATCCATCCGGGGCCAGTAATACTGTCTTTTGATGACCCGAATCATCTTCCCAATGCCAGGGTGTCCCATTGCTGGTTGGTCATGAATTTCTTGTAAGAGTTTGACGTGAGCACTTTCTGGAACCCAGACTCTATTATGATAGTATAAGAGCCCTTCCTTCACCTCGCAATATGCTAGACCTATGTCTGGACTGTTTTGTTCTCCATTCTGCAGCTTCTGAATAGTGTCTTTGCATAAGCTGTCTTGAAGTTGCGCAGTTTGGATTTTGTCTAGAATACTTGCTTCCTGTAGGTGGACTGGCACAAGTTGGATGTCTTGATTCACCTTAGCATTTTCGAATTTCCTTATCTCTTGGAGGTCTGGATGGAGTCTCTTGAGTGGTAGCAGGGTTTGAAGTTATTGTTTTTGGTGGTCATCTTCATCGTTCCCTTCTGGTCTATCTCCTGGTCTTTGAGTTAATGCATCTGCTTTTCCCTTCTGTTTCCCAGGTCGATATATAATTTGAAAGCTAAACCTTGACAGAAACTCAGCCCATTGAGCTTGCCTTCGAGTAAGCTTCTTTGTTGTCATGAAGTATTCAAGACTCTTGTGATCTGATAAAACTTGGACTGGCATTGCTGTGCCCTCGACTTCTGGTCTCCATGCTTTGAAGCATCTGATGATGGCAAGTAACTTCTTGTCATTGTAAGGATGCCTTCTCGTCTCTCATTCTAAGGAGTAGACTCTGGGTAGCTGCGGGGTCACGTGTGATCATTTGGGTGGGCTAATTGAGTCAGATGGGTTTCGGGTACTTGAGGGAATTGACTCACAGGGTTCCCCCTTTATCTTTTTTGTATCCTTCGTAGTTGTAAGGACACAGGGCATCCAGCTCACAGTAATAGCATATGAGAGTGCGAGTCAGAGGCTAAACGGATGCCATCCTATAGGTCTACTACGAAGGATACAAAAAAGATGAAGGGGGAACCCCGTTAAGTCATGTTTCCTTAAGTACCCGAAACGGGCCCGACTCGGTTATCCCAACCCTAGCCCTGAACCTTCTACCGCAACAGGTCCGCATCGACCCTGAACCCTATACCCTTACCGTCCCCCACTATAGTGTAACTCGCTATGTGCTCCTATACTGGTTCGAAACCACACCCAGTCAGATTTCATGCCTGTGGTGATCGTAACAGCTCTGAGGCGGGTTCTTCGAGTATCTAGGTAAGGAGGCATCCTTACAGTAGTAGACCTATAGGATAGCATCCGTTTAGCCTCCGACTCGCACTCTCATATGCTATTACTGTGAGCTGCGTGCCCTGTGTCCTTACATTATACAAAAAAGATCACGCCTGCTGGGGACGGCCGTACTTCAATAATATCCCACACCGGAACGACTCAGGAGAACTACCATTACTACATCGACCGCGACTCGGTGACGTTTCGGAGGAGAGACCTGACGACTTCAAATAGCCGTGATTCCAGAGATCTCACGGACAGCCAGTGGATCAGGGTTTGATTCTTCAGAACAAGCTGGTAAAGTCGCCAACGCGTTGGCACCGAATAGGATACGAGATCCTTAAGAATCCCCTCCTAGCACAGAGGAAATTGTGGACAAGAGCGTTGATAGCTATGAGCTACCGGAAGTCAAGCTCTTTCGTATCGGTACCAATACACACCTGAGGCAATATGTCAAAAAAGCTGACATCAAACATACCCCAAGACAACGACGGTCAACTGCCCAGAATGGCTACCAGACAAACCACCGCTGCAGCTACGACCGCTATTCCATCCAAAGACATCCCCAGTCAAATGGCCCACCTCGAAGCACAGATACAGGTCAAGGATCTACTAGTTACCCTGATGGCAGCCCAGACCAGAATCCCGTCCACACCACCGGTGGACAACCCCATACCCACAGTCGAAGCTACAGAGCAATGAACGCCTCGCCCACGAAACACCCCCGAGACAGTTCAATTGCCGCCTCTTCGGAACACTCATTCTCCATCGATTCCAAGATCATCACGAATGCTCACCGAGGACCCTCCGAATTGCTATAAGAAATCAACCATCTCTGAGAAAATCCTTCCTCTCAGCGATGGGGTAGAACATACCTTCCTACAATGGAGCGCTTCGATTCGGGACCGAGTCGTAGTTAATGAGGACCACTACCTTACTGACGTCTCGAGAAGAGCGCTGATATGGGGAACTACGACCGGTCTGGCGAAGACCTACCTAGAGCCCCAATACCTGTCTGCTACGCATGGGTTCCGCAGTGCTGAGGAGATGATGGATCTACTAAGCTCATACTACCTCACAGGCAATGAGACGGAACAGGCCAGGAACCTCTTCGACGACCTGCAAATGGGAGAGAAAGGGCATGCTAGCGAAACCTTCCCAGAGTTCAAGGCTTGTTTCCAAAGTGCAGCTATCACAGGACAAGTCTCCGAGTCAGAATGGTTTCGGTACATGTGCAACAAGTTGACTCCCCAATTCCGCAGCCGTGTCGCGATCATCAAAAACCAATGGAATGGAGACTACCAGACCATGGTACGAGAACTTACCACCTTCGATCAGGAACGGCGCCGGAACAACGAATTGAATCTGCTATCCGCTCTCGCAAAGACGTCCACACGTACCACGGATACGACAAAGGCGTCGGCGTCGAAGCCGACTCGAACCACACACGCTCTGTTTACCCGAACTGCGTTCCTTTGGATTTTCGAAAAAATGGCTCTAGCATTTCTGAGGGGTGTTTTTAGCCCTGATTTTGGGCTTTTGCTATGGTCGCCTTGTGGAGCTGTTTTACCGGCCTCGAGGAAAACGACGAGGCCTAGGAGAAGGCTCCTTCCTAGGTCTAGGCAAATGTGACCTGCGAGAACTATACCGGAACGTGTGAGAACTGCAGTCCCTGCGCCCTCAGGGAACTGTTTCAAGTGTGGCAAGCCCAGCCATTTCCAGGACAAATGCCCGCTCAATGCTACTGTCAAGGAAATCGACCGTAACGACCCCAAAGCAGAAGAACAATGGGAGGAAGCCGTGGAACTTCAATCGGATGCGTCCCTCGAGGAAAACGACGAGGCCTAGGAGAAGGCTCCTTCCTAGGTCTACGCAAATGTGACCTGCGAGGACTAGACTTACAAGAACTCCTGGGAGGTACCCAGTTCTTAGTCAACACGACCCTGAGTATGAATGGACTCAGGGTGCAAACGAAGTCCCTAGCAGACACAGGAGCAAATGGCTACATCATCATTAACAAGCCTTTCGCAATACGACTGTCGAAAGCACTTCAGAGCCGCATATGGAAACTACCCTACTTTGTACCCATACGTGGATTTCAGCGCAAAATCCAAGGCCACATGTCAGAGTATATTCGGTTACACTTAACAGTCGAAGGACGCTGGATATATAACTGCCCCTTTGTACTCCTGGACCTCGGAGCACAAGATGTGATAATTGGGAAGAAGCTTTTCAGCTGCTTCCGAATACTACTCGACTCTGCAAAGAGCCAGTTAGTTGGCCAAAGGAGTACCCGCCGACTCCTAGCTGGAGCAAGGAGATCACCTTGCCCTACCACTCATGTGAAACGTCCATTAGACATCCTACATACCAGTCGGATGCGAATCGCCGGGATTCCGCAATCCACCGCGAAGACAGATGCCGCGCAGGCGGACGCTCGATGGAAATGAAAGTGATAATTTCTGACTACTAAGATCACCGATACGCCATCGAACCCACTACGAAACCAGGAGGTTTCTCCCCCAATGCAGAAAACCCTAGTACATAGTTTTACGCCCATGCATATCTGCGAAATCAGTGCAAATGCTTTCCACCACGAGATGATGCAAAGCGACTCTGAGTTTTTTCAGACTAGCACCTACGAAATCGATCAGATCATTCATGAAAAGGAATTGGACGAGGATGCAGAAACACTTCACCTCATCCAACAGAAACTCCCGCATATGCACCGAAGCTATGCCAATGTCTTTTCAAAGTCAGAATCAGATCGGATACCTCCACACCGCATATATGACCATAAGATACAGCTCGAAGCTCCTTTACCAAACACCTTCTCCCCGCTATACTGACAAGGCACTGAAGAGCTTAAGGCTACCAATCAATACCTGCTGGAAAACCTGGAAAAGGGATTCATCGTCAACAGCAACAGCCCCTTTGCGTCCCCTATCCTATTCGTAAAGAAAGCGGATGGCAAATTAAGATTTTGCATCGATTACCAGAAGTTAAATGGTTTCACCCGGAACGATCCCTACCCCATCCCGCATATTGACGAACTACTAGGACGGGTGTCGAAAGCAAAAATCTTCACGAAGCTAGATATTAGAGAAGCCTTCCATCGTATACAAATGCACCCCGACTCAGAAGAGTACACTACCTTTTGGACTCGCTATGGAACCTACAAAATGCAAAGTGTTGCCGTTTGGCCTGACGAACGGTCCCGCAACCTATCAGCGGTATATGAATGACATCCTGATGCAATATTTAGAGCAGCGGGTGTAGGAATCCTTGTTGCTTGGTGACATTGGTATGAGAAAGCCAACATGTCACACAATTCCTCACATAGTGCAAACAATCAGTTTCCATCCCGACCCAGTGGTACTTCGGGGCAATCAATTGATAGGTTTTCCGGCCACTAGGATGTGCCACCGACACCTGGTCGTGCGCTTCTCGGATTAGTTTCGTACATAGCTCGGTGTGGTGATTTACACATAGCCGGCCTTTGTATAGAAGAATTCAATGCGAACCCGTCAGGTAGGGGGTGTTTCGCACGTGTTTCTGTAAACGACTCTCTGTTGTCCTCACATAAAGCCTCTATTAAATCGAAAGGCATCTGGGGCTTGGGGATGTCCATCGAATTAATGGATGCTATGTAGCTCTTGGCAAGTTCAGTGCTGATTCGGGGGTGCAGGCTGATATGGCTACGGTAACGTGACGTCATGGTTACAGGACCAGGGCCTAGTAACGTGACGTGTGAGTCACAGGGGGCAAGCGGGGTAGGCTGCCATGTGGCGGGGCTAATGGATAGTTGCAGAAACTAGTGGATATTGGATCCACTAGTTTCTGCAATGAGAGAGCGCTTGGAATAATCACGATGGAATTAATGCAGAAGTACACCCAGGACAATGGGGCAGTCGGGGTAGAAAACTTGAATCGTTGGCGTTCAGACTCTGACGCCGTCGCATTCCTTTCAGAGACGACATCGGCCACGTCCGCACGCGAGTTGAGAAAGGTACGTAGTCTTTTTCGGCCATGGTTGCGGACTGACATTACCAGCATGCACTTCTGCGACATGGTAGCCAGAAAAAGCTTCTTACGGGGTTGGTATTTGTAGCTGAAGTTACTGCGCGCAGATACTATTCCTGCAGTGCATAGTTTCTAACCAACAGTCTGGGACTTGGGATTGAATGCAGATGAAGCAATTGAAGTTCTAGAAACACATATATTCAGTTCTTTCCTACCTCCGTCGAGGCTTAGTCATTATATTTTAGGGATTTAGATTGTATGCTGTTCGCTCCCGTACTATAACTTTGGATTTTGAGCATGCTTTGATCTGTTACGTTATTACACGCCGCTGGGCTTTTCGATTTCGCCGTCAGCATGATCAAACCTGACCCCTGTATTCTGGGGGCCCCATGTTTGAGGGTGGCCAGCCACATGCTGTCCTGCCGCCCCACCACCCCACCACCCCACCACCCCACAGCCCCGCCACCCATGCACAATGTAATGGTGGACGATCCGATTATCCCCTCTTGTATCATCCGATTATCCACTGTCGCCGGTCTTCTAGATAATCCCTTTTCTCCAAGCTCTTTTCTGCTACCTGTTCCTCACGGTGAAAGTGACTTAAATCCTTCCACCTTCTTCCACAAGGTTCTGCACAACCTCGAGATCCTTTGTTCTTCTGTCTGCGCTTCAACTACGTCTTTCCAACCCAACCTTCCTTTCCACTTGATGACCTTCACATTCACTCATTAAATTTATCATGGAGGCCACTTACATCTATGTTATTGCTGCAGGCGGCATCTTCACCATTCTCTTTCTCCTCACCCTTCGCCCACACTTTGTGCAATTTATCGAATACCTCGTCCTATGGCAGTCTAAATACCTGACGTATCCGCAGATCCTCCGCCGCCACTCACTTCTCGGCCCATGGACTCCAGCAGGTTTTGTCCTGCACACCGCATACATTGCAGCCAACGTTTCCTGCCTCGAGTTCTGGAAATTGAAGACTACGAAAGTTGGCTTCCGTGCTGCTAACCTAGCCCTGATTAACATGATGCCACTATTCCTCGGAACCCATCTTAGCTTTCTTTCAAATCTTTTTGGCGTCTCTTTGAAGTCGTGGCGATTGGTTCATCGCTCGGCAGGCATAATGTCGTTCTTTCTTATGCTCCTCCACATCCTCATCGTGGTTGCTAGCCGTGTCAGCTTCTCTCCAAGCGTGCCTGAGAATCTCTATGGACTAATCGTCTGTTCCCAAATCTTCAATATCCGGGATGATCATGTCTGACAAACTACAGGGCGGGTCGGCGTTGTGTCTTCTCATACTCCTCTCGATTCCCTTCTTCCGCAAGTCCTCCTACGAGATCTTCCTTCGTACGCATCAAGCTGTGGCCTCACTTGTAGTGTATTCCATTGTACGACATCTCATATCCCAGTCGAACTTCAATTGGAACTATGTCTACATCTTCGCAGGGGTATTCGCCGCACTGCTCGCCTTTCAATGCGGCGTCGTGATGTTTCGAAACAAAGCATGGGGCCACCATTTCCCTCGGGCCTTCATCACTCACATCGACCAAACAGTCATGGTCCGGATGACAATGTCTCGGCCCATAGAAGTCAAGGCTGGCCAGTACATCAACTTATGGATTCCATCCGTCAGCTTCTGGTCTTTCCTGCAAAGCCATCCTTTCATAGTAACCAACTGGGCCGATGGTAAACAGGATACATTAGAGCTTTTCATCCAACCGAGGGGAGGCTTGACTCGTGAACTCTTCAGTCATGGAACTCTTGATGAGGGCGGGTCTGTACCTCGCCTGGCCCTGTTCAGCGGACCCCATGGAATTAGTGTACCAGTGGGAGACTATGAGACGGTCCTTATGGTCGCGACGGGCTTCGGTATCGCCGCACAGCTGCCCTATCTCCGCAAGCTCATCCACGGTTATAATACCTGCAAGGCTCGCATGCTCCGAGTCCACTTGGTGTGGCAGCTCGAAACCTTTGGTTAGCCTTGATATGGGGAACTGTATTACAAGAGCTGACAAATTCAGACATTGGCCTGGCAGCGCAGTCCCTACTGAACAGTGCCTTAGTTGATGACACCTTGGACGACGGTTATGTGCGTATGGTCGTTTATACCCCAGATGCTTTGCTGACTTGAGACAGATTCTTTGTATCTCAATCTACCTCGAGTCGAGTAGTGGCGACAAGGTTCCTTTCGGTAAACGTGCGACTCTGTATCCAGGCACCGCAAACCTCGAAGAGATCCTCCAAGTTGAGTTAACTGGGAAGCATATTAGAAGAGTGCAAGAAACTCAGGAGAGAGGCAAGATGCTTGTCATGGGTAAGACACCTTATATTACTATCTATAATGCTTACAATACATAGTATCCGGTACATGCAAGCTCCGAGATCATCTTCGAGCCCTTGTTCGTACACACTTGGATGATGGAGTACAACTGCAGGAACTAGACTTTCAGCCAGAATAACTGGGCTTTGATGGGCGAGATATAGACGGCTTTGGATAGATGGAATTACTTTCTGGCAGGGTTTCAAAGGGCGTGCAGTGATACGCTGAATTTAAAGTAAAACAATCTTCAGATAGTTCAACTCATTAATAAAAACGGAGCTTTGTTCATCCACGCGTACGCATGCGTAGCTAAGATAGCCTTTCCATAGGACGCAATTCGGCCGAAGAGAGGGTTCTGATAAAGGCTCTCGATGGGGAAGATCCAGGTTTCAGGTTTCAAGTGATATATTACGGCTGTGACAATATGAGTGACAAGAAACGACCGTTCGTGCAAAAGACAAGGAAACCACTACAAATTGGACACTACAAACGACGTTCGAACTCTCGTGGACACACCACCACTTCCCGGCAGCCTTATGGTACAATTTAGGCCGCAATCGGCTAAGTCGCTAAACGGCTCACTTTGGCCTCTATTCGGGATAGACTGGCCGGCCCGGACCGTAAAGACCGGACTGGACTGGACCGGACCGCTTATATGAGTGTTCCAGTCCTTAAATTTAAGACCGGACCGTGGTTCGGTCCTCCTTTTTTTAAAAAGCCCGGACTGAATTTCAGTCTAGTCTCTAGGGTTAAGACCGGACTGTGGTTCGGTCCTCCTTTTTTTCAAAGCCCAGACTGAACTTCGGTCCAGTCTCTAGGGTTAAGACCGGACCGTGGTTCGGTCCTCCTTTTTTTCAAAGCCCGGACTGAACTTCGGTCCAGTCTCTAGGGTTAAGACCAGACCGTGGTTCGGTCTAGGCTTTTTTACCATCCGAGCTTTTTTTTAAAAAGCCCGAACTGAAGTTTAGTATATTTAGCTTGTAGATCACGATGTTAGTCCTGTGACCAAGAGTAACGGTATATAGTAATGGTATATTGATAGAAATTAGGATAAATTTATCATATAGATAATAAATTATGGTAATTACATTAGAGTTATAAGTGCCGTATGTCTCAGAATGCATCAGCTTACAGTGGCTTCCCTACCATCACCACCACCGCCATCGCACACAGGTTTGTGTCGACTTTGGGAGGCCAGCCTTCCTACCACCTAGCGCAAAGGTTGGTATCTATCGCAGTAGTTAACATAATATATTGTTCAAGCTGGTTCCAAATGCTATATAAGGCTAATTAGTGATATATTCCGTTACTGTGAGCCGTTACTCTAACCCACATCTGAATAGTACCCTCCTCTACCTTCTAAGTCGTTGCGAATGTTGAGGAGTATCAATGAAGGCTTCATCATTCTGAAGGTCCTTATTTAGAACCCCAAAATTTCGCTTCCTCTGAGTTTCCAATCTTCCATTGCGACCTTGTGTAGCTCTATGTGGCGTTGATGGGTCTGGTAGGTCTTGTTCAGCATCCTCCTCGTCAGATGATATTACCATCGTCATAGCAACTTGTCGATCAGAGTCCTCAATTATAGAGTCTGGGTCAGGAGCGCCAAATACATGGTCTATATTATCCCAATGATTATCAAGTTCCCACTTATACCTATGATAGTGTTTAACAATCATCGACTCTCGAACTGTAGCCGTACTCATTTGTGCCCTGTGGTATTCATGGATATCGCGGGCAATATTAAATATGCGCTCAACTCCAGTACCAGTAGCTGTTTAAAGCGATTTGTAAGATATTTGCGTTACTCTTAACCGTTACTGTAGGAGCTTACCTGGTACTGCAAGGATATCCCTTTCCATCTTTGCAACTGAAGGGTAAGAGAGCTCTAAGGTCTTCCACACTAGGAGCACTGGAGTATCTGCATCAGCACTAACCACTGGCGCATTTAAATAACGCTCAGCTTCATTATAGCTGGTACTTGATGGGCTCTGCCACCCTTTATGTAGCTGCCGGTTCATCCGAAATACCGCATTAAGACTTGTTGGTGTATAGGGGCAAGGCGGTACTGCCTCATGCTGGTCCCTCGAATCTTTTTGATAGTAAGCCTTCCAGTAATCTAAGAATATTTGGCGGTACTTCTTTGAGTGGGAACGGTCCCATTCAGGAGCGTTAAAAATGTCCAGTTTCTGAGATGGATCAAGAATTGCAGCAAGAGCATACGTCTGTTCAACAGGACCACCAGTTTCAGTATAATAGTGCCTTAACTTTGCAACACCTGCAGTAATAGCAGCAGTAAACTCGTCTACCCAAGGATTAGATGCTGTATCCTTGTTATATAGCTTTTGATTAATATCATCAAGATGGTCAAATAATGTATTGTATACATTCCATGTATGGTTGATTGTAGTGTCTTTCGTGTTTCCAATAAGATGAGTAAATTCTGCAAAGGGCCGCAGAAGAGCGACTAAGTATTTTAGTTTTTTCCAGTCGGTTGGTGATAATGCGAATTGATCAAGATGAGGCTCCTTAATAATCTGTTCCTCAAGCCAACTTTTAATTGGGATGCGTAGTCTTATCGCTCGGACTATCATGTCATATGTAGAATTCCAGCGTATATCAATATCCCGTTTTAGCCGCAGTAGTCTCTTTGCTTCTATATCAGATTGCTTCTGGAGCAATAATTCAGTTTTCTTTGCAGACCTGCTCACAAGATTGCTAAGAGTGCGTATCTGTGTATTTGACGTCAGTTAGCGTTACTATCAAGCGTTACTATCATGGACTAACCTTTTTAATAGCTGATGTGACTGTCGTATCATCAGTAATTGAAACACCAGTAACATCTATAACTTCTTCAGCCATGTCGACATTGAAGGCCTTTAGCATAGCTTTTACAACTAGCTGTATAACATGAGCCATGCATGGTATTTTTGTTGCATCACTACTCCACTCTACTTCTTGTGTAGTACTTCTCATGTAGCTCTCAAGTTCCTTGCGCATTGTTCCATTGTTTGATGCATTATCAGTTGTCACGCAAAAAAGTCGTCCCGTAATATTGAATTGTTCCAGTACATTGTGTACAACAGCTGCCATATTTTGTCCTGAATGGACTCCAGTCATTGGCTCGAAACCAATAAGACACTATAAGATGTATGTTAGTAAGTTAATATATTATTATATAAGTTATAATCTGCTCACCTCTCTCCATTGCCAATCATCAGTGATATAATACACAGTAATTGCTAAGAACGCTAATTTGAACGGACTTTGCCATCCATCAAGGGCAATTGAAACCTTTGCCATAGGCGGTAAATCCAATAGTAGCTTCTCCATGACGTTGTTAAATTGCATTGTTAATTCTTTGCGTATAACTGTCCGGTGTGGAATTTCCAGGTCGGGTTTCAACATGTTTAGAACCTTTCGCACCTCCTTGTTCTCCACTATTCGAAAAGGGAGGCTTGATGAAATTATGGCTATAATCAACTGCTCTCGCCATGCTGTATGTGCGAAAGGCTGTATGGTATTCCTTTCCAAATGCGCACGCGGCAGCTAAAGAAGGTCATTAGCGTTACTCTAGAACGTTACTCTAGACCACTGGATAGATAACTTACTAAGTGTAAATGAGTTTGCGATCCATCCTTTCTACTACAAGCGCCAGATTTGGTGTGTCGGGTTAAAGTAGATGTGCTACTCCCACCTTGTCGAAGCTTAGGGTGTGCAAAAGCCCTCCAACACAACTGACATAGTACCTTAGGATTGCCAGTTCGGACCTCAGCTCCTTGGTAGAATTGAGTCCATATTAAGGACCTCTTCGACCTTGTCCAAACCATATGTCGGAATATCTCTCGATTGATGTTGTTTGAAATCTTCGCAGTCCACCATTGATGCCATTCGTTAGCGGTATCCTCCTTCCATATAACATATCGATTATTAGGAGACTTGGGTAGTTTTTCAAGAAGTTCATCAAGAGGAGCTTCAATTCCACTCAGTACATCATCTTGGGAGAAGATAAGTGCTGGCTCGAAAGGCGAGTTGATATCCTCAGTGTCAGAGGTAAGCGGATGCTCAAATTGTGACTGATTCATCATTGTAAATGGGCTTGGGCTCGACATGTTGTTAAGAGGATAGAGAAAATGTACTGTAGTAGGAGTGTAGGTCAATCAGACGAATGATGAATGTTAAGTGAGGCCTTTTGGAAGGACGGCCATTTCTTCATAGTCTTTTGCAACAGAACAAATGGTAGTACAGAATACAAGAATGCCACATTGCAATAGGGTAATATTTGAACTCTTTGTCGTTACTCTTTGCCGTTACTCTTTGCCGTTACGCATTGCCATTACGCATTGCCATTACTCATTGCCGTTACTCTTTGCTATTCCTATTTTGTGTTAGTTGAACATAGTATTATGGAGTTAAACAATTTTGTCTAGCTCTAATTAGGTTTACCATAACGCTAGAGAGTAACGCTTACGAGTTTTAAATTACAAAATCAGCAATTTGGTTTCATTGGCTTAACAATTTGCTACATTAGCCCTATCTTATTTCAAAGTCCGAAGCTATATCTAGTACTATTAGCTGTTGCTACAGCATATAACAAGATAATGAGCAGTGTGTATAACCCTAAGTAGATACAGATCGATTATATTTCCTATGTAGCATAATATAAAGTTAAACTGTATAACCGACATTTGATTGTTAATTGGCCGGGCTGTATTCCTTGGCTCAGCCGAGGAGTAGAAGCATGCTGGCTTTTTGCTTTTGGGCTCTCTTCCGTTACTGCTGGCCGTTACTGTAGCCTACGTGTAACCCAGATGATGAGTAGTAGCCCTTATTTTTATTGGATGCAGAGTCTGTATATCCTAACTAGTGTAATATGAATTGGAATTGCAAAATAGGCGTTTGACTGTTAATTGGTCGGACTGTGTTCCTTGGCTCAGCCGAGGAGTAGAAGCATGCTGACTTTTTGCTTTTGGGCTCTCTTCCGTTACTGCTGGCCGTTACTATGAGTACAGTAGTCACTATTTGGAGTACTGACAAATAGTTTTATTAGATAGTAACGGCAGATAGTAACGGCAGAAGATCTCAAAATGGAATTCAGTAACCACAAAAACTCCATTGGTTTAGTATACTATAGTACAGTATACGACGTGAATTTACTCCTCCTCCTCCTCCTCCTTCTCCTCCTCCTCCTCTTCTTCCTCCTCCTCCTCCTCCATTTCCTCCTCCTCTACACGAACCCCGACAATGAAGCCGTTGAGGCTATCCTCGTCCTCATCATCGTCCTCCTCATCCTCTGATATAACCACCTCCACTTCTTCACCATCATCATCAAAATCTACCAGCCCATCTTCAACATCAGCATTGCTGTTATTCTCCCACTGCTTCACGAACTCTTTGATATTATCAGGGTTGCTAACCCCCCCAGCAAACTCTTCGATCTCCTTCCTTGAGAGTTCGGGCATAAGGATGTTGCCAGCAAGGGCAATATTGCGCTCCCAGCGCTCAATGACTGGGACCATGTTGCTGGCCCAGATATCCTTTAAGGTATTTTCTTCACCGCTGTCGCTAGTCGATGTCTTGCCAGTCTAACCATTATGTTAGATAGTATCGTCATGTTTTAGCTATTACTTACAGCTTTGCCTTCGCCCTTTGGTAGGGCCTTCAATTCTCCTCCAGCTCCTCTGCATTAATGGCCGCAATAGCCGCACTCTCATCATTAATAGCGGCTGTGAGGCGGGAATTGGCATCAATACCACGAGCGGTGCGCCTGTCCATGATATCCTGCTGCGTTGTAGCTAACACGGCAGCTTGTTCATTGGCCGTAAGGCCCTCCCAGTCATCTTTACCCTGGCGGGTACGGCGTGCACGGCTCATAGCCTAGCTTTGCTATCAGCTCTAGAACAATTGATATCAGGATGGTAGGATTGTTATACCTGTCGGTCCGCATTCTGAGCGAGCTCAATGGTGTGGGCAGTAGCTGCAATGACTTCCGCGCGTCTCTCCTCATATGACTTCGCAGTGGCTGGAGACGACATGGTAAAGTTGCGTTAGAGGTGATTTGGAGCTGATGAGCGTTACTATAGGGCGTTACTGTTAGCACTGGCTTTGATTATACTGTTGTGAGAGTACTTCAATGTGCTAACAAGGCGGACGTCTTTTGAAAGTAGGGGCGCAACTATTTACTGGTCGGGGTCGGTATAGTCAATAAATTTGGAAATCTAAAAGGAAGTTAATAATCAGAGGTAATCAAATGTAAGGGTGGTTTCTTTGCTAACTTACTCGTACTATTCTTTGTTATTGACACGTCCGGATTTGGAACAAGAAACGGAGTTTTTTTTGTTTGCAACAACACTTAAGCGCCCTTACTTCGAATTCGATCCTAACTTCTACAACAATTCTGAGATAACGCGTCTAGCAACATTGGTAAGTTCAATCTTCTTTACATTTGATTTAACCCTACAGTAACGCTGTAGAGTAACGGTATTGTGTTTATTTTACTAATATACAAGTTCTAGCAATTTTTCCTTCTGTCACCAACCTTTGTAAGTTCACCCCTTTTGTTCTTTGGGCGTTACAACTACAGTAACGCCCAGCAGTAACGCCAAATTGCTACAATATGGCAAATTAACATGTTTTAGATATCGCTCTCGCTCACATCTGTACCATGGCTCGCACCAAGCAAAAGCCTGAGCGCCACGGTAAGTATTCCACCCTACCCTACAAGCAATACAAGGTTACTAACTCAACAAACAGTCGATATTCACAAGACTGCGCGCCGAGCCTGCCAAGAAAAGATCTGGAGCTACAATGCCCAGAAAAGGAACTGGGAGCGGGATCACCCTGGCTCCAACTTCCCACAACAAGCCCCTCGCCCTGTCCCTCCTTTGAGCAAGGCTTCTGTCAACAGTATGCTATTCTTTTCTAATAGAATATTGTTCACACTACTAACTTATATGAAAGAACGGATCGTCGCCGAGATCCGACACTACCAGAAGTCGGCCGCCCTCATCCTCCCCAAACTCCCATTCCAGCGTCTTGTTCGTGAAGTCGCGCAAAGCTTCATGTCAGACCTCCGCTTCCAGTCTACTGCCATCTGTGCCCTCCAAGAGGCCGCTGAGGCCCACCTTGTGTCATACTTCGAAGGTAAGCTGTCTCTATGAACACCTACAAAAACTATACTAATAGTGCGAAGGGGCCAACATGTGCGCCATCCACGCCAAGCGTATCACCATCCAGAACAAGGATATGCAGCTTGTGTCCTGGTTCGCCAATTCTCGCAGCATTAGATAAATTAGTGTGTTCTTGTATAAATAGTCAATTGATGATTTCACAACCTGTCTTTAGTATTTCAGTCGTGACAGTAACGGTATACAGTAACGCTTAATTACATAATTTATGATGAAACTGAAGTTCATTATACTATAACTTAAATATAAAAATATAAAATAATAACGTTAACGTGCATGTATAACGAAAGTGCCAAACAAGCGAAAGTGCCAAAATATCGCGACTACCCCATAAGAATTGCGATAAATCCACCACAACAATATAAATTAATTAAAACTACTCGGAGTCCTCTTCCTCAGACCTGTCTATTACAATCTGACAAGTGCGCGCATTGTGTCCAGTCTTACCACACTTGCCACAGCGACGTGCATGGGTTTCTTCCCTTGGCTTCCGACCACTACTTGCCCTTATTTCTTGCTCTACTTGCTGCACAACGTCCCTCTCGTCCTGTAGCTCCTGTGCTACCTGTTGACTAAGTGATCCTCCTTGCTGTAGTCGTGTTTTTTTAGCTCTCCGGCGCTTGCTTAGCACTTCATTTGCCTGTCGCAGGTTTTGGTTCTCTGCTTTTAACAATGCTAATTGATGCATTATTTGCGATGCACCCTTTGTAAACTGGTCAACAGCTGCATAGATTGAGGTTGGAGAGCTATTTTGATGATGCGCAATTCGGTTTTTAATGAAAGTAGACTGTGATACAGCTTCAGTTGGGTTATTTGGTGTCTGAGAAACCCATGGTTGAGCGGTGTTTGGGCGAGAGGTTGGAGGTGTTGGCGTCTTAAACCTAAGGTCAAGTGTAGATATTACACTCTCAGGGCTAAATGGAAGAAGCCCAGCACCTCGGAACCCTCCCTGAATATTGCTTTCTGTCATTGCAATGTTAAATGCAGCGTGGAAGGCAGGAAAGAAGTCATCCTTAGTAATGTGAATAATATGAGCCCGCATCATATCTTCAATTTGCCGACCGTAAGCTCTCTTTAATGGGCCAAAACAGCCAACATCAAGTGGTTGGAGTATATGGGAAGAGTGAGCAGGCATACAAAGCGTAATAATGTTGTGTTCTTTGCAGTACTCCTCAAACTTGTCTGAGTGGTGGCTCTCATGACCATCAAGGACTAACAAGCGATAACCACCAACACTCCGGGGCTTTGTGTGCTTCTCAAAATGCTGAATCCAATCCATACCTCTCTCGTTTGTAGTCCAGCCATTTGCAGTAACAGCGATTACCCAATCTGCTGGAAATCCGCTATTCTCATACCAAGATGCAAGGTGGTTTTTACCTGCCACAATGACAAATGGCGGCACTGCCCAACCTTGAGAACTAACGCCTTGGATTACTGTAACCCATTCCCGATTGCCAGGCTGCACCTTTTTTGCCTTTGCCCGCCCATCTGAGCTCGTTACTACCGTTGCGCTTGAGATGACGCCCATCATAAACCCAGTCTCATCAAAGTTGTAGATATCTGCATTGTTGATGCCATACTTTAGAATTGTGTTCCATACAAGCTCAAACCAGCCACGAATGACTTCTGGATCTTCGCACTTAGCCCTCTGGTAGTCGTATTTTCGCTGGAAGCGTGTCCGGAGCTCTACATGGCGCTTAACAAAGTTTGAAGCCCAACGTGACCCGACGCGTGGCGCGTCGCGTGTTGAAAGTAGTTGATTTGCCATATCTTCAACAATAGACAACTGAGGAGGGAACCCTTTAGCAGCTAAGTCAAGTATATACTGAACAAGAACTGATTCCTCTAGGTTACTTAATTTCCGTAAGTTGGCTTGGATATCGCGTCGTGAAGGTACACCTTGTAAACGGTGACGTAGCTTGCGGTGGTCTACGGAATAGATCCTAGCTGCAACTCGAAGGCGCAAATTTGGGTCGCTTTGCATAGCTTGGATAGCTAGCACTAATTTGCTTTCATCATTTTTATGGCGCATGTTTTGTTGTGGAGGAATTTAACATTTAGTTGGGGGGGTTGGTCACCGCATGATTTTGGCACTTTCGCTTGTTTGGCACTTTCGTTATACATGCACGTTATGCAAATGTTAACTATATTAATTAATAACTATTAAATTAACGTAACCATATAATATTTATCAAACTATAGTAATAATTAATAGTAACGTTAGTAGCTGCTATTAATGCTTAATTAAACTCATATCAAATATAAGTCATAACTAATTGACTACTCTATGATCGATTTTGATTGAATAATATGATATCACTTGTAAATATAATATCACGTGTAAATATAATCACGTGTAATTATTTAACAGTGTGTAAATGGAACTATTATAGTTATACTATTTTCAACTTATACCTCAAAATGCATGTACAGTAACACTTAATAGTAACGTTATTAATATTCGATTGCACTTAAAGCTATTCCTAATAACATATCATGTGATGACATGTGGTGGCCCCCACTTATAATGTAAAAGACTGGACTGGACCGGACTGTTCTTAGGAAAGACCGAACGGTCTAGTCTTTTAAACAGTCCTCAATTTTCGCAAACAGTCCACACTCTAAAAAAAGACTGGACTATTATCAGTCCGGTCTTTTAAAGGGACCTCAACTTTAGCAAACAGTCTACACTCTAAAAAAAAGACTAGAATGTTATCAGTCCGGTCTTTTTGTCTCACGGTCCAGTCCTAAAAAAAAAGACTGGACCGTAAAACAGTCCTCACTCAACATTAAAAGACCGGACCGGACCGGACCGTGGCCAGTCTAATTCGGGACAGTATGGTATCCAAGGCGGAGCAGATTCCGTTTGCCCTCCGGCTCAAGATCCAAGATTCTCCTTCGCATTATCCTTTAGCTCTTGTAACACCCTATCAAACTCTGCATTTTGGTCCTTCGCAGCAGTATCGAACGACGCAGTGGCAAGCTTTCCGTGGGTTGAATTTTCCTTGATCCATTTCTTTAGTGCTGGACTTTTAGCCTGCGAGTTGACCTGTAACACAACATTGAGATGCTTTGTCGATGCATCGTAACGGCCCGCATCGATGCGGAGCTGGAAGTCAGCGTCCTTGGTTTTGGATGGAATGATGCGGTTCCCTTCCACGGCTGAAGCCGAGAATTTTGCAGGAGCATTCTTGAGAGCTTGAGCCTTTTGGACGAAGGCTCCCACGGCTTTGGACATTTTGCGTCGGCTGAGTTTTCTTTGAACTGAGAACATGTTAGCTTAATATGCCCTGGTAGAGCTCAGGCGACTCACAAATGAAGGAGATAGAATTAAATGAGGCAGGGATGGATGTGGCACGCTAGGAACTTGATCAGAAGAGATGCAGTGGTTAATAGTTTTTGCTTGGGCAGCTAAAGTTTGGAGAGAGTACCCTTCATATGTTATCTGCCCTCTTATATAGAAAATACGGCCTACTGAAACAGTAAGCAGCAAGAAACGCTAACAACGGAGCATGAGACCCAGCGCCTAATAAACAAGATATTTCTAGAATAGTTTGCTACATGACTCGTTTCAAAAGCTGTTACGGCGGTTGGGTAGATCAGTGCAGAACTTGAAATAGATTGAGCGCTTAAAATTTTAATCATTGGCCCACCTATGCCGTCTAAGCAGATTACAGTCTCAGTCCACTCCGCCAAAAGGAACCCTTGTTTTCTACTGGAGGTCGGTGCTCTTGGGCCACTCGAGGCTCGAGTTGGTGTTATGCAAACCCCTGCATTGAAGGCACTGCTAAAAGTCTGGGTGAAGCGGCTTGACTAAGCGCTTCCACACATTCCATGTTATTTACGATGTATTTATAGGGCTCCAATGGAAAAGCAGGAATGTTGTGTTGTTGAAGCGCGCGCATACAACTAGCGCGAGGGAAGCGAGCCTCTTTAGCGGCCGTTGCGTGGATTCGGTTCAATCCCCGCGCTGTTTCGACCATCGTGTTTGTATTCTCCTTACATCCCTCAACCAACCACTACCGTATGATTGTGACATTGAAAACTCCCTCCGCTCCAGCTGCTCGCCAGTTTATGAGTAGTACCAAAATAGGATGGGTGTCCCAAACAATTCATTGTTCGTTGCCTCACCATTCTTTACTTCGATCGAACCTCCATAAACAGTCCGCCATTCACGCAAGATTCCATACCACGAAGCAGACAATGACACTATTAAAAGCAAATCGTACGCGCAACGTTACTTTGCCAATTCAGTGCCCTAATATGTGTCTAGATCTTGATCCTCATACCTACACAAGCGGTCGTTGGTTGCGTCACAACGATCTGGAGATTGACTCGCGCTACATTACTTTTGATTTCGACGCGCTCTGCAGGAGGGTTATTGAGCTCTGTCCAGGAGCTACTTCTATAGCGACATATGACAAGAAAGAAGGGGGTTTCAACAGAGTCTTCATATTCACCACAAATAATGCAGAAACGGTCGTGGCAAGACTACCTTTCGCACTGGCAGGACCACCTTGTTTGGCCACCAATTCCGAAGTCGCAACAATCAAGTATCGTGAGTTTTAATCAGCAGTTGCACTAGAAGTAAAATACTAACCACATCTATGTTTTAGTACAAACCAACACCAGCATCCCTATACCTAAAATCCTTGACTGGAGCGATGATCCCTCAAACGCCATTGGCAGTGAATACATCATCATGGAACACGCTGTCGGTACTCAATTACATCATAAATGGCCGACCATGACTATAGACCAACAAATAAGCTGTATAGACGCTATCTATCGGAAGCTAAAAGAAGTGGTGGACATCAAATTTCCGGCTTATGGGAGCGTGTATTTTGCCGATATTTCGCTCGATTCTGCAACCAAGCGACCTTTAAACCAGAACTTCTCCATTGGGCCTCACTGTGGCTCTAGGTATTGGGACTGCAATGTTGGCGAATCTATGTACTACCACAACACAAAACCCAACCGGGGACCGTGTAAGTTTGTCGTGAAGCTTTCCCACCTTTGTTGAACTTAAAAGTACTCACAAGCCTCTTTAGGGGATGATCTTACTGCATACTGTAATGGTCTCATTGATGCTGGTGTTTCTAGAGTCCCGCCAGTCGATTCCCCTCTTGATAACCTACCGCGCTATCACGGATCTGTTGAGACGCACCTTCGTCTTCTAGAATTCGGTCGCGCCGTCATAAATAATATGTCCAACGACCAGCGAGTTCGAGACACGGCTACGCCAACGCTGTTTCACCCTGATCTACACAAAAGAAACATATTCGTTTCTGATGATGACCCCACCATGATTACAGGCATCATTGATTGGCAGTCCGCCAGTATTGAACCAGCATTCTGGTATGCAGATGAAGTGCCCGACTTTGCAACAACTTTACCTCACCCATCGCTCGAGAATCAACTTGAGCCCAACAGTGAGCGATGTGCGAAGGCATTTGAAGTTTGCACTCAGTTCTACCTTCCAAGGCTGGCTAGCCCAAGAGCTATGGATGACGCCCTTTTCCGGCCGTTCCGCTATTGCTACAGGACGTGGAAGGACGGTGCGGTGGCGTTTCGCCATGAGCTAATCAAAACATCTGAACGCTGGAAGGAGCTTGGTCTTATGGGTTCCTGTCCATATCCCGCACCTACCCCGGAAGAGTTAGCCGCCCACCAGAAGGAATATAAATACTTTGAGGCAGCACATGACTTGAGAAATAACCTCGCAGGCTTACTCAATACTGCATCCGACGGCTGGGTTCCGCCAGAAGACTGGGAAACGACGAAGTTGGCCAACAGAGAGCTGTTTGAGATGATGTTGCAAACTGTCCTAAGTATCAAAAACCCCGATGATGATGAGCCCATAAAAGATGAAGGAGACGTAAGGGAAATTTGGCCCTTTGACTTATAACAGCGCCATTAACGTTAGTCCTTTTCAGCCACTGTACTAAATCAGACGGCAAGTCTGATTTAGTACAGTTTAGATTATGTTCAATAGACTGCTCTCTTGAGGAAGGTGGTCACTATCGTGTCCCTCCATCCCTTTCGCGACTAGAGTATACCCGTGTAAAGAGAGTCAAAGTTTAAAGAGCGCTCCTCGAGCTCCTTTGACATAGAGCGGTTTGCAGTCAGCTTTGTTCCTGCATTCTTCGTTGAATCTGCCTGTTCAAAATGTGAAGAAGAGACTGCCAACGTGACATGTTCGCGGTGGCTCATGGTCACACATCGTAAGCGACAGGAACAGCATGACGGAGCGAAGCGGCGTTGCCCCAGATTTCTGGAATAAAGCTTAGTCTATTGATTCATGGTACGTCATTAAAATACTAGCGTGTTCAGCACAGCAACAGGGCTACAACGGATGTGCTACAACGGCATGTGCGATAGCACAGCGTCTGTCACAGCCCATGTGGGGTAAAGCCGTTCCTGGGTTGCCACATGTGTTTTGTCACGCCTCGCGTGCTGACCCAACTGTGCTAGCACACAAAGTGTTCTAGAGCAGGAGCAGTGCTACTACCTGTGTGCTGCCCCTAATAAACCCGTAGCACATTTGGGTCAACCCCAGACGTGTGCCAGCGATGATGAACACTACGGATTTGATCACGTGCTGATAATGGCAAAATTGAACAGCTATACTACCATGTTGCTGTGTTTAGCACTTCCCTCCGCGCACCAGAAACATGTCATTCCCTCGTTGACCATCTTATGGGGGACAGAGAGGAAAGAGAAACATGAGGAATGACAGGAGTGGGAGAGACTGGCCAGTAGCACTGTGATGCCCACATGTCTAGCGGGTATAATCCGTTTCATAGAACGTTGTTGGATTGGAAGGATAAGTCGGGTGAAGATAGTTCTGCAAACACTTAGGTGGATATTTGGTGCGGGATCATCGGAACCATCCGGAGTAGACAAGTTGGTGTTCTGTTGCAATACACTAAAAGGCGAATTGGGTGTCGCTGATTTTTAGTTAATTATTTTTAGCGGGGTCCATTTCCAGACACCGGTGGCTGTGCACCCCTGCCTGTTTGTACTCCGAAGGTACCGCTGCTTACTGTCATCGCGACCGGAGCTGATTCTTGCTGATTCTACACTTCACGCTCAAGGTTTGCAAGTAAACTGTCTGATGACTTTGCACTCTGTTGAAAAAATAACCTAACTTACTGTAAAGAATCGGCGATCAGCGAACCGGCTGTTCTCCCGCAGCTGGTGGTAATATATGGGCTCTATGTTACTCGAAGCACCTTCTTCCTCCCTTGCAGAGCTCGTCAGTTCTTCGCTTCTGCTTCGTTGTACTTGCCCTGCCTCTCTGACACTGACCCAAGGTTGCCAACACTAGTGAGCGTGTGTGGGTGCTCTACTCCAAGCACCTTCTCCCTTCCTTCTAGAGCTCGCCGGTGCATAGCTTCTGCCTCGTTGTACTTGCCCTGCCTTGATAACGCCAATCCAAGGTTACTAACACTAGTAAGCGTATCAGGGTGCTCTACCCCAAGCACCTTCTCCCTTCCTTCTAGAGCTCGCTGTTGCAATGCTTCTGCCTCTTTGTACTTACCCTGCCTTTCTAACACCACTCCAACGTTGCCAACGCTAGTGAGCGTGTTGGGATGCTCTTCTCCAAGCATCTTCTGCCTTCCTTTCAGAGCCCGCTGGTGCATTGCTTCCGCCTCTTCGTACTTGCCCTGGCTTTCCAACACTGATCCTAGATTGCTGACGCTAGTGAGCGTATCCAGATGCTCTACTCCAAGTATCTCCTCCCTCCCCATTATTGCAGTCCGCCCAATCTTCTCCGCTGCTGCATATTCCCCTACCTGGAGAAGATACCATACTGTATTATCTTCAATCCTCGCTCGATCCAGTGTTGCCTCTGTGTCTTCTGGAGCGTAACTGAGCACCTTTCGAGCGTGCGGAAGGAGCGCTCGACAAGCTGCCCATGTATCGTGCTCCCCGCTTGGGAAATCAGCAGCCATAATCCGCAGTGACGCCTTATGCCACCTGCCAATCTTCCTCTGTATTTCTAGCCACTTCCTTGTTGCTAGCTGTACCAAGTCGTGCATCTCAAAAAGATGCTCCCCAACCTGCGGCTCTGGCTGCTTCGAACTCTGGACCTTAATCAGAGAGAAGCTTGTCAACGGCGCCACTGCATCCTCAAACTGCAGCCTATCTCTGCCATTGTACAGAATAGACTCCGGAATCCCCTGTCTGTCAAACATGGCCATGAGCGAAAGTAGCTTTGCAGAGTCAGGCCACGTCAGTTGGATCTGATCGAACGAAATCTGCCACGTCGTAATCACTGCGTGCCTGATACTGTGATCACGCCGGAGGTCTGTTGTCTCGTTGTTATTCAGTAGACTAGCCTGGTTCGACTCGCTCTCCTGGAAGAGGCTGAGGTATATAGACACGGTAACCCGTGGCCTTGACCGTATGTATGCTGCAGCATGCGTAATCGCCAGTGGGATACCTTCAAGTGCCTGGGTCAGTTCCACTAAGTCTGTTTCCGAACACTTGTTCACCGGAATCTTCGTCTTGAATAAGTCAACGGAGTCCTTCTCTTTCATTGGCTCTACTGATACAAGCTTCCCGAACGTGTCGACGAGGTTGTTGGCTGCGGTCGAGGTACGTGATGTGATGAGGATTGATCCATTTCGCGACTGAGGAAGAAACGACTCTAGTGGTGGCTGCGAGTCAGCTGCTTGGTCGTGCGGTGAGACGCCCGTGGTGACTCCATTATTCCCAAAAAACATGCTTCCGTCGTCGACATTGTCTAGTATCATATGCCATTGTCCGTTTGCTTCGTCCGAAAGCCAATTGTATACCAGGCGTAGCACGTTAGCCTCTGGATTGTGTCGCCCGGGAAGCTCAAGTCTCTCCGCCATCTCCTGATACGCTTGTTCGAACCGGGTCCTGGTACTGGCATGGATCCAGAACACTGATAGTTGCGGTTGGTGCTTCCGCGCTCGGTATGCATACTCAATGGCGATTTGAGATTTCCTGTGCGCATTTAGCCGCTGTGAAGATGGGTGTGATAGCAGACCTACCCAACTCCCCCAAGACCGACTAGTGCATGTCTCCTGTGCTTTTTTGGCGCCTGCTGCTGGCCTCCTAAGTCCAACTGATCTAGAATGTCTTCTCGACCAACAAAGTGCTCGTTTTGCGAGAAGGGAACTATGAATGGTTTGGCCAGTGCCGGACGAACTGAGTGATCAGCAGCATAATACATTACTGGCATATGGTTACATACAGGATCTATCATTGCTCTCGGCCGAGTTTGTTTCCCTGCTCAACAGTCCGGTCCTTATAAACTGTTTTAGAACTCCACAGATCTGGCGGTAATGCGCATCGTCTCTGCTGCTACACCGAGCCATTTCCATATGATTCGCATCGATGGTCTCCACCGTTTCTTGTTCCCTGGCGAGATCGAGCTTCGAGGAAAAGTTGTCCACTACCTGTGCTACATATTAGTTACTACAGCTCCATAGGTTACAGTCTGGTATCTTACTTTGCTGTCTAGACCTTTCATGCCGGAAATCCCCTTCGCCTCTTGGAATGAGTGAACTTTGATAGCACATTTGACAAGTATGGTCTTGAACTCCTCGTGAATATTGTCCAAAACCTCATCGTTGACTTCAAGCGTTTGTACAAGCCGTTTGTTCGAGTCTTGAAGGGCTATGCTCGCCAAGTTTGATGCGATCACCCCCCAACCAGCGTACGTGCTTCCTCGATGTGGCGTCCCAAGAAATACAATCAGCTTTGTCCGTTTGCAGATTGTCTCCGATCTATGTAGTGCCTATATCAGTGTATCAATAGCTGTGGCCCCTCTAGCTGCATGTGCGGGGCCTCACGTCTTTCGTGATGATCCCACCAAGACTATGCGCTACAAACACAATCGGATCCTGTGTGGACACTCGTTAGGCTTATCCAACAAAACATAGAGCAGTCTTGCATGCCTCATTATCAATATCCCTCTCCAACCTGACAGCGAAGTCCTGGCCATGCTGTGAAACACTGTTCTGGTTGTTTGCCTGGAAAAGCCCACCAATGACATCTGCGTTGTACCCGTACGTCCATATTCGAGCCTGAGGAAGGTCCGGCGCGAGATACTCTTCTGGCCAGAAGATATCTGACGGTGGAGAAGTACTCGTCTGCCTCTTGTCGTCGGTCTCTTTCTTGCTCTTCTTCAGCCCCAAGAAGGTCTAGATGTTCTTGTGCTTGTCGGTGCGTGCATCGGTGTCTTCATTGCGACCGGCCGTAGAAGTGGGCCGTGGATGCGACCAAGTCCCGCGTGGATGCCCTCTGAGGCCATGGACGAAGATGACGCTGCTCGTGGTCAGAACGCGCTGTTGTTAAGAGGCGGAACTGGGCGGGGTTGTACTTCAGATGGCGCTGGTCCCCCGCTAGCGCCTTCGCTCTCGGAGAGCAGTGTGACTCCCTCCTGGTGAATCTTCGCCATAGATGAGGGCTCGACAATAAATTGAGATATGTTATAGGCCGAGTCGTAATGCGATAGGATGGGGGAGTCTTGTCAAGGCTGAGCGCTTAGCGTTTCTGGCGCTCTCGTCTTGCATCACGGTAATCCTAATCCTATCACGTGGTGGCACGATAATGACCTGAGCAACAGGTGTGTTGCAGACAAGGCTGAGCGCAAATCACTCTGTCGACCCCCCTTGCCAACCCTCAGCCGTACCTGTAGCGATTAAGGGACGGACTCCGGCCCGCACCTCTGACACGATAGCGCCGACTCTGGTGGGTTTTGGAGACGGTTGGGAGGGGTGGAAGGAAAGCTGGCTCTCCAGAGGCCAGTTGTGGGGCGAGCCGCCAGTTCTGCCTCCCTCGGTACGTACTTCTATCGCTACCTCCATGGTACATGTAGCTGCAAAGCCACAACAAGCCACAGGCCTACCCCGCAGTCCCACTAATAAAGTTAACTAAAAATTCCACGACACTCAATTCGCCTTTTACTGTATATTTGTATGGCAGTTTTAGCATGGAGAATGTGGCAGGAGAGGTTACCGTGGTTGCGATTGTGAATATACGTCATAATAAGGATATTGCCGCCTAAATCGCTCATGTGACAACGCCCGGCGTTCAAATGAAGCGGACGACTCTCTCTGACTTTTGATCCGTTTAAGGGTGATCAAATTATCGTGTGTAAGTGCTTAAAAGATTAAGCAATTACAGCAACCATAACACTAACCACGATGATAGTCGTTCAAGACAGAGATTCCTTAACATCGGCGGTGAAAGGCCATTGCGAGTGTAAGTATCAACTGCATAGCAAGCCTGGACGGGTTCAAGGCTGATTTCGGAAGTACTCCACAGGAATACAGAGAGCTATATAGGGACCATCGGGCTTGACCTCTTCGGTAACATAGACCGCCGACTGCCAAGGCAATACTTCTCAGAACAGAGTATGTCAGCCAACGACGCAGCGCAGCAGCAGCGAATGCAAACCACAGATAACGATGCAGAACAAGCCGTATCTGGGCAAACAGACGAAGCGCAACGCTTTATCTTTGAAGATGTGAACACGGCTGAAGACGCCCACCTTGTCATTGTGTCAACGGCGACGAAAGGAAATCCGATTACAGCCAAGAATATTAGCACTGGGTCTCGAACTTCAAAGTGGCTTGGTCAGATGTCTGACGAATCCCTACAGACGCTCTCGCAGAATAAAGTGGCTATTCCGTCAACCTCTACGAATTCTACTACTAACAACGAGCCAGAGAAACTAGATGTGGAGTTTTTGCAACATGGACCAGGGCGTACACTCTAATGTGAAGTTGGGAAGTGCTTTCTCCATCTTGAAATGATACCGTGGATCACTCTTGGCTGCACGGACATAGGGAGCCTGCCGCAAGAGATTAGAGGTTACCAGAGTTGAGATTGTGAGCATACGTCTTATGTGACGACATCTGATAGTAGTTTGTCCTTCAATGAAAGTAAACGACTCTTGACCTTGGAAGCTTTGAAGGTGACTAATGTACCGTATGTAAGGATCGTCAGGCTTGATCTCTTCAGAAGTATAAACCATCAAACTTCCAACACAATACTTCCCAGAACAGAGCAAGTATGTCAGCCGACGACGTAACCCAGCAGCAGCGAATGCGGTGAGACGATGCTCTCGTCTTTGGAGATGTAAACACAAAAGAGGACACTCACCTATTGGTTGTCTCGATCCGCAGAGATCCGACCTCGGCCAAAAGAATCAGCGTTTGGGCTCGAGCTTCAAAGTGGCTTCGTAAGTTGTCTGATCAATTCCAACAAACGCTTAATCAAGCGCGTCAGAAAGCACCAATGGAGCAGCAAGGCGCGAAAGTCGAAAACTCTAGAGGAGTTAGATTTGAAAATGTCAAAATCGGAAAAGGTTGTGCGATTGCTATGGTTTCAACTAAAGGGGAAGAAGTTTTTGGGAAAGATATCAAAGTCGAGGACTACACATCCTTTAACAGTGGACAAATGTCAGATCAATCTGTGCAAAGCCTTCCTAGGGCTCGTAGCACAATCCTCTACTGAAAATCAAAATAGCAAGGACACGGCGTCTGGCAAACACGGAGTAGGGTGTATTCTTAGGGACGAAAGAAATTGAAGAATCATTTGCGTCACTTTCCTGAAGGCGTAGACGGATATGGACCGTAATGGGAAAATTAGATTAAAATAATTAACGACGCCACTTTTTGCCTCTTCCCTACTTAATTAATTCCTCTACCTACCTAACCCGGGCAAACCATACTACACACTTTGTAGTGATTCCATCTAGTTGCAGAACTGCGAGACAGTTCCGTGAAATTTCTCTGGGTAAATTTAAAAATGCATCCGGTGTTCGAGCCGGACGTCACAGATTCAACAATCAGTAGGCTCGTTAAATCCAAGTCTTCTAACATGCTTTCTCACAAAGTGCCTTAGGACCAGTTGTTCAAGAGATATATTTTGGGTCTCGAAGTCTAATGCCGTGCACCGCCTCTACGTGATTCTTGAAATGGATAACGTTGTTAAGAAGTAGCTCTTCTGCCCTGCAAACTGGATGGCAGCATTCAAACGCCCCTACCGCCTTCTTTTGTAAGTGCCTCTCAACATGGTCCATCATCTTGTCGGGTTTCGAGAATTTGCGCATCCGCCTATCATAACTCTGGCGATCGTCGCCAATGCAGAATATACACTGAGTTTTCTCGCACACCAGAGGGAAAGAATTAGGAACAGGCGATTCCTCCTTCACCTTGGGGGACTCTTCAAGAGAAGATACCGAAGACGATTTGCTCAGCCGCGACTTATGACACTGGACTTCTTGGCGACGAGATAATGCGACCATTGTGTCGATGGCGTGAATCCGTCGCATGACGATGTCGCGTGGATTGAGGCCCTTAGAGAGGTCGCACATGATATCTTGAAGCTGGGTCCGTTCAGGCAGCTGGTGCTTGACGACAGGCTCAACATAAGTCGGTGTGACGACTTTGACCTTCTTGATGATCTTCTCAAGTTCTTCGTTGTGGATACGGTAGAAGTAGTCCCGGCGGTACTCCCTCTTGAGCTCTTGCTCAAGTGTCTTCGTTACCGTAGCAATCTGTCTATTTAATTGACGATATTCTTCACCCGCTTCTGTACCAATCGAGCCCTGAACGAATGCGTGTCCATACAAACGCTTAAGCTCCAAGCGAAGCTCTTGCTGCTCAAGCTTAAGCTGCACCAGCTCTAGGTCGGGCGGGAGAGCATCGCGAAACTCGTCAGGCACTGTCTGAGGCGCACGGGGGTCACAAGTGAGACTCATGTGCGTGAAGGCCCGGAGAAAGCCAGAATCGGTAGGCTGGTCTAGAACTGCATCTTGAACGATAAACCTGACTTTCTCATTGATGTATGATCCGCAAAAGACGCCAGTCTGGGGGTTGTGCCTTAGTATCTGGTCGCGAACTGCTGTCGTGGCAGCCCCTACGCACTTGTTAGTTTAAAGCAAACAATGATCAGTGACGAAATTTACCATCAACAGCGTTTCCTGTGCCTCTTCGAAAACAGTAGCTCGTTATCTTCTGCTCAAAACCAGTCGCCCAGCCGAGACGATCAAGATAATAAGCGTAAGTCGAGTAGCGTAATGCCTTCCACTCCGACGTACGAAACATATCAGACGTGCGTACGGCCTGACGAAATATGGGTCTTTTAAGCATCTCCGGCTTCCAGTGAATCAAGACAGCTTTCGTAGGATGCTGCAGATGACTTGTAAAAAAAGGCTCTGCGTGCGAAGAGCCTTCGACCTCGATAGCATTATCCTTTATTGCGATAGCCAAGACATGGCTGATAGGGCAAAGTATGGGAAGGGCTTCTTCATGAAAGAGGAAGGTCGTGCTAAAGTTGGGAAGTTAGTTGGGATGAGGCAGAGAGATTGTAGAGGGACATACGGTTTCGGTTTCCTATCAGCACCTTTGTGATGGGCGAAAGTGATCTCCATTCCCAGAAGGTCTCGTTCTCCCTGTGTGGGGTTCCGAACAATCCAGAGACGGATATCCTCGTAGCATAGAGTCTTGTATTCCCGTTCCACAGCGTCGAGATCGACGTAATCATCGTCATATTCAGTATCGTTTTTATTAGCCCAAGGCTCTTGTTGTTGATAATTCGGCTCATCTGATCCTTCTTCCTCATCAACACACTCATCTTCATCCAGGTCATTAACGGCATCCCAGACTTCCGTATGTGGACGTTTGCGAGAGGTAGTCTTTCCGCCTGCACGCTTTGCGGCGTCGGCCAGCTCCCCAGGCCGACAACCTGTATAGATAGACAGGAGCATCATCGTTGCGAGCGTTAACCGTTGGTCCTCAGTTGGAAATACGGAAGTATCCCGAGCCCAGAGGTGGGTGAGGAGGAGAAGGATATCGTCTGCTCCTAGCACTGGTTTAGCCTTCATCGTCCGTCTGAGTTTGAATTCGTCTGCCAAGGTCGCATCTAGATACTACAACAACGGCGTCAGTGTCATGTCTTCCATAAGTAACATAGAATACAAGAGCATACCTTGAACACCTCTTTTGCGTCGTTTGTATCCATGTGACGCCCATTGACCCGATTGTAGAGTTGTTTGAACTGAAGCAGGTACTGGTGGACCGAATTGAACGCCTTAACTTTATAATTCTCGCAGATAAAGCAGAGGAACGACATCGTCTTTCCCCTATCGCATTGCTCGATAGCTCCTCGCACGTCGTCCACACCCTGAAAAGCGCAAAACCTTATCTCGAGTAAGTAATAGGAGCCTTGAAGGGGGCGTTGTTAACTTACTTAGACCACTTGCGCCATATGCCTCGGACATTCTCCTTCGTGGCTTCAGCATCCTTGGGTTTCTGAGATTTGGTGTTGAGCTCCTGACCCATGACCCGGTAGTCTTCGGCGGTGCGCTTAGGCTTCTTTGGTTGTTGAGCATGTCTTGTTCGATTAGTGACGAAATGTATCAAGTTCTGCTTTGGAGAGGGCAGTTGCCGGTTGGCCATTCGTCTGGTGGACATGATGTGCGATTCACCGGTAGCCTTAGGACAACGAAATGAACGCAGAGGTCCGCAGACAGAGTCGTGGGGAGCCTGCCTTCACGAGACGAGGATCTATCAGACTGACTTGTGCAAAGGTGTGAGACGGCAAGCTTTTTGGAAGAGATGGTGCTTGATGTCGGCCGTGGGATTGCAAGGTACTTAAACAAGTGAGCAGTTCAAGCGACTGGGGTGGTGCCCCCCGTGTGCTGGCCCTCATAATCATGATGGCTAGTGGTACCTTGGGGCAAGCAGAAAAGAGAGAAACAGAAAGCAGAAAGTAGACGCAGGAAACAGGAACGGGGACCTTGAAGGGTCCGGAACCGATGCGGGCCGTGATCACGTGTCTGCAGATCGAGGATTTAGCGAGGGGTAGAGGGTGCGTAAAGCAGCAACCGCGTCCTGCCGAATTCAGCAGCTCCGACCCCGGGAAGTGGCTTTATTCTATAATAAATCCGTGGCGCCCCCCTTACCTTATCGATCTACATCTCCACGATCCGCGATAACTCTAATTTTTTTATTCTGCCAGGGATCCCTCCGCGACGTCGGGACTAGCCGCCGATTTTTTTTTGAAACCTCCCCGACATCACTTCCCTCCCTAACATCCCCCCCCAATTGAACACCCACACACCTCACCTACGCAGCGGAGGACAGCCCTCACCAATCCCCTCACGATGAGCTTCCTACCGCGCCTCTCGCGCACCCCCCTCGCCCTCCGTACCCTCACGCGCCCAACCCTCCCCCGCGCCCCAGCACGCCTCACCCGCCTCTCCTCCACGACCAGCACCCCCCCTCCCCCCTCCCGCATCGTCACAGCCCTCAAGCGCCTCGTCACCACCACCTTCCTTACCACCGCTCTCCTCATAACCTACCTCTCCGCAACCGACACCCGCTTCACGGCGCTACACCGCCATCTCATCGTCCCCTCCCTCCGCTACCTTGTCCCCGACCCCGAACGCGCCCATTCCGTAACCCTGACGGCCCTCTCAACACTCTATACCCTCGGTCTCCACCCCCGCGAGCGCGCTCACGCTGCCGGACCAGATCTGAGCACCACAATCTTCGGCCACGTCCTCACCTCCCCCGTCGGCACCTCTGCCGGAATCGACAAGAACGCCTCCGTCCCCGACGCCCTCCTCGCCCTCGGCGCCGCATACACCGAAGTCGGCGGCATAGTGCCTAAGCCGCAAGCCGGAAACCCCCAGCCGCGCCTCTTCCCTCCCAAAACGCCCTGATCAACCGCTTCGGACTCAACTCCCTCGGCGCCGACGCCGTTGCTGCGCGTCTCCGCGAGCGCGTCCGTCGTTACGCCATCTCTGCCGGCTTTGGCGGTGGTGATGATGGCGAGCGTCGTGTCCTTAATGGCGAGGCTGGTGTACCACCGGGATCGCTGGCGGAGGGGAAATTGATGGGTGTGCAGATTGGGAAGAACGCGAGCACGCCCGATGATATTGACTCTGTCGTCGCGGATTACGTGTACTGTGTTAAGCGCCTCGCGCGCTACGCTGATGTGCTGGTTGTCAATGTCTCCAGTCCCAATACCGCGGGGCTGAGGGACCTCCAGGCGCAGGCGCCGTTGACGGCGATTTTGAAGGCGGTTGTTAAGGCGGCGGGGGAGACGGATAGGAAGGTGGTGCCGAGGGTTATGGTGAAGGTTTCCCCTGATGAGCGGGAGGCCAAGCAGGTAGAGGGAATCTGTAACGCGGTGTGGGACTCGGGCGTTGACGGAGTCATCGTTGGAAACACCACTAAGAGGCGGCCGGCGCCCGTTCCGGCTGGGTTCATGCTGCCCGCGGAGGAGGAGCGGATACTGAGGGAGGAGGCGGGCGGGTATTCGGGACCGCAGCTGTTTGAGGGGACGGTGGATCTGGTGAGGAAGTATAGGGAGGAGTTGGATAAGGGGAAGGGTGGGGAGAGGAAGACGGTGTTTGGGAGTGGGGGTGTTACGAATGGGAAGGAGGCGTTGAAGGTTTTGGAGGCAGGGGCTGATATGGTGCAGGTTTATACCGCGTAAGTTTCCTTCTTCCTGAGCGCTTTTTGTTTTACTCGCGAAGCCCTTTGGGGGATGTTTTCCGAAGACATAATAGCTGACAAGAACCAACAGACTCGTCTACGGCGGCGCTGGAACGCTCACAAAGATCAAGCATGAGATGCGCAGGGAGATTGACCGCAACACACCGCGCAGCGACTAAACTAAACTAACCTCCCACCTCCCTTGAGGAAGACGTATGTGAGAAAGAGAGAGGGAGAAGATTATACCTAGAGTGTTGTATCAAGTAGCCTAGACATTGTATAACAAAAAAAACCAACAAAGTTTCAATTACCATCCAAATTAATCATCGGATGAAGCAAGTTGTCCTTCAACCCGGGATCAGATGAGCAAGTAGCTTCATATATTAGTCTATACTATATAGGAAGGTCCCTTTGGTTGTTGCGTAACGTGTACTAACTCGAACAGTATGGCGCAGGTTGCATGCCTGGCAGGGGCAGCGTCTCCCACCTTAGATTCGCCCAAGGCGTAAAGCAAATTAACGCATTTCACCACTATGAAATCAATACAAACATCTCAATCCATCCCAACACTTCAAGAAACATGGCCTCCTCATTCAGCTCAGAGCGTCTAATCTACCGCGGACTAGAAGGCACGCCGCGCGACAAAGCCTTCATCCTCTCCATCCTCTCCGACCGCACCAGTTCCGAGAACACAACAAACTACCTGGTCAAGCCAGCGTCTTCAGCGGATGTAGATAGTTTCATGCGCGGATTCCGCGAAGCTTTCCTCGGAGTCCTGGTCTGCACCCCCAATCCCTCCGCTCCGCAAACCCCGAATATCATCGGATACGTAAATCTCCAGCACACGCATCCGCACCATAGGAGTTGTACGATGAGTATTCGGATCCGCCCAGAGGCGCAGGGGAGGGGTTATGGGTATGTTGGAGGGAAAAGTATTTGAAGATAGAGGGATGAATTTGCGCGCCACAGCAGCCACAACGCTGGTCGATTTCTCACATGGTAGTGGGGGCTTAAAACTCGGATGAGACCCTTATATATATAAGGCATAGTATGAGCTCTATGATGGAGTTATGGCGATGGGATCTGTTGCACTGTAAAGGGAAATGTGACGGGGTGTCCTATGTAAGGGGTTGGCTTGTCCAGCCAACCAAAGCCGTTCCCCAAGGGGCATCAAAACACAGTTACTAACCCGCCAATTAGTCAATCTAGACTTTGCGCTTCCCCCGAAGAACATTAAACTCAGATAATATTCCTCAATGCGGCTCCTTGATCTCCCACGCGAGCTTCTACTAGTTATTGGACGCGAACTCCATTCACAAAGCGACCTAGCAACATTCTTAAGGGCAAAGCGATACCTCTACAGTTTACTAACCCCCGAGCTCTACCACCGCCGCGATGGAGCTCCGAAATACCTGCTCTGGGCGGCAACGATGGACCGACCCGAAACTCTAGAGAGAGCGCGGTCCCTTGGACACCACGGTGCGGATTATACTGCAGCACGTTTTACGCGACCGGATTCGCTGAAATTGCTGATTGACGCTGGTTACGATGTCAATCTGAAGAGTTTCGATTGCGGATACACGCCGCTATACGAAGGTTGAGCAGGAGGCGCTTAGATGCCATGAAAGTCCCGCTCGACGGAGGTGCGGATGCGAATGCTAAGCTGGACAATGGAACCACCCTGCTTCATGCCGTCGCCGCCGCCAAGGAGGTATTTGTTGATATGGTGCGGCTCCTCGTTGAAAAAGGTGCTAATACGGCAGCACGGGATGGCCATGGCAGGAGTCCGTTGGATGTGGCTATGGCAGCGGGAAATTATGATGTTAAGGAGTTGCTTTCAGGAAATTGGCCTGTTGGCTTACATCTAAACCCTGAATAACAGGCGCCTTATGAGCACCTAGAAAGGCTGATAGGTGCAGGGAGGGGCTGGAGGCTGGTAAATGAGAATGATCGAAGTGAGCTCTGCACCCATATATATATATACCCCGCACCTTTTTTTTAAAATAACGGAGACTTATCTTTGCTTCAGTCCCATCTGTGCGGTTAAAAAGGAGGATGAGATGCGATGTATTTTGAGTAGTGAGGGCATAGTTCAGCAAACCAACACACCATCTACAGTCGCGCCCCGAGATGATGAATTCACACAAGTGACCCGCTGCCGCACCCCTAGCGAGGGGTGCGAATACGTCGCCGACGTCGACGACGTAATTGCGTGCTACAACTATCTCGTGGCCCTCGGCGACTATACCTGCAGAGAGCGCGAGCTCTGCAGGATCGGCAGCGCTAAGATCACGGGTATAAGCTAGAACGGGCATACATGTACTTGGGGTGTTCCTTTCCTTTTCACTACCGTGAAATGCGTGAGCTGTTACACGACAGGCACAAACTGTTGAACTACAGCGTCAGTAGCGATCTATAACGTAGAATGGTAGGGCCTCAGTCAGTGATCCGTGAATGCATGTTTTATTGATCTAGCTACCGTGTCTACTATATATATGTGTAATAAGCTGAGCTCAGAGGGCAGCTACAGCTGTCTATTTCCTAATTAGGAAAGTGTGATCCTTCGTCCTTCGTGCTTCTTGTGGTGGTTGTGAAGATTGGAAGGCACGACTCACGTGCTTCCCTCCGGGCACAGAGTGCGAACTCCACACAAACTCGCCCAGCAGTCCTTCCATTTCTGGCTCAGGTCTTGTCCCATACTTCGACGTCTTCGAGCTCTTCGGGTCTGCCCTAGTCTTGCATCCAGTATGACAGCACCGCCCGGCGAGTATCCACCGGATCTCGCCGCGTTATTCACATCCGGAATTGGCGTCGAAATTGTGGAATGAGAGGTGGCTTCCTGCGTCGAACTCATTTGTGTCTATTGAACTCGTGAGCTGAGTTGGCACTGTCTCGTATGGAAATGTCGGTGACGAGGCTCATCAGTGACGACTTCCGGAGAGAGTTCATTCAGCTATAGACTTCTTCGGCTCCCGATACGCGTTCAGGGCCGAATGAGGTTGGCATCTGTAGAAATGACTACTCTCTGCTTCACCACCAATCTCGCCAGCTCCGTCTTAGCTTGACCTATGTCTGATGCAGGTATCTTCTTGCTGCTCTTTCCATTCTGACACTTCCCTTCTTCGTGAGACCAGCCAAGCTTTCGTTTCCGATTTGGAGATAGAGTTCCGAGTACCGCTCGTGGGCGTACGAACTCGGCTCGTTCAAAGTCAATCCAGGTAATTCCTGGCCGATCCGGGTGGACGAGAATGTTCCGGGCTGCTGGATCACCCTGCAATACTCCCAACTGATGTATGGCATGCAGACCGGAGATGGCGTCGTCAGCGAGAGTTTGTGGGATTGGCGATCGTAATTGGAATCCTCCAAAGCTTAGAAACATCATATAGACAATACGAACGGCTCCTGCGTAGTATAATATACTGTCCACTTTCGTCTCTCCTAGGTGCACAGGTACGCACTTCCCCTGAATAGGAAGGAGACGACGGTAAATTGTCGATTCGTGCATCAGATCTTTAACACACTCAATCCCGGTGCCTTTCGCGGCAACGGCGTACCCAAATCCAGGTAACTTGACCTTGAAAAAAGCTCCTCGAGCTCCATGAACGTTCATTGCCACACAATAGTCAAGCTGATTGCGCAACAATATGTCGCATGAATGTATTACGGTCGAGTTGATGATGACCTTTTCCATGTTCCTTGACATTCGGACACTGCCAATCGAGTTCTCCCCCATCTACCATACCCATTAGGCAGTTTGGCGTACAAAATCGACCCAAGTTCTTTTGCCGATGAGTCTCGCTAGAAGCCCCCTTTTTCCCACCACCTTTGGTCCCACCACGTTCGGTAGATTGTGATGGTGGGTTGGGGGAAGTAATAGGGTTTCCGCTTTTTGGAGGCCGTTGAGGACGACTTGGTGTGTCGGGATGATGGTTGTCATCATCGCTGCTGAAAGAAGACGTCACCGAAGCACAACTTCCCACGTATATGTTCTTCCTACGAGGTCGGAATTGGATCGGTGGCCGTATAATATCCTGAGTGACCCTTGGTGAAGGGCGATACTCCGAAGACAGAACTTCCTCATCGGCGACGGCATCCTCGACCTCCTTAACGACGACATTCCATGTCTTGAGCTGACGCAGAGCTTTCCTTATCCATTGTGCACTGCGTGGAGGCGTTTTAAGCGCGCGAAGAGTAAATGCTACAGCCTGACCAACTGCGGTCATATGCAATCGATTGGGCTCGTTTCCACGCTCGTCCCAGCCAGTGGACGCCCCGACATCTCCCTTTGGAACAGATAGAGAGTAGTACACGGTCAAGAGATCGTCAGGAATGCGCAGGAATATCGTTGCTTCACCAGTGTAGATCTCGCCATATTCCACCCCAGCCTTCACCATATATGAGAAGCGTTGCATAATCACAGCGGCCACCAAACGACGACAGCAAATTGCCACACTTTCATTCTTGCTTACTTCCACAACCTCGTCCAGGTTCATCTTGGCAAGACCTTTATAAATATGCCCTAAGGTCAACTTATGAGGAGCTTTGTATTCGATCGTTAGCGCGGTCACTCAGCGCTCAGTCTCTACCTCACCACTGACATGTTACGGCTAAGTCTTAGTTGGGCGCTAGGGTACAAATCACTGGAGCGATCAACCAACTGATATATCAAGAATGGCTTCAATAGAATATATATTGTCTGGAGAGCAACGTCCTGAGCCAGTGCCAGGATGTTGCACTCGGTGAGTAAACTAAGCCTATATAGTTCTATATGTGAGACATCTACATGAGAATATCGAACACGTGACATGAACAGCTTCAGCCCCAACTGAGACACCCCCTCAGGTAACGTGGAGATATCAGGAAACTGAGCTCAAATAGAAGGTAATTCAAAGGCACGATCAACGTGTGTCGTCAATAGTTCGGTGTCGCAGAGTGCCTGCCAACCTGCCTGTCCGTTCGCGTCTGTTCGCCGTGACATTTGACTCCTGGATCTATAGCTTTTGAATATGGTCTCGGAGGTTCACCAGGTTGAGCTGTTGGACAAATACGTCGTGTTTTTGCTTTGGAAGAGCCTTCGTAAATCCGTCGGCAGGCATCTATCCTGTTGGCATCCATTCCACATGAATGGCGCCAAGATCCACCTGCTCACGCAGCCAGTGTCCCAGTATATCGACGTGTTTCAGCTTCGTGATTAATCTGGGAGCTGACGAGTTGAGGAGCCTCACTGTCTGTAGATTGTCGCAACCAATTGTAGGATCTTCGTGAAGGTCTAAGTCGACCGATTTGAATAGTCTCGTCCACCAGATAAGCTCCTTCGCAGCCTCTGAGACGGCGATGAACTCAGCTTGAGTCATCGATGTGGAGACGTGTGTCTGTTTCTTGGACATCCAGGCGATAGGTCCGTTAAACAGCTTGAATAGAAAACCGTGGGAGCTCTTGCGGTTAGGATTGTCCGCAAATGAGGCATCGCTCGAAGGTTGGAAATAGCGCTTCACGCCCTGAGTCGTATTGTCCTTCAATTCAGTCATACTGTCCTTCGATCCCACCCCCTCAGGGGCTGCGGGCATAGGATGAGACGTGAAAATAGCCTCATAAGGCGTTTCCTCATCCGTATCGCCATATTGGATACCTAGCGTCCGAGTTCCTGACAAATAGCTTAGGAGTCTATATGCAGCAGAGTGGTGATCAGGGCCAGGATTCGTGAGAAACTGAGAAAGCTTTGCAACAGTGAATGAAATATCTGGTCGAGTCTGAATCGCGGCGTATAGGCATGAGCCTATTCTCTGCTGATAGCCCAGAATCTGTTCTGGGGTCGCCGTGCCTTCAAAAGGGCGTAATTCTTGAGGAGAAAGTGGTGTCTTCGCTGGAGGTCCGTTTATATTAAATTTCTCAACCAGCTTTTCAATATACTGTTTTGTGGAGTGGTATGGTTCGTATGGACTTTGTGTCCTTTCCAACCTGGACTTTGATGTCCATGGACCGGAACCCTTCAATCCTTACTCTCTGGTCTCCAGCTAAGAGGTAGTTTCCGTCCTCACATTCCTTTAGGTTGTAGAACCTCATACGGTCGTTACAGACATGAATTGCAGCTCCAGAATCAAGGATTGTGCTCCTTGCCCAATCCAGCAAAATACCGAGAGCTAGTACTATCATTTGTAGTATCTAACAACTTGCCCTTACGCATTGTCAAAAGCTATTCATATCGTCAGTTAATACAGTTCTTAAGCCCATCTGTATTATCACTTTCCTCAAGGACATTACACAGAGAGCTACAACGCCAATTCTCATATCACTGAGGCATACTACAACTAGAACTCCACTCTCATATTTTAAATGGAGGCTGGATATCTATAACGACAGATGCATGGTCTGCTCAGAACTATACTGAGTATGCTGCTGTTACTGCTCATTGGATTAATGAGAAATGGCAACAAAGGTCAAAGTTGCTTGATGTAATACATCTTCAAGAGCCTATTCACAGCGGCGAGTACTTAGCTGAGCAGTTAGCTACAGTAACAGACAGTCTAGACATCACAGGTGCAATCTTTACATGCACACGAGACAATGCATCAGCAAACACTACAATGCTCTCAGAATATGAGAAGTTAGCAAGCAACTGTCAAACATCAACTCAACAACCTTGGACATTTACTGTTAAAAAGGCGACGTTCGGTGCATTGCACATATTATAAGTATTGTACAAGCTGCTCTTAAGAGCTTAAAAGCTGACGCAGATACAGAGACAGAAGCATACCAGTGTGAGCAAGGTGCAGCTGAGATTCCACATACTAGAGATACTCATGTAACGTAAGTCGTGGCGTAACTGGGAGAATGGCGTAAACGGGATAGTGGGGGAAGACCAACCATGAAGAAAGCGAAAAACAGAGTATTACTACTTCAGTATTCAACTATAATGCAGTCGTATTCTTCTTCTGGGTGATCTTCCTCCTCAACATCCTTAGTTTGGTCGGGTACAGTGATATTTGTCGCTGTCTTGCCTTTGGTGGTCGCTTTCTGTCAGGTGGCCTCCTTGGCCTCGATGACTTGGGAGCGTAATTTCCGTAGTTATGTGGAATTGGCCCTTTAAAATTGCGCGTTTCCCTTTGCTCTGTGCTGTCCTTGATTACATTCTGGACCGTAGGTTATCTGCCTCGCTTTGGTGTAAGAAGTTGCGTGTGTTGAGTCGCTCAGTCTCATCTGCCAGCCGATGGATATATCGAGTGGTGGGAGTATTTAGGATTGTACGTGTCTCCAAAGCCGCAACCAAGACAGCATTTGCTTTGCGCAATGTAGAACAGTCAGGTGGGCTCCTGTTCTGAAAGACAGTGTCGAAAATATTGTACTCAGTTGGTGTTTTTGGTCAGTCATCTGTCGCATCTGTCTGTGAAAGTGTCACCATCTGGATCACCCGTTGAGGTTGGAAAGGTCGTAGACCAGCGCCCCTCCACGCAGACATAGTATTATGAGTAGATAGTGCAATTGCTCTTGCTTTGATGTATGCAGATAACCATTCTGCTTTCTGTATGCGTGTAAGTTGCGCTTCATTCAAGTGTGAGAGCATAGTTGTGAGGTGTTTTTTCAATGGCCGAAGAGTGCGACATCGAGCGGTTGCAGCACATGTGAAGTGTGTGGTGGGAGGACAAGGATAGAAATTCGATTTTGCATACAATGGGATATAAAGCCTCCACTTATATGACTATTGTGGCCATCGCATATGAGTAACCGTTGTTGTTGTCCTCCATTGACTGTCGCTTTTGCATGCGTTGCTGGTTCAAACACGCATTTTAGCCACTCGATGCCATGTAAGTTGCTTGTCCAACCCTTTGTATTAGCAGAGAAGTGCCATTTATCGAAGACTTCTGGAGAGATCCAGCTTTGTAAGACATTCTGACCCTTGAATATAATAAGAGGGTTGATGGTCGTTCCATCCATGCAGATGCATTCGACAGCGGAAACCCACTCCTGCTGGCCTTGGTGTACCTGGTGACACGTACGGAGTGTGGAATCAACGATGATCTGAGTGCACTCCATAGTGCCAATCGAAAATCCAGTCTCGTCCATGTTATACATGTTATGTTCTTGTATTCTGTAAGGACACAGGGCACCCAGCTCACAGTAATAGCATATGAGAGTGCAAGTCGGAGGCTAAACGGATGCTATCCTATAGGTTTACTACGAAGGATACAAAAAAGATGATGAGGAACCCCGTTGGGTCAATCTCCTTGAGTACCCGAAACGGGTCTGACTCGGCTAACCGGCCCTAACTCTCCCCACGTGACCGTAACCATCCAACTCAGATCCCTTCCATCTGTAAGGATGCCTTCTCGTCTCTCACTCTAAGGAGCAGACTCTGAGTAGCTGCGGATCACGTGTGATCATTTGGGCGGGCTAACCGAGTCGGATGGGTTTCGGGTACTTGAGGGAAATGACTCACAAGGTTCCCCCTGGTCACGTGTGATCATTGGGGTGGGCTAACCGAGTCGGATGGGTTTCGGGTACTTACGGGAATTGACTCACGGGGTTCCCCCTTCATCTTTTTTGTATCCTTCATAGTAGACCTATAGGATAGCATCCGTTTAGCCTCCGACTCGCACTCTCATATGCTATTACTGTGAGCTGGGTGCCCTGTGTCCTTACATTATACAAAAAAGATCACGCCTGCCAGGGACGGCCGTACTTCAATAATATCCCACACCATAATGACTCAGGAGAACTACCGTTACACCATCGACTGCGGCTCGGTGACGTTTCGGGGGAGAGACCTGACCACTTCAAATAGCCATGATTCCAGAGATCTCACGGACAGCCAGTGGATCAGGGTTTGATTCTTCAGAACAAGCTGGTAAAGTCGCTGACGCGTTGGCACCAAATAGGATACGAGATCCTTAACAACCCCCTCCTAGCACAGAGGAAATTGTGGACAAGAGCGTTGATAGCTACGAGCTACCAGAGTCAAGCTTATTCGTATCGGCACCGTACACACCCGAGGAAATATGTCGAAAAAGCTGACATCAAACATACCCCAAGACAACGACGGTCAACTGCCCAGAATGATTACCAGACAAACCACCACTGCAGCAACGACCGCTGTGCCATCCGAAGACATCCCAAGTCGAATGGCCCACCTCGAAGCACAGATACAGGAGGTCAAGGATCTACTAGTTACCCTGACCGCAGCCCAGACCAGAATCCCGTCCACACCGCCGGTGGACGCTCCCATACCTACAGTCGAAGCTACGGAGCAATGAACGCCTCACACACGAAACACCCCTGAGACGGTTCAATTGCCGCTTCTTCGGAACACTCGTTCTCCATCTATTCCAAGGTCATCATGAATGCTCACCGAGGACCCTCCGAATCACTATAAGAAATCAACCATCCCTGAGAAAATCCTTCATCTCAGCGATGGGATAGAACATACCTTCCTACAATGGAGTGCATCAATTCGAGATCGACTCATAGTCAATGACCCACTACCTTACCGACTGTCATACTGACATTCGTTGCACTCAGTTTGCTATCAAACTCAAGAGCAAACTTGGAAATCTCCTCCTCAAACCTACAAGTCACTATACATATTTTGGCTTATCACACCAACAACAAGAGCAATACTACTCAACGATTGCTACAACCATCTATGATTCATTACACATCATCGCTCCTTAGTTACTGGGCCGATATTACCACATAGCATATCTCTACAACCCTCTATGATTCATTACATGACATCACTCATACTACCACATGACATATCTCTACCAACTAGAGGCCTAGGAGCATTAACGATAGCTCTAAAAGCTCCTACGAACCTCTATGATTCATTACATGTCATCGCTCTTTAGTTACCCACAAGATTGGTTAAGTTATGACATAATTTGTCTATAGGGGTACTCTGACCTTGGACCTCCTTTAACTTCCTATAGGCTAGGAACCTAGGAGATGGTTCTATGGGATTCTCTTACGTCGACTACAGTTACCAAGCCTGGTTAGTTATGGAAAGTCTTGGAAAATGAGAGAACTACACTCCTTTAGCATAAAGAGGATTGCCCTTTCCTTAAGAAAGGGCAAGCAGACAATACAGTAAATCGACTATCACATACTTCCACGTCTTTTCCAAGCTTCCAAGCATTGATCTTGTTACTCCTTGTTTCTGAAAATTAACAGTCGAAGAACGCCAGATATATAACTGCCCCTTTGTACTCCTGGACCTCGGAGCACAAGATGTGATAATTGGGAAGAAGCTTTTCAGCCGCTCCCGAATACTACTCGACTCTGCAAAGAGCCGGTTAGTATGGCCAAAGGAGTACCCACCGACTCCTAGCTAGAGCAAGGAGATCACCTTGCCCTACTACATGTGAGAAACGTCCATTCGACATCCCGCATACCAGCTGGATGCAAATCGCAGGGATGCTGCAATCCACCGCGAAGACAGACGCCGCGCAGGCGGACGCTCAATGGACATGAAAGTGATAACTTCAGGCTATGAAGAGATCACCGATATGCCCCCGAGTCCTACCGGAAACCAAGAGGTTTCTCCCCCACTACTAGTGAAACTGGTACCTAGTTTCACACCCATACGGATATGCGAAATCAGTGCCAATGCCTTCCATCACGAGATGATGCGAAGCGACTCCGAGTTCTTTCAGACTAGCATCTACGAAATTGACCAGATCATCCATGAAAAGGAGTTGGTAGAGGACGAAGAAACGCTCCGCCTCATCCAGCAGAAGCTTCCGCATATGCACCAGAAGTACACTGATGTCTTTTCGAAGTTGGAATCGGATCGAATCCCCCCACACTGCATATATGACCATAAGATACAGCTCGAAGCCCCTTTACCAAATGCTTTCTCCCCGTTATATCGACAGGGCACCGAAGAGCTTAAGGCTACCAAGCAATACCTGTTAGAGAACCTAGAGAAAGGCTTCATCGTCAACAGCAACAGCCCCTTCGCGTCCCCTATCCTATTCGTAAAGAAAGCGGATGGCAAATTAAGATTTTGCATCGATTACCGGAAGTTAAACGGTCTCACCCAGAACGATCCCTACCCCATCCCGCATATCGATGAACTACTAGGACGGGTGTCGAAAGCAAAAATCTTCACGAAGCTAGATATCAGACAAGCCTTCCATCGCATACGGATGCACCCCGACTCGGAAGTACATGACCTTTCAGACTCGCTATGGATCCTATAAGTGCAAAGTGCTGCCGTTTGGACTAACGAATGGTCCTGCAACCTATCAGCGGTATATGAATGATGTCCTGATGCAATACTTAGACAACTTCTGTACCGCATACTTAGACGACATCCTAATCTATTCAGAGGACCCTACAGAACACATAGAGCATGTGCATAAGGTCCTACAGCATCTCCGAGAAGCTGGACTCCAAGTCGATTTGAATAAATGTGAGTTCAACGTCACCAGGACAAAATACTTGGGTTACGTTCTCACTACCTCCGGTGTCGAAGCGGACCCTGACAAAATCGAACCCCTTCGTAACCGGATCTGACCGACCACTGTTACGGGTGTGAAGTCCTACCTGGGATTCTGTGGCTTCTATAGACAATTCATTCGCAATTTTGTCAAAATAGCAAAGCCCCTCACCACCATCACTAGTCCCTCGGAGCTGTTCCGATGGACAGACGAATGCGAGGCTGCTTTTGAGGAATTGCGCCAGCAACTCCTAGCAGTACAGGCACTTCACCACATCCTTACATATTCCTAGACGCGCCACAAGGTCCTTGTACGCATCAAACCACCATGTTAACACATCTTTGGTAACCCCACTCATTCTTTGTGCTTCGACCCGTCTGCCTAGTTGGATTTGTAGATGCGGATGTCATTTTATAAAGCGTGGGACCCAATATTGTCCGAGGGGAAAGTTCAGAATCTGTTCGTGTTGCGCATATTGGGCGGGTTGAGTGTTGAGGTGCGATGTTTCGAAAACGCGGCATCGGTTGACACGGATTTCATCAGCAATATCCCACAATATATGGTGACTAGGTGCATATCCACTAATTGTTAGCACCTTAATCCACTTTGTCTGCTCCTTCGCTGGTGATAGCAGCTGTTGTTGTTGTTGAGCTACTCTCTGTGACAGTTTCCCTTTGATGCGTTGAAGGACTGTGTCTGGCCGGAGGTGTAAAGCCTTTGCAGCACCGTACGAAGATTTGTATAATCCAGATTTAACTCCAGCAAAGGCTTGTGCTAATAAACTTCTAGTTCTTCGGCTTTTTGGCTACGCTTTCACACCATGTTGGTAGTTTACATTGGTTTGGTGATCCTCTCGATATTCCCCCACTATCCCATTTACGCCATTCTCCCTGTTACGCCACGACTTACGTTAGAGGTTATGAACACTCTGGAAAAATTACGAAGGCATATTTATGTATTCCGCAATCGACAAGCATGGAAGGATGCTTTACAATGGCAAACTAAAGCAGCAGTCTTAAAGCCACAGCAGTTATCACTTGATATGCCTGTGCATTGGAATTCAACATATCATATGCTTCATACAGCACTAAACCTCCAAATACCAATTACAGCAGTTTGCACAACGCAGCAACTTGATATTAGTATGCAAGACATTGCATTAACTACAGAAGATTGGGCCATTATGAAGGATCATGAACAACTGTTCTTAATATTCTTAAAACCATCAAGACGACTACAAAGTGATTCTTATCCAATACTAAACTTTGCTATTCCACTTTATTTAAAAATGATCAATAAAGTCAAGAAGATGCAACATGATGTTGGCGAGCACTCTTCAATTGGTATTGAATGCGCAGCTGCGTATCTAAAGCTTCATGAGTATTATACTCTTGCAACAAACCAACAATGCAAGCACTCAGCTGTAGCTACAATTTGTGATCCACGGATGAATCATATCATATTTAAGAAGATTTATCCAGACAGTATAGATGATATACGAAGATCACGGGCAAGAGCTCAGTTTGAAGACGTCTGCAGAAAATACAAGACACAACAATATCATCTTGATACAGAGCGCATTGAACATGAAACAGCACTTTCATTTGCATTAGGAAATGCAAATAACAGAGAACAAGACCCGGATTCTGATGAAGACTTATTTGCATCAGAAGGCATATCATTTGAAGAGCCAGAATGGAAACGGGGGATGCTTGAACCACGGCCAGGTGAGCATACAGACATCTTTAAATATTGGTCTTCAAAGCAATATCAGTATCCAATAGTTGCTCAAGTTGCTTGAGACCATCTAGCAATTCCAGCAACATCTGCCCCATCAGAGCGGGTATTTAGCAATGGCAGTGATATTATCACAAAGAAACGAAACAAGTTATCACCATTAACAATTAGATATCTACTCTGCTTACGGAATTGGGGTCAGTTGCCAGATGCTGACAGCGACAGGGATGATGCAGATGACGAGGCTGAGAAATAAGGCTTATTTGCAGTATTATATTTTGTTATAGGTCGCGGGTTGTCACTTCTATAGCGCCACATTTCATTGTCTACAGTAATTATCAAAGCTTCATTTTTCTTAATTGAGGCTCAAATACCTGTTAAAGTATCTGTAAATACCTACCTTACCTGGGCAAGGTCGCCTAGATACTTACCTTACCTGGTGAGGATTTAGATACTACCTGGGTAGTATCTGCCGAACACTGGCCTTGACCAAGTTATATACCGCGCACATATAGGCCATCGTCCTTGCGCATTCATAGAATATACAACCTACGTGTATTTATCACGCTATATTATTAACTACAGTCAATCTCCGTTCAATCTCTCCAACTAATTATATCATTTATTTCCACCCCTTAAGCTTCTTCATAGACCCTTCCTGGTCAAGAGCCTTATGCATATCAAAGCTCTGCCACAACAAGTGTGGCTCATGCAGCCAACCTCTCTTCGTGCACTCGAATTCCGCCTTGGCAATATAGTCCTCCAGCATGGGCCTATACTCTGGATGCGCGCACTTGTTCACAATGACCCTCGATCTCTCCTTGGGGCTTAGTCCTCGTACATCAGCGAGGCCCTGTTCGGTAACCACGACATCCAGATCGTGCTCCGTTTGGTCAACATGGGTGGCCATTGGCACGATGCAGGAGACTCCGTGGGGGTCGATCTTGGAGGGACGGGTGGATGGAGTGTGCATAATGGAGTACTTGCTGTTTCGCAAGAAATCAGCAGATCCGCCGATTCCGTTCAGCATTCGCGAGCCCATAACGTTGGTTGAGTTGGCGTGGGCATAGATGTCAACTTCCACTGGGGTGTTCATTCCGATGACACCTAGGCGGCGAATGATCTCGGGTGAGTTGGAGACTTGCTGGGCGCGGAGAAGGAGTTTGTCGAAGTAGTTATCCCAGCCATCATAGAAGCGTTTGAAACCGTCAGGGGAGAAGCGGATTGAGGTTGCAGTGGCAAACTCAAGCTTGCCTGAATCGAAAAGGTCGAGGAAGGTGTCCTGCAGGACTTCAGTCCAGACGCGCAGGTCCTTGAAGTTAGATTCAGCAAGGCCGCCGATGACAGCGTTGGCAATGTTTCCAATGCCAGATTGGATAGGTAGGAGGTCTTCTGGTAGACGGCCGTACTTAACTTCGTGCTCCAGGAACTCTATGAGATGACCAGCAATCGCTTTCGAGCCTTCATCGGCGGGGTTGTTAGGCTGGGTCTGGTCCTGATAGTTCGACTCGACAATTGCTACAATCTTCTCAGAGTCAACTGGGATGTAATTCGTGCCAATACGATCTTCAGGGGCCATGATGAGATAGGGCTTGCGGTTCGGCGGGAGGTCCATCATAGTAATATCATGGAGGCCCTCGAACGAGGGCATGGATGTGTTGACCTCGACAATAATCTTTCTCATGGTCAGTGAACTCTCGCAAGCATCGCATATTCAGTCTCCTGACAGAACTATCAGGCGACCTGAGCATTGGGGATACAATGACATACCTTGTCGGCCATTTGGATCAACTCTGGAGTAGCTCCGACAGAAGCACCTGGGATAATGCCCCCGGTTTCCGTGATGGCCGTAGCCTCAACGATTACAACATCGAGCTTAGGCTTCGGCCTGTCTTTGGTATAAAATCCCTGCAGTCATGTGAGCATTCCTTTTTGGCGTTTTTGGGGATATACATACATAGACAAGGTCTGCAGGGAACATGCTCAGGTGCTTGTCAAAAAACTCGATGCGTCCCTCATTGATGCCTTTCGCAATGGACTTCCCGACTTGATGGGGTGACCTCCGCTCGATCATATTGAGTGCGGCCCAGCGATTTTCCGTCTCTGCCCCCGATGATGCGCCCACGAAAAGCGAATACTTCAACTTGCCCTGCAAGTTATTCTTCTCTATATGGTCCGCAAGCATAGTTGGGATCATCTTCGGGTAACCTAAGTTGGATATTAGATTAACTATCTTCCTTTGTTCCATTATTCACTTGTTCACCTACCTACTCCGGTGAAGCCAGACCAGCCAATGTACGATCCATTGGGGAACAGTTTAATCAAGTCTTCTGGGTTTGAAATTTTGTCGTATAAGCTCGTCCGTCTCACTCTGGACTTCAAGGCCGCCGAAGCTATTGCGGGAGCAGACATAGTTTAGCGACCAATCTTTAACTTAAAACGTAGTCAACAAAGCAGTCAATCGTCAAATATATTGGAAACCAAAATTGAGGAAAAGCATAATACATGATAACTACGTAGATTGCCCGCGCTAAATCTAAAACGGTTCGGTTACCGACAGAATAAGCGTCAAAAGCGACATCGGGAATAATTATCGGCGTTGATTGGCTGGCGGCAAGGCTCGGCCAGTGACGTATGAAGCTCCACCAAACCAGCCGTTCTAAAGCCAGCGGACGACTGGAAATTCTTTGAATTGGGGCGGCAAAATGACCCAGCAGTCTAAAATTAATATCGAGACTCCGTATTGATCGCCGATATGCTTTTTAATATGCGCCGGCTCTCTTCGCATATTTGGGCATAGGAGGAGTTCTCGCAGTTAGGGACAGGCCGTCAAGCTTAGCACCGCTTGGCTGTTGAGCCCAGAGCGTTAGTGCCACTGTGTTTGAACCCTGATAATTCAAAATTCTCTGAGGAACTGAGAAATCCACTTGGGAACCAACATTGTTGATGTATTTACCGAACTGGTATCCATTGACGTACAACTGAGCACGGAATTTTTCATCTGACTTTGTCTTCTTGAAGGTGAAAGATAGCGGTACTTCCCATCCATTGGGGATATGGAGATCCAATTCAGCAGTGTAGAAGGCGACTCCTGCTTTGGAGGTACAGGTTGTTGGCTTTCAAGCTTTCCAGCCGTTAGTGGGAGGCTTCTGCTGATGCCAGCCTTGTCTTTCAGGGAATAGGCCGCCTTCGTCCAGTGGGCCACGAGTCTTAACATAATCTTCGCCGCCAAGGTTTGCAGTGAGTTTCCAAGTGGTATCTGATTGTTTTTCTGCCTGCGAATTCGTAGTGCAGTATACCGTTCGGGTTCTTCATTGAATCAGACCCAATAACCCAGTTTCCGTCGTATCCCATGTTGTCCATCAACATCGTCAGAACGCATGGCTTTCCCTTGGGGAGTGTGTGTATGTTTAGTTTGTATCGCCAACTGTTGCATTGCCAGCATTGAGCCCAGGTCGACTCCATTGAGCCATGCGGAAGTGCCGTATGCATTCCTTCCCTGAGTATAAATGGTGATGGTAGTCTCCTGTCCAGTTGCAACGAAATGTCCGCGATAGATGTGCAAACCGTAATCACTAGAGTAAAGACTGGTCGGAGTAGTCACGTTACTATACGTATTTGTGCTAGTTTTTTCTTGTCCGCAGAAGGCCACGCTGAACCGTCATAGTTGGTTTGAATTTCAGGCAAGGCATCGGTAGACTTCCATTGAAGACTCTCCAGGTTTGGAATATTGATAAATGGGCGCTGGTATTTAACGAGGCCATGCCATGATCCGGTGGAATTGCATGTTTCGATAGCAACAGGTTGACCGTTGATTGTCAATTTCTTTGCTGACTTCGGGGCGCCAATAACCTCAAACGGGGTCGTTGCGTTGAAGTCACCGCTCAATTGAAGGGTGTTGCCCTTCGTTGTAGCTGTGCGAACCAGATATCCAGCCTTGACTATGACAGCAGATCCGTAGTTATAACCAGAATTGCGATCTGGATAGGCTTGTTAGTTTATGTTATTTGCCTTAGACCCCACCTGCTAAGTAGTCTCACTTGCCACCTCCGATAGACTTAAGCATCAACCTTAGCACTCTAGAGGATATCCTCTCCCTCTTGTACAGAGACACTACCCCCTTGCATTATACGCCTCTTGCGCTTCCATTCCCTCCTCTTTTTCTATTCATTTGCCGCTTATAGAGCCTTAACTTCTGCCTTAAGTAGATATAACAGCAGAATGCATCATAACCTAAGCTCCTTTAGCAAGCTGGCTTAGTACCTCATTAATTAAGCTAGGAGAGCCATTCGAATGCTATATAATGCAGTTCTTAATATGCTTTGTTTGAAAGTTAAGCTCTCTTATAGTTTAAGGTGTTTTAGAAGTCTAATGACTACTCTTAACTACAGGAGGTGTTAGGGTTCTTAGCTATAAGCTAAGGTAAGAGAGGACACTGTCATACTGACATTCGTTGCATCTACTGTCTAGTTCATCAGCTCTAGAGTGGAATTTCTAGGCATGCGGTACTAACTCAGTTTTCTATCAAACTCAAGAGCAAACTTGGAAATCTCCTCCTCAAACCTACAAGTCACCATTGCTGCAAACTCTTTTTTTACATCTGTTCATGCATGAGCGATAGCTCTAGAAGCTTCTACAATCCTCTATGATTCATTACACGTCATGGCTCCTTAGTTACCCACAAGATTGGTTAAGTTATGACATAATTTGTCTATAGGGGTACTCTGACCCTAGACCTCCTTTCACTTCCTATAGGCTAGGAACCCAAGAGATGGTTCTATGGGTTTTTCTTACGTTCGCTACATAATTAGCAAGCTAGTTGTGGGTCGCACTTGATTTCTAATACAGTTACTAAGCCTAGTTAGTCATGGAAAGTCATGGAAAATGAGAGAACTACACTCCTTTAGCATAAAGAGGATTGCCCTTTCCTTAAGAAAGGGCAAGCAGGCAATACAGTAAATCGACTATCACATACTTCTACATCTTTTCCAAGCTTCCAAGCATTGATCTTGTTATTCCTTGTTTCTGAAAAGTCAGTGAGGTGCTAATCTCTGACCTTGTAAGGACACAGGGCACCCAGCTCACAGTAATAGCATATGAGAGTGTGAGTCGGAGGCTAAACGGATGCTATCCTATAGGTCTACTATGAAGGATACAAAAAAGATGAGGAGGGGAACCCCGTTGGGTCAATCTCCTTAAGTACCCGAAACGGGTCCGACTTGGCTAACCTGCCTTCACTGTCACCACGTGACCATAACCTGTCTGACTCAGATACCTTCCGTCACTGAGGGAGAGGGACCCCGTTTGGTCAATCCCCTTAAGTACCCGAAACGGGTCCGACTTGGCTAACCTGCCTTAACTCTTATCATGTGACCGTAACCTGTCCGACGGACAGGCATCCTTACAGACTTACCCCTGAGTTCTCAGACTCAACATTTGCCACAACTTGTCTAAACCACTTCACTACATCATACACTTGATTGCTGAATTGTGGAACATCATGGAACTGCTGTAGGAGGTGTAGCTGTAATCGTTTATCCCTTGGGACATAGATATAGCTCTTGAATAAGAGAAGTCCTTGCTGATTTTTTGAGAAATTTTGTAGTCCAACTTTCTCAAGAGAGGAGCCTTTCTTCTGGAGGTATTCCAAAGTTCTTTTGGCAAAGGGATCGTGGTTGTAAGCATCTTTGAATGCTTTAAGAAGTGTTGCTGATGGTGTATAGTCTTTAAAGGTCTCTGGTTTCTGAGAAGAGGTAATGGGGGCAACTTGGTCTTGAGGGGATAAGTTTCCCTCTAAGTCCTCTGTAGTGTGAGGGTTGCTTAAAGATGCTGCTATAAGCTTTGTAGAGTCTAGCAGGGCCTTTGTATTGCTTGTTTTAGCAGAATCTTGGTAGTCATGTCTTCTTGAGAGGAGATCTGCTCTTTGATTCTTGGCCCCTGAGACATGTTTTATAACAAAGTCAAAACCTCCTAGTTGTATTCAAACAACAGGTGTTATCTACAAGGGCTATGATAGACTCGGGGGCAACAGGCAACTTTATATCTCAAGACCTCATCTTGACACACCAGTTACCTACAATTCCCAAACGCACTCCAGAGTTGCTCCGAGTCATTGATGGAACTCCTATCAGTTCAGGTTCCATTACCTGCAACACCCCAGTACTCAAACTTGAGATTCCCCTAGGAAAATCAACATTTTCAGACACCATCTCTTTAGATGTTATACCAATGAAGTACCCAGTCATCCTAGGTCTTCCATGGCTTCAAAGGCATGATCCAACTATCAATTGGAAGCATTTATCGCTTGGGTTTAGCTCAAATCCTGAGCTCAATACTGAAAAAACCCTTCAAGCCTCAGTTACCCCTATTCAGGTCCAAGACTCAGACTTGTCCCAGATCAAGGATTTTGACCAAACTATGGACGATATATCATCTCTGATATGGGTTAAACCTTTCCAACCTGTCCTGGAGATAGCAGCTACTTCAGATTTGGAGAAATCATCTCAGGAGGTCATTTTGCCTTTAGCATACCAAGACTACCAACATCTTTTTGACAAGGCAAAGGCATCAATTCTGCCAAAGCACCAGCCTTATGACCATGAGATACCACTCGCAGAAGGCTCAATGCCTCCCTACGGCCCTATCTACTCTCTATCTGAATTAGAGCTGAAAACTCTCAGAGAATACCTAGATGAGAACCTTAGTTCTGGCTTTATCAGACCTTCTTCCTCACCAGCAGGAGCTCCTATTCTCTTTGTCAAGAAGAAAGATGGCTCCTTGCGTCTCTGTGTTGATTATAGGGGCCTTAATGCAGTCACTGTTAAAAACAGATATGCTTTACCCCTTATCCCTGAGCTCATGGATAGGCTCTCTTCAGCAAAGATCTTTACCAAGTTAGATCTCAGGGGAGCTTATAACCTGATACGCATCAAGGAAGATGATGAGTGGAAGACAGCATTCAGAACACGCTATGGTCATTTTGAATACCAGGTAATGCCTTTTGGGCTTGCCAATGCACCTGCTTCTTTCCAAGCTCTCATGAATGATATTCTAAGACCTTACTTGGATATCTTTGTTGTTGTCTACTTAGACGACATTCTTATATACTCTTTAGACACTCAAGAGCATGTTCTACATGTTAGACAAGTCTTAGAGAAGCTATCTCAAGCACAACTCTTTTGCAAACTTGAGAAATGTCTTTTCCATATGTCTCAAGTTGATTTCTTGGGACATAGAATTTCAACAGAAGGCATTCAGATGGACCCTGAAAAGACAAAAGCAGTACAAACGTGGCCTATTCCTTCCAGCATTAAAGAGGTTCAGTCTTTCCTTGGGTTTGCCAACTATTACAGGAGGTTTATACCAAGATATACATCCTTGGCTTTACCCCTTACTCAATTACTTCACAAGGACACTTTGTATCACTGGGATAAGACACAGCAAGATGCTTTCGATGCTCTTAAAGGAGAATTCAAAGAAGGGAAAATGTTACTACACTTTAACCCCTTGAAACCTGCCACTCTTGAGACAGATGCCTCAGATTTTGCTATTTCTGGAATCTTATACCAAGCTCCAAAAGACAAACAAGAAGAGCTACAGCCTGTGGCATTTTACTCAAGAAAGCTATCAGCAGCCGAACAAAACTATCCCATTACAGATAAGGAACTGCTTGCCATAGTATGTTCTCTAAAGCATTGGAGATGCTACCTTGAAGGGGCAAACTATCCTATCACTATTTACAGTGACCATTCAAATCTCTTGACCTTTACAACCACTAAACAACTCAATCGACGACAAGCAAGGTGGTAGAGTTGAATAGGGATTAACAGGTGTGTGAAACTCTGAGAAAGCACCATCGACACACCTTTGTTGTCTAGGGGAAAAGTTGTAGTCTCAGTTGAAGTTGTGCCTGGTGGCGATTTTTCAAGTTTTTCAGGAATAGCAGCTGTGACTGTGTCTGAGGCTGCTATATGTTTTGAATCAGCACTCCCCCGTGCTGAATAGCACTCCTGAATTCTGTGCCCCCCTTTGCCACAGTATAAACAAAGGTTGTTGTCCATTCTGTGTTTTCTTTCTTGAGGAGTAAGTTTACCCCTTTTCAGTTTTTGAGGGCTTCTTGTAGGCTGAGGTGCTGGATTTGCTGTAGATCTCTTTATAGAGGCGTCTAAGTCCATAGGTTCAGGTGCTGAGTCCTTAGCAGTTGGTGTAGAGGTGTAA